CATCCAAACTTGATTAACTGTTTGGTTATTTAGTTAGTTACTAAGAATAATATTGTGATTGTCAACACGAAATAAGTAAATTTATACTCAGTATACACTTAATCATTTTTTTCATTCTCTCTGGAACTTTAATGCTCTTAGACATGTAATAAAATCAGCCCCCATCATAAAAATGGTTATTACTTTTTCTTATTCTATTTTTAAGCATGATTTCCTGATAAGAGATCTTGTTTTGTTAATAAAATACTATTGCCAGCATTTCTACTTGAAAACCTCAAGGATTACTGTCTTCTCAAAACAGAAAATAACAAAATAGGGGGGGAAAGACAAGACGAAAGGAAATAAAAGCAACATTCTTCAAACCACCTATATTGTAGATGAGATTTTGCTGGTGTTTCACAGGTCTTTAGAATCTGAGGAATCTTTGATGCAGGGAAGACGGGGTGAGGAGAACACAACGCAAAGTGACACCTCGCGCTGCTCTGATTTCTTACAGTGGAAGCTCCTGTCACTTCCTTCCTCTCGTATCGTATTCATTTAGATCCTGGCCCCTTGGAACATAAAGGCCCTGATTCCTCCGTGATTTCCTTATTTGCCATAACTGCACTACTTTTATGTATTTACACTTTCTGTCACATGACACGGTTATCTTGTTACTTGAATATCCTGAGGCTGTGGCGCTCCAGTGGTAGAGACTGAAAATGTCATTGGTGTGAAAGCCACAGCATTCCAGGAGAGTTTTCCCATTGCCTAGATCTGTTTTTTCTTATAATTTAACACCAGAGCCTTCTAGCAGTGGTTCTGGGAGTGGAAGAAACGCCAGGTCTCTCTACTTTGTTCATACCACTGACACAGTCTAATAACATCATGTAATGATTATGGACTTCTGAGACTGTTTAACACTTACACACGCGCACGCGCGCACACACATGCGCACACACTTTTCTTTATTTCTCCCATGTACTTGACAAATCATTTTGCTCTGCAGTAAGGGCAAGTGTGTATAAATGCCATGGTTTATAAGACGCAGCGCTGGCCCCCTTCAGTATGGTCAATCATACCTTTGTCCAAGTGTTCGTGCCAAAAGGTGAGCCAAGGCAGCTACCAAACACTAGAGCAGAATACTCCACAGTAAAGCTGCTCACACCCAGCAGGGTGGGAAAGTCATGGGTTTTGATACTTCACATATCGTTTGTGGTTACCTGGGTTGTTTTTTTTAATGAAATAAAATACATTTGATTAAAACTCTAATAGACATGGTTTAATCTTTCCCAGATGATTCAGAGGAAGCTCAGGTCCCACACTGCCTCTGAATCATGTGGGAACAGCGGCGTCTTTGTAGTGGAGAGCACAGCAGACTGGTGAACGCCGCATCTGCTGAAGCCTCACAGAGGCAGCGAATGGACTGGTATGCTTTTATCACAGTCCAGTGGGTGGTTAGGTACAATTTCTTACTAGTCAGCAGCATTTCAATATGTTTGCATCTGGTGTGTGGGAAGTTAGAAATGTTAACATTACTTCTTTAACTGGAGCATAAAGCAGGGGTGGTTGTGTTAGTACTTGGATGGATTAAGGGTGCTGTGTACTCATCTTTTTGCATAAACCTGCTTATGGTGAAATGAGCACTCACGGGCATTACTGGCGTCACATACCTTTCTGGAGGGCAATTTGTCAATGTGTATCAAACGCCTCTACAGTGAACATACTCTTAAACTCAGAAATTCTAACATCTGAGAATTTTTCCTAGATAACTAAATGAACAAGTGGTAAAAGTATAGTTACAATGGTGTCCTATGCAGCATTGTTTATAAGAACATAAAGTTGGCAAAAATCTTAACTGTCCATCAGTAGAAAGTGAGTTAAATAGATCATAGTACATCCACATAATTACTTTGTACATCTATATATAGAATTCTGTGTTGCTGTGAAAATTATATTTTGCATATGTTAAAAAATAGTCATGAGGTAAATTTTTTAAACTGTTTATAAAATTATACATATACATATATATATATGAAAAACATCATCCCACTTTGTTAAAAATGTAAGTATGTATGATGCATAGGAATATGTCTGGTAGAATGCATCAAATATTAATCATGAGTGGTATGATGAGGGAGTTAATTTTTAGTTTCTCTTTTTTACATTTTGCCTTGTCTGGTTTAAGAAAATAAGTGTATATTACTTTTAGAATAAAAAAATGAACACTTAAGTTTTTTCAATTTTGAAAAAAATATATAAACCTGTGATAACTATGTGAGAGGTAGGTTGCTGTGGGGCAGACCTAAAAGCAAGAAGCTACCTGGCTTTGCACACACCAAGGGCTGGTATGGAGAGTCTCAAGCCTAAAGAATTTCCACACATATCAAGTCCTTTAGTATGGACACAACTTCACATACAAAGTCAACTGATAGGTCATTGAGTCAGCAACTGGGCTTGTTATGATTTGAAATACCATGAAGCTATTTGGGCTCTTGTTGTTGTTTTTAACTTTGAAAATAATTTTAATATGTGTATTTATTAGTAGTAATAAAAGATCCTTAAACATCTAGTCCTGGGAACTGTGTGTCCTAGGTGATGCAGTAGCGAAAGAGGGATTGACGGTAAATTTCAAGCTCTACAAAGTGAGAAGAGTTAGAGGAGGCTGGGGGTGGTCTGGTTGTTCAGGCCACTCCGCCAATGAAAAATCTAAGGTGAAGAAAGGCCAAGTGTGACTTGGCCTCAACGGCAAATCAAGTGTGTGTCAGAGCCAAAAGCCAACAACATCCAGCCACAAAGCACATGGGTAAGTGGGAGGAAGACAGTAACATCTCAAATTGTTCAAACATTGTGGGAAATGAAGGTCTAAAAGTGAAATTCCATTTAGGAAGGGGGGACGGTTCTGCTTGTAGCGTAGGTTGGCCCATATGAGCCTTTATGTCTTTTGCTTGTCTTGGAAAAAGAAGGCCCCAGTAATAGCCAAGACCCCATGGCTGATCCAGAGATGTAGAAGAACGTATTAAGACTTTGTGTTTGATTAGCTTGGGAAGCAGTCATTAAGGACCCTGCTGTGGTTAAAGCTGTCTGCGGAGAAACAAGCCAAAGGGATATTAGGCCAAGAATCTGAAGACTGAAGCCAAGCCACTGGGAAGGTCTTTTGACTGCAAATTACAATGTGATTAAATTAGAAGGGAGCATTCACATCATGTCACGCTGTCACCTCAAGTTCAACAAGTCTAAAATTGAACTCATCTTCCCTCACAAAGCAGCTCCTCAACCGCCCTTCCCTAAGAACAATAAAAGATTACGCTGTAGAATGCTTTATTTACCACAACATTCGTGATTTCATTTGACTGTCACGGGTTATAGACAAAGACGTTTAACTCTGGTTAATCAAGGGCTGCCAGCTAGTAAGGGGCCAGTTCTAGAAACCAGGATTTCTGAGTACTAACCCAGCTATCTTTCGACTATATCACAGTGCCTGCCCTTCCTGCCGCATTTGTGGAAATAAATCAGTCAGTGACATTTTATTTACATTGGAATTTGAGTATTGTTCTCAGTAAGTATGAAGTTATATTTTTCTGAAGTAGCACAGAACAAACCAGCCAGCCTTAGGAGTTGTTCACTTTGTTTTTAATAAGATACCGAGGTGAAAAAAAATCATAACATTTGTATTATGGAAGTCAAAAGAGAGAGACATATGAAGTAAAGCACCAAATCTAAGCCTAAACAGGCCTGGTTTGTCAATCTTACAACAACCAACCTCTGTCAGTCATGTTAGGTTCATACTGTCGGGAGAAATGGTTCCATGGTTTTGTTTTCTTTCATCTGCAAATTATTTTAGCTTTGTTGTTATGTAAGAATTATAAGCATGAAACTTTGACCTACCTGGGTATCTATCTGTAGATATGTAAGTTATGTCGTAATAAAAGCACTTTAACTGTCCAACGTAGAAAGTGGCCTCCTGCACATCGCAGCTCCATTCCAACCCGTGGGCCCGTCGGGGTGCTTGTCCCTGGGCCAGCACGCCCGTGCCTCTTGGCGTTGTGTATCCCCATACACGACACTCTTTCCAAAGTATCCGCATTAACCGTGCAGGGCATTTCTTCTTGAGTCTGGGCATCTGGAGCTCCCAGCTCCTGTTCTTTATTGGAGAATAAGTACTAAGGACACCATATTTAATGTGGTGATATTGATTGTGTAATTTCCCTAACTAGGTGTTTCCTTCAGCTGGAACTATGAAAGCTAAATAAAGTCTATACATGCAAAGCCCTCTGTGCCTCTTCTACCTACCCTAGCCCTTAAGTTTCTACCTAAACATACCCGTGTGGGCTGCCCTGATGTGCCCGGTCTGTGGGTGAGATACTAAAGCATATTGTAGAGCAAAAGAGGAGCCTTAGAGGGAGCTGCACTGACTTTGAAGCCCCCTATTAGTTGTCACCTTCTCTCTCCAGTGAAAATAGACTAAAAGGAAAAAATAAAATCCAAGTCAAAAGGATATCCTGCTCTCAATTTGAATTAGCGATTTGGGCTTTTTAATGCCAAAGTTCTGGTTTGGTCACTTAACTTGATTCTTTTCTGAGCTTGTGACAATGTCTACACAAATAATGAGTACACGTGCTGAGCCTTTTTAATACGTATTTTGATTATTTTTAGTTCAACGCTTTGGATTTCTGCTTCTAAATCTTAGATGCTAGTCATCAGCTTAGTCAGGAAATCTAAATATGCCAACACAGTCTCTGAAGGCAACCTGCTTTTGTGTTCACTTTTAAATTTAAACTGTTTATTGGGCCATTGCACATTATCTTCTATGGATATCGGATTAGTGCTTTTCAGATACGTAACAGCTTGAAAACGAGACAGAGTGAGTCTCTAAACTTAAAGAAAGGAACCATCCTTTTAGGCCTCTGGTTTAGTAAGGAGTCAAGGTCAGAAACGGACTGAGGGCTGCTCCTGCCAAGAAGCTGGTGAAGCTGATTGGCGGTTGACATGCTCAAAAGGTGGTTTTCGTGATATTGCAGAATCGCCTACCAGAGGAATGACGACGATGAGGAAGAGGCCGCCCGGGAGCGGCGCCGGCGAGCCCGACAGGAAAGGCTGCGGCAGAAGCAAGAAGAAGAATCACTGGGGCAGGCGACCGACCAGGTGGAGGTTCACGCCCAGAACAGGTACTGTCCTCTTCAGAACGGAGACTTTCTAGGTTGCTTCTCACTTAGCCTGGCTGTTGAATGGAAGGCGTTGGGCGAAGCATTCCCTTCTCTGCCCAACTCAACCCTCTTCAGTCTATCTCATTTGTTTAATTATTTAATGGCCATTTTAGCAAATAATCAGATTGAACAAACTGATTTTGACATTGGAACACCACTACTCCCTTCTCTCCCCCCACCTCATTCCCCAAATGTACCCCAGTTGAATGACTTTATTATCTAGTAATTTTTTTTCATTTACTCTGTATGGTGGGTTATAGTTTTAAGTAAGGAGAACTATTTACATTTACTCTTTAACCTATTGCTATCTGTTTTGAACTAAAGATTTATTAATTTAATAGTCCTCTGTACCTATCAGTGACAGATAATACTTCAATTTTCAAAGTAGTCATGGTTTGCAAATGTCTGATTTTTCCTGATATGCAGCCTGAATTGATATTCTGTGATCACTACAATATTCAGCAAGGTACAGAATCCTGTTTAGTTTAATGTAATTATTTAAACAAGCTTATGAGTTTACATCTACATTTTTCCTATACATACCCTGGTAGAAATTAGGAAAGTGGAGAGCACTTAAGAGATTCAGCTTCTTCAAAAGGGACTTTTACAAGTTCAGACACATAAGGTCACATAGTCCATTAAGCTAATGGTTAGTATATGTCATTTATATGCCTCAAGGTGTGAAAAGATGGGGCTATTTAGAGGGGAAAATGGAGGGAAAAGTTAATGTTAATGTATAGCTATGGACTGATTAAATATAATGAAACCACCATATAAAATCTTGTATATGATTTTGGTTTTAGTTTGTTTTATTTTGTGTGTGTTGGGAGGGCACTCTTGATAGTTTCTTTAATTCAGTCTGTCTAGAAAATTCTGAATGGAAAGAGTGTTGGCCTTTTTAGCCCAAATTTGAGTGGGTACACAGGAGGTTTCTGAAGGCAGTCTTGAAAATGTTAGTAGGCAGGGTGAATTCAATAAGGAAACTAATTGGTTAGGTGGAGAAATAGAGACCTTGTCTCTTGGTAAGTAGCTCCTGATTAGGGAGCAACGTAACAAAAGGATTGTAGGTATATTCTCTGGGATTCACTACTTGGCTTTGGATCTGAACTTGGCCATTCATTAACTGTATTCCTTCAGTTAAATGGAAGTGAAAATTATACCTTCCTCTTAGGAACATTGTTAAATTTAAATGCGATAATAAAACATGTAAAATGCACAGGGCTGTGCACATGGTAAGCACCTAATTTTAACTATTTTTAGGAAGATAGTATCAGAGTCTTACAGAGGAAGGCTGCATAGTTACTCATGGCATGTTCTACTTTTGAGCTGAAGAAGTGGGGAGAAAGGAGCTTAAAAATAGCAATTTGAGGCCTTGCCTGAATCTGATTATTAGTGAATGGTCAACAGTGGCTCAGAAAGTTACTCACAGTCTGTAGTTTTTCTTTCTTTTCAAGTCTTGCTTCTATTTGAGTTTCTCTTATTTTTTTCACAATTTATTAATAATTGTTATTTTATCCTGTGGATCGAACACAAAATTCTTTTTCTTTTTTCCAGTAAAGCATATTAAGATCTGAGAACATAAGATTTACCTCTAAAATATAAACAACCCTCACTGGTACTTAACTTCTACTGATGATTACTGTCATGATTTATAAATAAGCAAAGAAAGGTTCAGTAGTGTCCACTGATTTCTTAACTCAAGAGTACTTTCATCGGGTTAGCTCTTTAGAATTTGGGGTACCTTTAAAATATTATTTGGATTCAGTTGATTCAAATGCCTATGTATGTAGACTTTTCCCCTTAAATTCTAAACTATTTGTATTTTCAGGGAAATTTAATCCTTATATGTCTAATTCATGGAGACAGTGCCCTGTAGCAGCAGCTAAGGCCAAGAAAGTTTAAAATCTAGCCTTTATTCTGCCATGTGTTGTTGTTAAACGTGAAACGTGTTTTTCCAAAATTAAGTGAACTTGAACTTCAAAAGGGCCAAGTTTGGTATGAACCATGAAATTTGATGGAGTTTCTAAACATTGCAAGGCATATTCTTCCAACTCTGGCCACAGTTCCTGGCATCACATGACTGGTTGTTTTCTGCGGGCCGAGACCAACACCCCTGGCTCAGGCCATGGCCAGCATCCTGCAAGAGTGAGTGACGTGATGGACGTGGTTCAGTTTGCTTTTCAGAGATTTTCTCTTCATTTTAAATAAACATCAAATTAAACTGTTCTTTGTCTACTGTAGAAAGAAGGGCAAGAGACCCTTTATTCATGGAAATCTTACCAAAGAATGTAGATGGCATATGTATTAGTTGCGGTAATGTCAGCTGCTATAACAACGAGCCTCCAAATTTTAGTAGTTTAATTCAGTAGAACATACCAGTCCATTGTGGTTACTTCTGACTAGTAGGTAGGACCGATCACCTACTTTCTTTCCTCTTGCGACTCTTATCAATTCCTGGGGGAGTCCTCTGACCCAGCCAGCAGGCAGAGATAGAGAGGGTAGAGCTCATCTTTGCTTCCTAATTATGTTGGCCTGAACTTCTGCTCACATTCAGCTGGAAATTATTTGCCACATGGCTCTACCCAGTTGCAAGGGATAGAGGAGCGTAAAAAGCATACCCCTTGACTGACCGTCACTTCCTGTGACTGTGGAAGCAAGAGCGAGAATTGTGGTGGACAGATATAGGTCTCTCCCACAGAGGGGTCATCAGTGCAAGTATAGCGTTTCCACACTCTAACATACACTCTCTTCCTCTCAAAGTGCTTCACGCTCTGCAAATCCAGGTCACCAATTCTAGGTGACTTGGTGACATGTGAAAATATTGTATGATACTAGAGGAATTTACTTATTATTTCAGTTTGGTCCTTGTCTTAGTTTGAGTTCCCCAAGACACAGATCCTAAAACAAAGATTTGACCACAAGTCATTTATTTGCAAAAGGATCCCAGAAGACACTGGTGGCGGTGTAGGGAAGTGAGACAGGGAAGGGAAGGCAACCAAATAAAGGTTTTATTACCAAGCAAGTGACCACCATGGGGATCCAGAGCTTAATGCCTTGAGGAGCTGTAAGATCCAGTGCCCCCTTGAGTTCTCCAATTAAGAAGGTGTGGTTGAGCAGAGGTATTTATACACCAACGCGCATCAGTTTTTGTCCGAGGGCTGCTCCCAGAGGGCGTTGATGTTCACAACACTTCTGGCCTGGAGAGTAGACTTCAGTGGCCAGAGAAAGACCAAGGGCGCAGACTTGCCCACGCTGTCAGCTGAACACCAGGCAGGCGTGTATGAAGACACTAACGTCTGCAGGGGGTACATATGGGCATGGAACTGCCAGCCTCTACTATAGTTCCAGGGTGGGTCAGGCCGTGTGAATCCAAGTAACTGACTAATCAGCAGCACACTGTCTCTGGTGTTGTTGTTTCTGCTGTACAGTGTGCCCGACAAGGAGGTCAAGGACACCACCGCGAACACGCAGGTCGAGGGCGATGATGAGGCTGCATTCCTGGAGCGCCTGGCTCGGCGGGAAGAAAGACGCCAGAAACGCCTTCAGGAGGCGCTGGAGCGTCAGAAGGAGTTCGACCCCACAATAACAGACGGGAGTCTCTCACTATCGAGCAGAAGAATGCAAAACGACATGGCAGAAAATGAAACCAAAGAGAAGGAAGAAAAGAGTGAAGGTGGCCGAGAAAGATACGAGATAGAGGAAACAGAAATAGTCATAAAGTCCTACCAGAAGAATGATTGGAGAGATGCTGAAGAGAAGAAGAAAGAGGACAAAGAAGAGGAGGAAGAGAAGCCAAAGCAAGAGAGCATCAAAGAAAATCAGGTAGAGGTGATGGTAGAAGAGAACACAGTAGCAACTCAAGAAGAAACCGTGGGATTATCTTTGAAAAATGGGCAAATCAGTGCAGATGAGCCTAAAATAGAGGATGAGAGGGAACAAGGTTCTGAAGAGATTACCCAAAATGAAAAGATGGAGGAGGAAGAAAGGGAAAGGGCCCAGGCAGAGAGGCTCAGGTTAGAAGCAGAAGAAAGAGAAAGAATTAAAACTGAGCAAGACCAAAAGATAGCGGAGGAGAAAGCAAGACTTGAGGCTGAAGAAAAAGCAGCTGCCCAAGAGAGAGAGAGAAGGGAGGCAGAGGAGAGGGAAAGGGTTAAGGAGGAAGAGCGAAGAGCAGCGGAGGAGAGGGAAAGGGTAAAGGCAGAGGAAGAAGAGAAGGCTAAGATAGAAGAGCAAAACCGTAAAAAGCAGCTAGAGGAGAAAAAAAGCGAAGTGCAAGAGAAAAAGATGAAAGGGGAAAAGGTAGAAGAGAATGTAGAAGGGAAATGGGTCAATGAAAAGAAAGGACAAGAGGATAAACGCCAGACAGCTGTCCAAAAGAAACAGGTACAGTAAATATTTTGCACCAAATGTGTGACGCCTGTGACTTGTGAGAAATGTAATGCACATCAGATTTGGGGCCGAGGCCACATTCTTGACCCACACGCTTGATCATTTGGCAAGCTGGTTGGTTGTTTTAGGCCATAGCAATCTGCGAGCATGAAGCAATCGATTGATGGCTAAATAGTCAATTGACCAAATTTACTGAGACAACCAGAGGAAATGTATTACTCTGGGCTGGCTCGTTAGGAACGTGAAGGTGGTACTTGTGGCGGTGCTGTGTTGGCCTGTGATTCTGCACCTGCATCTAAGCTCATTCTTTTTTACACCTTTGCCTCTATCCGTAGGTCTACATGAGGCAAGAGCATCTTAACTCTTCTCCTTACCCGTGGGTTTGGCATGTAATAAAAAAGATTATAAACATTGGGGATGGGAAGCTGATAAAAAAAAAAAAACATCGTGGTCAGAAATAGCATCATACGAAAGCAAATATCAAACCCTCAAAATCAACTGATAATAAAGGAGAAAAAGTAGCTAATTTGGGCTTTAAAAATGTCAAAACCATGATTGGCATCATGTAGACCTGAGCTTAATGTAAACTTGCAGAAAGCCAGTCCTCTGGGGGCGGCATCAACTTATAATTGACTGGCAATTAAAAGCATACATTTTGCTTCTTTTACCATTTGAATGACCCACATAAATTGACAGAGTCTGAGGAAGGGTGGAAATTGGAGGTGGGACTTCCTCCAATGAGGGAGCATTGTAAGCTACAAATGATTTTTTTCTGTCTGCAAGGCTGCATTAGAAGCTCTGTGCTTAACCACCACCTGCTTGCATGCTCACCTTCCGGAAAAAACTCTCTGTCACTAAGCCTGCATTGCGTTGAAGCTGTCTTTCACTCCTGCTTATTCCAAGGGGCTTGTGAACACAGCTACAATTGAGACGACCAGGGACCAAATGCACCACAGCACACACGAGGTTTGTAAACACGCACAAGGAGCACCACGTCATTCTAGACATCAGTGAGCACACGGACAGGCACATGGGAACAAACTTTGGGTGGAACAAAAGTATCCAAGGCTGCTGTTTACAAGCACTGGCAGGGCAATAGGTGAGCATGACACAGCAAAAGGGAAGTCAGCCTGAGCCACGTGCCAAGTGACCTGAGCACCTTCTCACACTAGTAAGAGCTAGAAAGGGCTTCTTTTAAATGAGTGACCTGAGCATTCTTGAAAATAAAAAGGAAGAAGAAAAGGGGGCTAAAATACAGCCCCAAAGAGAAAAGTCCCAAGAAGACAAGCCTACATTCAGAAAGGAAGAGGTAAATATTATTGGGAAATAACCTAATTAATCATGAAGCGACAGAGAGCTGTGTTCCTCTAAACTTGAAACATCTAAGCCAAGTGTTTTTCAAGCCATGACTCACGATTTATCGAATGGTGAAATCAACTTGGAGCATCACAAAATTAGTTAAATGTGTCCACCAGCATTGTGAGAAATGAGACAATAGAAAATATCAGAGGACATTACAGGCAGTAAGCACTGCATTGTGACATAAATTATCTTTCTCGCCATGGGTCACAGCCCAAAAGCTTGAAAAACACTTCTCTGATCAGTCTTCCCCACTTTCTATTCTTTTCAGTGCTATTGTTTTTTTCCTTGAGCTGTCCTACTTTCATTTCATGTCCAACTGGCTTTGATTAATGATTTAACTTCTCCAAGGAAAAACACCCCCACACATCCTAGTAGAAAATTTGATGAACAGAAGATGATATTTGGTTTTCAAAAGAAAACTTTGGCCCAATGTTTTGCATTGCATTTCTGAGACATTCACAGGAGCTGGTGCCCGGGCGTGTGACTTGTAGGTAAGTGACCAATGAGTGGACCAGAGGCTGCTGCAGACAGGGTATCATGATCTGATGTCACCGAAATGGCACATCAGAAAGCCTGACTTTGTTTTAACCATTGTGCTCCTGTGAGCCCCAAGTAATCCTAAAAATTGGGACAATATCCAGTAAATTCAAAGTACTCGCACATGGTAAAACTAAATGATCAAAAACGAAGGAGTTAAATTACTTGGCCCATTGTCTGGCCTATAGCTATCACTACATTTCTCTACCCATTGTGGCATATATTAAGAAACAGGAAAAAAAATCCATAATTAGAAAATTACATTTCTAATTTGAATCTAGCCAGGTTAAATGGAGGGGGTGGTTATTTTCTTGTATTTTTTAAATAAGATTCATGTAAAAAGTAAAACCCCCTAGTTCATATTATACTTATTTTCTTTTGCATATCTGTTCCTCCTTGTTTCTCGTAGAACTTATGGTGGTTTGAGAGTGAAAACCGAAGGTAAACCCTAGCCATTTAAAGGAAGGAGAAAGCGTAAATGCTAATAACTGGAAACCTGAATTTGGCTCAAATGAGGCAGCTAAGGAAATGGTTGAACATGTGGGAAAACACTGTTCCCATTTTGTAACAGAAGAACACTACAAGTTCATCTACAAAAACATGAAAGTTCCCTCGGAACTAAACTCAAACAGAAACATCCCACGTGGGTTCTCCTCTAGAGTTAGTGTTGCGTGCTAAATATCCTTACAGAGAGAGCAGGGCGTGAAATCATAGCTCAGTGACCAAGTTTGTGTTGGGGAGGGGAAGCTGAAAAAGCTCTGTTTGGATCCTGTCCTTTAAATTCTCTTCACCACGATATGATTGGTGTTCAATGACCAGAGCATCTGCGTCTATGTGCCGTGTCCCTGAGCGGGAAGGAGCTCACCGCTCCTTCCACCCAAACCGCCCCTTTGCCTCTTCTCAGATAAGGCCCCTGGTCAGCATTGTCCTTGGTATAATGATTTCAGAGCTGCCTCTTTCCCCGTTTGGCCTACAGCACATTCCGTTGTCCCAAAACTTTTGGTCTTTTTTTTTTTTTTAATACAAGGCCAGATTAAATCCTCTGCACAGGCTTAAAAATAAATAAATAAATAAATAAATAAATAAATAAATAAATAAAGCTGCCATTCCTGTTTTAACATGGTGTACATAAATTACTAGCTAAAAGACTAGGTTCCCCCTCTCCAGCTAGTTAGTTGTGTGGTTGTTTTACACAGACAACTTTAAATCATATTCTACATGATGTAGCCACTTTAAACACCCTCCTCCTTTTTTTAATTTCCTTTTTATTAAAAAGCCTTTTCTTTCAAGGAGCAATGTACGATCGGTCGACCACAAGTAAACACAAACATCACGGAAGCCTTCTTAGAGAAAAGGCCTTCTTGGAGTGATTTCCAGGTCACTCCACCACTTTACAAAACACCTTCTTTCTCCTGCTGCAGCTTAACTATTTTGTGGCAATGGATCACAGAGGATCAGCAACCTTGAAACTTAATGTAGCTTTTTATTTTCTCCTTTCCAACTATAAAATGCCTCTTTTTAGTTCTTCACCCTAAAGCTTTCCCCCCTAACCCCAGCTCCAACAGAAAAACAACTTCCGGGGGAGTTGTTCGTATAATAGTGAAATTGACCTTCATGCGTCTCGTCCAAATCCCCCCGGCGCTGCGGTGCATGTGAATCACCAGGGAGTCTTGGGAAACACAGACTCTGACTCATTGGCTCTGGGGTGGAGTCTGAGCTTCCTGGTGAGGCCCATGTTGTCCGTGGACCACACTTTATGCAGCAGGGCATTCACATATATATGGGACCCAGGGAAGGAACTGAGGCTTCTGAGTCTAAAAACGGTACCTTGTACCCGTTCTCATCACTATTCTGGAATCAAATAACACAAAACAAACTACAGAGACTGACATCGTAGTCCTTTATGGCCTGCTCACTTGACCTTTTGAAGGTCTTTCTGGCACAGGGTCATGTTGCTGGAATTCCCACCCCATACACATCCACATTATCCTAATAGATACCACAAATATCCGGTTTTATCCAAATGACCACATTTGGCCAGAGCCTTGTGTATTCTTTCAGGATACTTGGCTACCCACTAATCCATCCGCACTGGTTTTCTTTATAGTAACATTCTGACCCAGAAGATCTAAAGCTTTTCCCAAGAGACTCAGAATCCCATGAGCTTGGGTTAAATCTGCCATAGAATCCAATACACTGTGTTCCCTAAAATAAAACATAAAGGCATTATGGAATTACTTTATTCACTTCCCAAAAAGATAAAATAATTTGGAAACTCAAATTATCATGATTTCACTGGGAATTTTTCTAAAGGAAGTCTTCCAAAGAGAATATAAGCATACCATCCACCATGGTCTTTGCCAATAAAGGCAGAGCTAGAAGAAAAGGACTTTTTTTCTTCTGCTACACACGCATTGTTTTACAAATCTATTTTACATACATTTTTGGTCAGGAAATCAGATGATGCATTTGGGGAGAATGGAGTGTCTCTTATTCCAAAGTAGGAGAAAATGAGTGAAAGGCTAGTTCATCTTTGCACACTATTCCATAAACCGTGAGAACTGAGTCAGAATTCATTTCATGGGTTTTCTGAAATGGAACCCCACCCCCACCCCCAAGTTTGTGTCCCCAGGTACTTCTTAACCAAGATATATAATCCAGCCTGGGGTTTCTGGGCCTGTATCCAAGAACGGTAGGCCAAGGCAAGGCAGACCCTGCCTGCCCAGCAAACCCTGATGTATGATTGGGCAAGGATGGCCACCAAGGAGCCACAGTTAAGTTGTAGGACAAGCCAGGAGCGTCCTTCTCTGGTGCTGTTCATGACAAATCAGAACAGAAAAGAGGGAAGTGAAAGGATGAAGGACTAGGGAGGAATCATCTCCAGGGGGGTCCAACCTGCGGGCCACATGCAACCCAGGATGGCAGTGACCGCGGCCCAACACAAAACTGTAAACGTACTTAAAACATTATGAGATTTTTTTTTTGTGACTACGCATTGCAATGTATTTAACATGTGGCCCAAGACAACTCTTCTTCCAGTGTGGCCCAGAGACATCAAAAGTTTGGACACCCCTGCGAGTCTAACCTCCTTTTTTCTGTACATAGAGCCAACAGCCCAGAGAAGTCAGGTGACTTAATCAAAGTAACAGAGCTAATTTGTGAATAGCACTGGAACCAAAATTCAGGTTTCCTGACTTCTAGACAAAGCTCTCAGAGAGAATGGCAAAACAACAGCTCCCTCCTTCAACATGGCCAAGGGATCTCCTATCCTATGTGCATACCCCTGGGAAAAAGATTGAAGTTTTAGCTAATTAGGGCCACAGGAGAGTTGCCTATTAGATTCCTACAGACTAGTCCCATCTGTAGTAATTTAATTAAATAATACCCAAAGAAGGCAATTGGGGGACGTATTGAAGGCTCATCAGTAAAGAGCAGAAGAGTGTACTCTGTTGAGTAAAACATGTGCTGGAATAGCAGACGTTCAGAGGGTATCAGAAGACTAGCTGGGAAGAGGTGAGTGGTCAGGGAAGAGGCCACCACGTGGGGAGCAGCGCCTTTTACCACCTTAAGTGCTTGCGCCCCACCCTTCCTCTGTCGGTTTCTTTAGAACACTACTGCTTTCTCTGTTTGTCTTGAAAAGAGCAATAAGGAACCACCCCTGTTTTTGTACTCATCTCTTAAGATTGGGTGAGATGATCAAGGTAAAGTAATTTGTACTGCTCTACCCCTAAAAAAGCTATGTAAATTCAGTGTACCTTGAAATAATCTCTTGTTTACCATGAGGAACTTGTAGCATGAAACCCACAAAATATTAATGCTAATATCTGTTCTTCATTATGACCTTCTGTCACCCACAAAAATCACAAAACCACTCTGGAGATAAATTATTACCTGCCCTGGAAGTCAAGGTAAACCCTGGAATTTTTCCTGTTCTGTTCCAACCTAGTGGTTTCGATGACTTACAAGCACAGTCCCACCGCTGTGAGTCACCCCCTAAAGGTAGAGTCATTATGTCTTCTGTCCCAGAGACCCTATTTGATTAAGATCCTAGGGTCATCCTTCTCTGACGTCAGTCAAAACCAGCTTGGCAGATCTGGCTAACCTGGTAGCTTTGTTCTTCTTTCCTCCCGAACACATTTGTGTCCTTTGTCCAAGAAGAAACCTGTCCAAGCAACCTGAGCATTTTCCCACGTCAAGGCCACCCTAATAATCGGTCTTCCCACTGGGACCAGCAAACAACCACCACTCATGCAGAGTTCCACGGACATAATAGTTTCCAATGGTAATGCCACCAAAGCTTTTGAAAATAAACCCCCTGTGAAGTCAGGAACGATCTTGACTTCCTAAAATTGTGGTCAAGGTCTCTTCTCAGAGGCTGACGAACCACCGTTCGTGCTCTGAGGATTTCCTCTGACCCCATCTCTACCACTTTGTCCTCTGGTGATTTGCTTTACTTCTGAGGTTCCTGGCTTCCTGTCAATTTGGGGTCTTCTTTGGTGATACCAGTCCAAACCTAGTAAGATTTTTATCGTTATGTTTCTTTCTGATGTGTACTGTTGGTTAGATCAAAGACGAGAAGATTAAAAAAGACAAAGAGCCCAGAGAAGAAGTTAAGAGCTTCTTGGATGGAAAGAAAGGATTTACAGAAGTGAAGTCGCAGAATGGAGAATTCATGACCCACAAACTTAAACACACTGAGAATACTTTCAGGTAAGACGTAGTGACTAATTAACAAACAGTGACTGTGTTCACGTGTGAAAAAAATAATCAGTCTCTTTATGCTGTTGCCTCAAGACATAAATGTGCAAACCAGGCAACATACTTTTGTTGTGAGGCCATTGTGTTAGATATTCTCAGTCAGCAGGTCACTAACAGAAGACCGGAAGTCATTGCTCAAGCAAAGATTTAATCTGCTTTTCCCATAATTTAGCAAGGTAGGTTTTGCTGGGCATCCAAGTTTTTGTCCCTGCCCTGATATGCTCATGTCAAGATAAGTTTATTAGAAAACATTAAAACTGGGATTAATAACATTGATTGATTCTCTATATGGTCCGGGCAACTTCGTAAGAGACCCTTCTCAGTACCATGTTAAAGAATGTATTACCTAAAGGTTGTGCATAAATGTTATATAAAACTAGGATTTTTCTGTGGCCAAATACTTGGGAAACGTTAGGTTAAACTAAGTTAATCAGATCTCTGCCACAGGGATCTGATTTGAAAGCACTTGGAGTTAATTTGCACTGGGAATCGCTAAGAGGGAGGATGAAGGCATCTGACTCATAAATACTCCATTTAATGCCCTTTGGAAAACCCTCTTACATGGCTTCAGCTCCTCCTCACCCCAGTATGTTGAATGTCTGGGCAATTGATTATAGGGCAGTTCCACAAGTGTATGCAGGTCAATTCTCACTTCTACATACAATGAACACTTTGAGCTCCCCACCAGTTTAGTGGAAGTTGCAGGTACCTGCCGTGGACACCAGGCTATAAGATTCTCTGGACTCCATTCCTACTCACACACTCCCCTCAGCCACTGGTGCCAAATTTCAGGCTCTCTCATGCCACTGGTGGTTTGTGCCAGATGTCACAGAAGAGAGTCTGGTCCCTATAACATGGATTTCCATGCAGCCTTGCCTATAGACCCTGTGTTTTCTGAACACTTGAAATAGGAATGTCCTCAAGCAGGTATTGCATAGAAGTCAGACATGGTCCACACGACAAAGCCTCTGTGACATACAGAAGCCAGCAGAGCTACTAGGGAGGGACATTTCCAGCCCCTTGTCTAAGAAGCTAAAATGGATAAACGTAACAGGCTCCAAACAGTTTTACTATACAAAAATGTGAGCCAAAACCTAGTCACATGTATCCCATAGAAATCCTAAATTGGCAGAAAGCAGATGTGAAAAATCAAGAGTTTATCAGGAATTCATAGAAAATCTGGAAAGCAAGTAGACTGAGGCAGGTAAGCTGAGCCTGAAGGTTGCTGAAGTGTCTGTAGGTTAGTCTTTTAAAGCCTTAAAACAGCGTGGAGTTCATGAAAAGCGTTCAATGCATTCTACCTAACGGCATTAGTGTGTTATTGTTTGACAGTTTAAAATATGTTTTGGGGAATGAATAGACTTTTTTTGTTGTTGTTAAGAGAAATAATGCTTTGGAAAAAAACCTGTCGGTAGAAAGTTTGGTTAGCAATTAGCAAACTTACCAACCGGCTTCAGCCAAAGCTCAGATTAATAATTAACATGTCCATTGTGTGGAAATGCAGAGAGCTAGGTAATTGCAAGAGAAAAGTCAGAAGAGATGCCAACAAGTTGAGCAGTGAGAACCCTGAAATGTGACTCTTACTTTAATTTTTCCATGTTTAGGCAGAAAAAAAAAATGACAGAAACAAGCTGTCACCATAAAGTTTTGGTTCAGCTGCCAACATATGTTAGTTTTAGTTTCAATTAGAAGTGATGACGATAGAAGCAGAGATGCCTGGTTTTGCTCCATAAAGTGAGGAGCTGGGGAGGAAGAGCCTCTATTTAGATTAGCCCGGTGCCTACCAGCCTAACTGCAAACAAGCTGTGTTCTCAACGGTGAAAGGTCTGACGTTCCTCTTGACTTCACACCTAAAGAAGCCAAGGGTAGCAGAGAGAGCTTTCTAGAAGAAATTTTCATAGTATTAGCGGCACCCTAATGCTGAAGGCATGGCAGCACATCTGAGCAGAGGCAACGTGGGCAAAACTCTTGTTCCTGTTTTCAGCATAACTCCTTTTGTTTGATTTAATCCCTGTCGCCTTTGATAGTTCTGTTTTCTTATAACTAGATCGTTTTCTCTAAGAGATGATCTAAAAATCTCTATTCATGGAGCAAATTTATACAGGGAGATTATACTAGGGTTTTATAGGAAGTACAAAACAAGGATTTGTTTCGCTTTCTGTTTATTTTTGTATGTGGGGATTAAGATTTTTTTTTCTGGTCGTAGGAAAAATCATGCTCCTTATAAAGCATTCAGAAAGTAGAAGTACAAAAATCAGTACCCACCACCCAAAGATAACCACTCATAACATTTTCTCCCGATATTTTTTATGTATTTACCTTCAAAATAGACATGAGTATATACACACAGCATGTGTATGTGCGAGTATAATTATAATCTACATTTTAACTTCATGCATTATGCGTAACAATGTACCTTAGCTTGCCTTCTACACCAATGCATATAAAAGCCTACAATTCATGAAGTTACAGTGTTCCACTCGATGGAAGTATCATGATATAAGTTAACTGGTCCCTAATGGTGGCCTTTTGAATGTCCAAGATGAAGACTGAGCGACATCTAGTGGAAGATAGAGACACTTCTGCAGGCGTGTGCATTGCCCATCCAACAGCGCACGAAGACGATGAACACAGAGAGAACAAATGTCTCTGAAGACGGAACGACCCTAAATTAACTGAGAGAGCAGATTTCCTCATGGAGTCACAAGTCTGTAAACCTGTAGGACCCTGCAAGAGCAGCATCACGTTTCAAGGGACCATCAAACCTTGACTGAATTCAAAATAAAAGTTCCTCTTCACCCATCAGGAACCTAGAGTAAGATTTTTGAACTTTCCAACATCAGCTCTTAGTGAGAAATAAATTTTACCTCGTGACCCAGTTATGTCTACATACATAAAGGAAACGAGCATGTCAAGACAGGGTTGTTTCCCTTGCTCGGTGCCATGCACTCTGCTCTTTCCTTGTTCTTCCACTGAATTGATTTTCTGACCTGCATCTTGAAAAGCATTGTTCCAAAGGACACAGTATATTCAGAACTACCTCCATGCTTTAAAAAAGCATAAGTTGTATGCATACGATATCGGTATTGGTAACTATGTCTTCTTGAACTCGTTTTCTATTTTACTCTTCCTCTGGCTCCGTAGCTGGAAACACTCTGTCGTTCTCTACATGGGGTAAGTGGTGCTAGACAGTGGTAGTTCGCCTGTTGCTTGGAAAAAAGTGTGAGACGTGGGCTACCTATGTTCAGATCTAGTGAAGAATGACCTCATTACTTGCTAATTAGTATTTAAATAAGATTTCTTCTTTTTATGGCTAAATAATATTCCACTGTAAATGCGTACCACTTTTTTTTTTTAATCCATTCATCCATCAATGAGCGCTTAGGTTGTTCCCCTGTCTGGGCTATTGTAAACAATGCTGCAGTGAACGTGGGGCGCAGATATCTTTTGGAGTCAATGTTTTCCTTTTTTTTCTTCACATACATTTTCTCTTCATCATATGGTAGTTCTATCTTTAATTTTTTGAGGAACCTCCCTACTGTTTCCCACAGTGGTTGCACTATTTTACAATCCTGCCAACAGTATCTATTCGCCCCCATTGTAGTGCCCAGGAAACCCAGGGTTAAGTGACAAAGCAGGGACTCAGATTCAGACCTAGAGCTTCCAGGTGGACCCAGCCCACCGCTTGGGCTGATAGGAGGACCTGCTGTTTTAATGACTGGCAGTGAAGATTTCTGCGTGGTACGCAAAGCCTGCAGACCCATCTACCCTCCCTCCAGGGGAGGCTGCAAGGCAGTTGTGTGTCTAACTCTTTTGCATCCCTTCCCCCTCCCCACCACCACCACCAGCCGACCTGGAGGGAGGGCCAGCGAGGCCAAGGAGGCGGAAGGAGCTCCCCAAGTGGAAGCTGGCAAACGCCTGGAGGAGCTGCGCCGCCGCCGCGGGGAGACCGAGAGCGAAGAGTTCGAGAAGCTCAAACAGAAACAGCAGGAGGCAGCCCTGGAGCTGGAGGAGCTGAAGAAAAAGAGGGAGGAACGAAGGAAAGTCCTGGAGGAGGAAGAACAGAGGAGGAAGCAGGAGGAAGCTGAGCGAAAAGTCAGAGAGGAGGTAAGCAGGGCGCCGCCCCCCTGCCTGGTCCGCACCCCAACTTCCCCAAGTCCCTGAATACCTATCTCTGGCGATCCTTCCAGCTCAGGGAATAACTTCTTCCATGCTGAAATGCTGCTGCTCTTTTGAGCATGGACTCTTACAAATACGTTTTAAGAATAATAAACTTACTGTGTGCTAAGCATGGTTCCAAAACCTCGATACATACTAATTTAGCCAATTCTCATAAGAATAGGTGGTCCCATTGTTACCGAAAGCAGGTCCAGCTCCCTGTGGCTAGAAAGCCAATACTCAAGAGACAGGTGCTGATGTAAAGGGAAGGGTTGATTTTCAGGTGCCCACCACTGGAAGCGGGGGGACTCACATCACAAAGCCTGTCTCCTCCTCTGAGTGGAGGCAGGGGTGTTTATAAGGAGGGAGAAGGGAACAGAACACAGAGACCAAGGGAGGGGGTGGCAAAGTTCTCTATGTACAGTCCAGCAGAGTCCATTCCGATAAGGCAAGTGATGGTCCAGTGTGAGTCATCCTGGCTCCACAGTTGAAGGTCAGCAAATCTCCAGGAACTAGGATGTTTGAAGGTCAGAGTCTTTATCTTTCAAAGTCAGTTCCTAGGATTCTTATACAAATATGTTGTTTATCTACAAGCTACATATTAGTCAATCAGCACTTACAGAAACACTGCCAAAAGAATGGGGGGGGTGGGGGATACAGTTCCCCACTGTTAGAATTTTCCATTTTCCATTCTTACAGTATCTCCCATTTTACAGATGAGGAAACTAGGCACAGAGAGGTGTTTCTTTTTAAATAATTTTCCCAGAGTCCCACTTGTCCTCATCCATTACCCTATACTGTCCCTCAGTAAAGAACAGGAGAGAGAGAGGGGTGAAAAGGCCTGCAAGAACCGAGAGTCACATGATGGTTTGTTTTGGTATTTGAAGAGTTTTTATAGAGATTTTATAAAATAGGTTTTGGGCTTTTTTAGTGGAAGGGTCTAGGCTTTCACAGTCAGGGCTTTGTTCATTACCACGTGCCCCGCACAGAAACACAGCGCCAGGCTGGTAGCAGGAACCCAACAATTGTGAGCGGATGAATTCGATCCGTATTTGAAGACAGAACTAAAAACAACAAATGAAGTTACCAAAAGGCCGATTTTGAAGACTGAAAAAGTACTTAACCACATACAACTTATATTGCTGCCTATTACAACCTATATTCTTTTCCTTCATTCTAGGGTACATTATTACTCTTTTTCTGGGCAAAGAAATGGGAATCCAATCATTTGAGTGACTTGCATGAAGTTACTCAACTAACAAGTGGTAGAATCAGTACCAGAACCCAGGTCCTCCAACTGAACTTGGAGCTTTTCCCACGAATCTTAGGGAACCGTCATTGCCCATCATTCAAAAGAGGCAAACAAGCTTCAGGTGGCTTTCTGACTTGGATACTAACATTCCCTAAACTGTGTGGGAAATTTGGAAAAATGATTCCAAAAGCTTCTCCAAATCCAGCTGTCAATGAGCCAATGACCTCTGCTTGGGAAGTCATCGGGATGATAGAGCTTTAGAGCCGAGCACACCTGGGCTTGCATCCTAACAACCACTTGCAAGATGGGCACTTGGGAAAACCACTGGACCGTTCAGAGTTCTTTTCCTTATCTGTGAAATACCTACTTTCAGGGTCGCTGTGATGATTAAACGGTGCCTGGTGCATAACAGGCACTCAGGAAGTGGTCGTTATAATCATTGTTCTTGTTGTTAATATTATCTAGAAGAGGAGAGTACCAATGAAGGCAGAATGAACCCTTAGAACTGGATTGAATTGGAGATTATTTGATCTAACCTCCTACCAATATAACATAGACCGGATGGCGGAAAAGCAACAGAAGTTATTTCTTGCTGTTCCGGAGGCTGAGCAGTCCAAGATCAAGGCCTATCGAGTCTGAGTCTGGAGAGGGAGTTGCTTCTCAGTTCAGAGATGGCCATTCTCTTGCTGTGTCCTGACATGGTAGAAGCAGCGAGGGGGCTCTCTGGGGCCTTTTTCTTAAGGCACTAACTCCATTCATGAGGCCTCCACCCTCATGACCTTATCACCTGTTAAATATCATCCCGCTGAAGGTTAGGATTTCAACCTGTGAATTACCGGGAGATGCAAACGTTTAGTCTGCAATACACACGATCCTTCTGGAATGTTCTCTGACAGACAGACATAAAGTCTCTGCTTGAGAACATCCAGTGATAAAGATCTCACAAGTTGACAATTACAAAAGACAACATAAATCTCTCAGAAAATCATTCACAGAGGGCGTGCAACCTAATTAGAGCTCTGCCTGAGTGAGAAACAAGGGAGTATTTTAGGCCAGCAATGAAGGCACAGAGAGATTACTGAGACAGATTGTGAATCATCTGTGGTTTTACCACTGTGCAATACCTACCTCATTTCAGGTTTGCTAAACCATCGAAAATAATCTACTCCACTGAAGTGGGGACCCCTGTAAAAGCACCCCTTATGCAATTTAACAAATGGAGTACCATAGATTTATGTAACTTTGCACGTACATTGTCTCACTTCACAACTCTCCTAGGAAGTAAGGAGAAGAGATATTTATATCGATTTCGTATCTTCAGAAATGGAAAGTCAGAGTTAAACGACTTAACTAGATAATGGCAATCATCATGCTGAGCACTAATCAAAGCATTTTACATGGGCTTTCTGATTTGGTCCTCATGAAAGTCCTATTCGGTGGGTTCTATCATTGTCCCCATTTTACAGATGAAGAGGCTGAGGCCCAGGGCAGCCAACTAGCATGGTCAAGGTCACACAGCTGAGAAGTGGCAGCACTGGAGTGTGAATCAGGCAGCTGGACTCTAGGGACCCCCTTGAGGACTCAGTAGCCTCCAGTCTAGGACCTGGGTCTTTTTCCTCTGGGATTTGTGCCTTTTCCCTGCAACACTCACCCCCCTTGATATTGATGCCCTTGTCACGTGCTCTTTCTCTCTTAAGGAAGAGAAGAGGAGGCTAAAGGAGGAGATAGAAAGGCGAAGGGCAGAAGCCGCTGAGAAACGCCAGAAGATACCGGAAGACGGCTTATCAGATGACAAGAAGCCATTCAAGTGTTTCACTCCTAAAGTTTCATCTCTCAAGGTATTTTTTCCCCCAGAAATCCTTCTTATACTGTCTCTACTGGAATATCTTAGAAGCTTGATGTCAGCCCCTTGTTTAGTTACTGATTATGAAAAGCCTTCGTTTCATGTATCTTCTTGCTCCCCCTTTTGGCCACCTCACAGCTTTTCTTTGTTTTCAGCATATGCAAAAGGGAGGATGTGGGGACATTTGTATCTGTTGTTTATTAGATGCTCTGGGACACATTAGAAAGACAATCAGCGGCTGTCTCTGGATCCCACTGACCTATGCTCCAGCTGCCTCATTGCTTTGAGCAATCAAAAAAGGAAACACTTATAAAATGGGCGAATATAAACGTTTTGCTGCTTTTCGTGCTAGCGGATCACTTGTTTTCTTTGTCATTATTAAAAGCAGGGCAGCTGGAAATGGTACAGTGCAAATTTGAAAGCTGTTGTAGGAGAAGAGATGAAATGCGGCGTGGAAGGGTCCTTTGCCAGAGGGAGCTTGGTCCTTGTCGGGCAGAAGTGCTGACACACGAGAACGAGCAGGAAAAACTGACTGAGCGGGAGGATAGAATGGTTGACATGGGAAAGGAGTGCAGACTCAAGAAAGTACTATTATCTGGATGCAATCGGCCATTTTTTTCCAATACATTCTTTGCTCATGAGGGTTAACATGCATTGAGCTCCTGGCACAGGGAATATACGGAATAAATATTTGTTGAATGGGTATGTGGATGAATGAATCTTCAGAGATAGGAACTTTTGACATTTTTATTTCACCTTCATTTTCCATCAACCCAGCTAGATTACAAAGCATTGACAAAGGGCAAAGCTGGTACAAACAAATCAGAGCCAGGCTTTAGGCAGTTAGAGTGTGTGTATGTGTGTGTGTGTGTGTGTGTGTGTGTGTATCTATAAATATGTGTGAGCACATTTATGTGGCACGCTCAAATGACCAGAAACCTTGCCCTGCCAGGTGTGGCTCAGTTGGTTGGAGTGTCATCCCCATAAACCAAGAAGCCACCAGTTCGATTCCTGGTCAGGGCACATGCCTGGGCTGTGAGCTCAGTCCCCTGTCAGGGGCACGTAAGATGTTTCTCTCTCACATCAATGTTTCTCTCCCTCTTTATCTAAAATAAGTCAGCATGGCCTCGGGTGAGGGGAAAATAAAATAAAATAACCAAAAACCAGTTACACTTTATAGTTATTACATGTTTCACATGCAAATCAACATGTTTTATCCCTACATAACCTCACTTACTCTTTATGATCTCCTGGGTCCCATCATAGTTCTGATACATCCCAAATATACTACTTAGAGTCAAGGTCTCCTTCAAGGGGGATCCAAACCAAGCCACCGGGAGATTTTCTTATTTGATATTTATAATGTACCTAACGTGTGCTGTGTACTATGAGGGAGGCAAGCACAAAGCAAGGTGGCTGTCCCAATATAGCTGACTGACTTGGGAATTTGAGAGTTAGGAAGCCAACCAGATGCAGGCTCCACAGAAGTGAGATCTCAGAGCCGACGGAGCAGGAGAGAGCAGCTCTGGAGAGTAGGTGAACTGCGTTTAAGGATGCCCACATTTAAATTTCACAGAATGTTCTTGTGTCAGAAAATACTACTCTGCTTTTGATTTTTTCAAACCATCTAACAATATAAAACATTCTTAGCTTGAGGGCTACATGTGGCTGGTGGGCAGATTTACAGACACTAGTAGAGAAGAAAGAGCAGAAAGTCAAAACTCTGCTTGGTTCAGGATGCCTCCGGGCAACCACTGGCGTCCATTCTATTCCTAGTCCAGGTCCTTTTGTTCCTGGCTCATCAGTATTCAAAGGAAACCACATTCTCTCTTTGGCCTTCCTCAAAATTCCACCCAAGCTAAGCGTCCCTTGGACAGTCTTGGTAACACGAGGAAAGTGGTAGTAATCGGGACTTCTAATCTCTAGTCTTTTGTTCAGGAGAGGCTACAACCCGTCTTCCTCCTCCAAATATCTCCTTTATACCAATTTTTTCAACTTCTCTAGTCTTTCCATCAGCTAGACTCCTGGGTCCTCAGGGAGCCATTTATCTACTTTCTCTGGTAGGTAAATGTATAGAGAGGCATGTGTGAGCAATCAGAGTAGATACGTTAAAAAACAAAACAGTACAGTTTCAATTTCTGTATAACAGACATGCTTTCGAGAACAATATATTGCCTTTCTCCATAGTATGTGCCGTGAAGAATTTGCTGTGGCTCTGGTTTGAGAACTCGATTTCATAGTCTGTAGTTGAATGTCTGCAACTCTTGATACTCTTGGCCAACCCTGCAACTTTTAGAACTGGTCACAAATTATCAATCTAGAATGCCAGTAGGAGGAAAAACATGTCATCCTTGACCTCAAAATATTATCAACTAGTATATTTTTTTATTTCTCATGACTTCTATTCCTGTCTGGGAAACCCTCACCCTGGTTGCTCATAGTTCAATTACATTAGCAGTGATTTTTTTTTTTTACATAATTCATGCAAAGAATACATTTTAAGTAAATTAAATGTAAAATTGTAATTATTGTTTTCATATATTGGTAGCGGAGGGCGTGTGGAGTAAGGAGAGCATCAGTTTCTAAAACCAGTATAACTTCTTCTCCAAATTTTATCCAGACAACACTGCCACCTCTTGGTCTCCTGGAAAACCAGTTTTCCTCATTAAACTTGTACAGAACATTTCATTTACAAAGTTAGGGAAAAAAAAAATGGTTCTGTTACGTAGAGTCACTAAGTTCAGGAATTTCCTAACATACGCGCATCAGGAAATAGATGATGCGACCTGACAAAATGTGATCATACGTATGAAAGGAGAAACTGGAGCCTGAGAGCCTGGATAAGTTGAATGCATGGGATGGCCAAGGCTACCAAGGCGGTCCCTGACTCAGGACGGTGCTGGAAGTTCCACAAAGAACGTGTCTCTCCTGGGCCACCACCCTCCACTGTGCCTCTGTGCCAGCACGCTGAACGTCTCTTCATTCGTAGGTTCCGCCGGTCTGCATTGCCTCCGGGGTCCCCTAATGTTTGCTCTGTTAGAAATGTCCTCCGCCCTCTAACTCATGCCCTCCCACCCTCGCCATAAACTCATTTATAAAACTATGTAGACAATAAACTAGAAATTTCAGCTCAGGTATCAAAATGTCTGAAAAACCTTCTCCAGCTCCTCCAGATGGTTGCTTCTACCATAACCACAGCATTTTCTTATCTTTTGAATTTTAAATATTTCTATGTTCTGCTAGCCTCCCCTACTAAAATGTGTTCTCCTAAAAGAATCTAGTACATCGTTGGGTGTTCAACTTTATACAGTAGGTACTCAACATAATTTACTGGTTGGTTGGTTGACGGGCTGACGAGGCTAAAAGTAGGATGGATAATATTAAAGGTTTCAGTGTATCATGTGGTTTCTATGTATTTCGCTTTATTCAACTGGGAACTTTTTCTCCAGCAATGCACTTCTAAGTATATATTAAGATCAGAAAAATAAGATTTAAGACCTTTTACCTCCCATAATCTCAGGGACACCTGTTACACTTTCTTGCATGAGGTTTTATTTTTAATGAGTTTGTTTTTATCTTTGTAAGAAATCATCAGAAAAGATGCGTGCGCCCACTAGCCTCTATAACAGTGTTACTCAACTGGTGTTAGGAGTGAAGCATGTTTTCCAAAAAGCATAAGGGTATTTATTAATCGTCCACAAGTCCCAGGCCAGCCTGCTAACATCTCAGAAGACGGCAGCCAGACACTCAACCTCACCAGCCTCTGGTAACTGTAGTCTAGTGGACTCCTTGGCTGCCCTGAACAGAGCAGAAAATGGACCCTTTCAGCATCTGTGCTTTGCATATGCAGTTGTATGCAAAAAAGGTTTCCCCGCTTGCTAATACGGATAGGTGATGCGGGGCAGCGTTGATTTCCAGCGCGGAGTTGGGTATCATAAGGAGTCAACAAATATTTGCTGACATGTAAAGAACATCTGGATCTGAGTAATGCAGTTTCAGTAAAATATAATATTTGATTTAGTAACTTTAGTTTTAACAAAAGGCAGTTCCTAGCTTAAAAAAAAAAAGAATTTATTAAAGACAAACTGCCCATTTAGTGAGTATCTGCCGCAGTTTCTTGGGCTTATTTCCTCATTTCTCACTTGAGCTGATAGGGGCTTCGTGGGAGACCTCAGCGTCACTGGTGAGCTGTGCCCAGGCTCACTCCACCCTCCCCCGTCTTCTGCTTTCGGGGCAAATTAAGTTCGTCAATAGGCTCGGCAGCTGTCAAGTGAGGAAACCAGGCTAGACCATGAGCGCACAGTTCACACTTCCTGGTTATCTTTCTTATTCAACTCCATTACATACCAAATGTAGAGTCAAAATGTTGTGGAAAATTTTCTTCATCGAAGAGCATGGTACATGTATGCTCATATAAATGTGTCCTGAAGAATAAGAGCATGCAGCGTGTATTTTTGAAAAATATTGTTGCTGAGGAAGTAGATCTTAAAAGTTCTCATCACGAAAATGAAAAAATTTTGTCACGTGATGGATATTAACTAGACTTACAGTGGCAATCACTTTGCGATATATTCAAATATTGAATCGTTCTGTTGTATACCTGAAACCAACATAATGCTATATGTTAATTATACCTCAATAAAGAAATAGGTAGACAAGTTTTAAAAGTACGCCAGAAGGCAAAAAAGCAAAAATTATTGCCATGGTCCTGAAATATAAGTATTTTGCCATTGATGTAAATTATTTCAAATTATTTCACTTCACAAAGGCATTTTTATTTCACTTCTGTCTAGTCTTTCTTCTGCCTCCAGGACTTCATATTTCTCTACAGCCCTTTCTCTGTCCTCAGCCAACCTTACCTTCATCTCTCAAATCTCACTCTCAAATGCCTACTATGTGGTTTCCCCTCTAGCAGAGCTACCGCACAGCATCCTGACCCTCCTCGGTGCTCTTTGGTGCTTTTCTTCACAGGTTCAGGGAGGGGAGGGGTATGGGGTGAGAAACACTGTTTATGAGATGAATATATTAACTGGGGTTTATTTTCATTCCTAGATAGAAGAGCGAGCAGAATTTTTGAATAAGTCTGTGCAGAAAAGGTAAACGTGGTTGACTGTTCACTTGAGAATCATTGGCCGTTATATGTCTGGCAAGATTTTCTCTCATTATTTTATGGATGTATGTGTGTGTGTGTTTATTTATTTACCAGTGGTGCCAAATCAACTCATCAAGCGGCAGTCGTCTCCAAGATTGACAGCAGGCTGGAGCAGTACACCAGTGCCATCGAGGTGAGAGAGGTCTTGAGTGTTACGGTGACACAGAAATCAGCTCTCATTATATAAACAGTCATGGAAACACAGAGGACAGGAAGCAAGTCCAGGAACCACATACGTTAGAACATTAATAATGCTTTCTTATACTTTAAACTAGTTATAGAGAACAGTGATAAAGATAAACTATAGAAGGGTTTTAAATAAATTATTGCGTACTACTTTCAACCTGAGTGTTCTTTAATGAAGCTGTTATTCTTTTAATGAATTGCTTTATTGATATTCAACTATATTATTTATGTGTTAATAAATGCATCTTCTAATATTGATTCCTTATAAAATGTGTTCCCATATGTAGTTTAAACAGGTCCCATATAACTGTGGTTAATACTCTTTGGCCTATAAAAACTTTTATTATCAAATGAAAGTAGTATATTTTATATTAACTTTTACTAAGTTAGTGTAAAGATGATTGCCAGCTAGAGTTTAATCACCATGAATTTCAAATAGATTATTTTATACTTGAAAGTCCATAGTTTTATGCATCTGTCTATTCCAATACTTTTTCCACCAAATTGACCTAGGGGTTCTACCATATTTCGAAATAGCATGTATTTCTAAGTACCAAGGCACTGAGAAGGTAGGTTGCCAGTAATCAAGATGCAATCCTGTTTTTTTTCTGCATTGTGTAGACTTTAGTCAATGATTTTAGCTGCTTTCTATGTCAGACCACCTGCTAGGAAGTAGTTTGATTTTATTTTCTCCTGTCCTTTGTACTACAGAGTGGAGATAAGTGTAAAATAATTCACAATCAAATAAATGATAAGAGGGAATAAAAGAGAGATCTGAATGATTTATCAAATGAATAACGAAGTCCAAACACTCAAGAGGTGATTTGCACAAGATTCCATGCCCACCAAATTATAAGACAAATTGCAGATAGTTATTTTCTGTGGTCACATTAATTACAGCTCAATAGGGTTAATGAAGACAAAACTGTGGCCTCAGCCCTTGCCTAGGCCAGTGACGGTGCCACTCTCCAGGGCTGGCCACCTCGACAATACAGGCCGCGGGCCACACAGCAGGACCAGGCGAGAAATGACATGATTCCGGGCTTGCCCGTCACTACTGCTGGAAAAGTATCTCGAATGCACGCTTTTCTTCTGTACTTCCATTCTCTCCTCCTTCCTGTACGTTCTTCGTGCAGTGGTCTCTCAATCTTTCATTCACTGAGCACATCCCTTCCCCCAGGCCTTTGAATATGCTGTTCCCTCTGCATGGAATGGTGCCTGTGCCGTCTTCCTCTTAGTCACTTCCAAACCTCCCAATCAATCTGGGTTTCAATGTGGCTTCCTCGGTGGAGCCTTCTTTGCTTCTCTAAATTATCACTCCCCTATTGGCATGCTTCATAGCACTACATTTATCTTTTCAATGTGAAATAAATACTTGTATAGTCACTATCTTTCTGTCCTATTAAAATGTAAGTCCACTACAGCTTACAGAGTAGCCTGTCTTGTGTTGAGTACCACTCTATCCCCAAGTATCTGTTGAAGAAATGAAGTGGAATAGCATGTTAACAATGCATCCCGATAAAAAACATATTTCATTTTTGAAAGACCTTCTGATGATCTAGATCTTAGGGTTTGTTTTGAGGTATAGATGTCATCAGAATGCAGTTTTACAAAAGAAATTATGACTGTCATTTTTGGTGAATGCATTTGCACAATGACTCTTTTAAATGATATTGTTGAGGAAGACAGTATTTTACAAGCACAGTCATAGCACCAGTTCTAAAGATAATTCACACACTTCAGGGAACAAAAACTGCAAAACCTACAAAGCCGGCAGCCTCAGATCTTCCCGTTCCTGCCGAAGGCGTTCGCAACATCAAGAGCATGTGGGAGAAAGGGAATGTGTTTTCATCCACTACCACATCAGGCACACCTAACAAGGTGAGCATAGGGGTTCTATCTTTTAATTTTGAAGGGTAGATTCTTTTTCTTTCTTTTTTTTTTTTTTTTTTTTGCCTTTTTTTGGTAATCACAGTGGCTAATTATAAAAGCAGTGAAGAAAGTGTAATTCTTTCTTTTGCAACAATCCGAACGGCAAGCTCAGAGACACTAGACTGTGTACCACACTCTGGCCACAGTACTGTAAACAGAGTCCCTGAAACTAATCATCCACCCTGTGGGTGGGGTGGGGTGGAATGAGAGGCAGGGGCAAGCAAACCAGGTAACTTTCTTTAAATATCAAGCTTAAGGTTTATTTTACTCAAAATATGAATTATAATGATCCATCATTAACTGGTGCTATGGGATGGTTTTGTGAAATAACACTTAATAGTGTTTTGAGGTTGCTTTGAAGATTTCTTTCCAGGTGGTTTTTTTTCCTCTTTAATACTGGACAATTGACTCCTTGTAGGAAACCGCTGGCTTGAAGGTGGGGGTTTCCAGCCGCATCAGCGAATGGCTAACTAAATCCCCTGATGGAAACAGGGCACCTGCTCCCAAACCTTCTGTAAGTAGCTTTGGGTTTTTCTAATTTCTTTGATCTCTCATATTCCTGTGGCAGAAGAAAACAGGCCCTTGGTCTGCTCGCCTGGGAAGGACAGCGCTCCTGTTCGTTGCAGTCACTGCTGAATAACTAACGAGGAGTGGTTCAGACTTAGAGAGGACAGCCCCAAGCAGCTGCCTCGGAATTTCCCAGAGGGCAGTAGCTAGCCAGGCTGCTGAAACCATTTAAATTTACACCCTGGGCATAGTAAGTTAGCCAGAATGTGGCGGCTGTTCAAAGTGACACTCTTAACTGGTCTGTGTGTTTAGTCCCTACTCTATAAATCACTGCCAGAAATTTGAAAATGAAAATGTCAAATTATCTTGGTCACTTCTCTTGTCAAAAGCAGCCCTACACTTATTCTCCAAAGAAAGTTTATGTTGGCTATTTGGAACCCATGTTTTCCAATTTGCGTAACTGCTGTAACTTAACAGAAGTAATGGCCATGAATTTTTTGTTACCACCTCCAAGAAAAGCCATTTAAAAAAACAGTAAAACTGGGAACTATAAAAACTAGTTATAAATGTTATTTTTGGAAATCAAAAATTGTATTATTTATTAAATGTGGCTACCTTTCTATTTTAACCTTTTCATTGAATGTGTATGATAATTGCCTTGTGTTTATCATTGTAATCAAAAACCTTATTAAGCTCCCTACTGTGAATTGGTGAGCTTGCTCTGTTAGGTTGACTTTTATATCTTTCTTGGCACCAAAAGAAGCAGAAACTCAACTGTCATAACTCCATTCCAGAGGTAGAAGAAAAGCTTTCCAAATTCCCTTAGACCTCTGAACCACTGAGCAATTAATTGTATCCATTGGTTTCATAGTTAATCTCTAAAGTCACCAAAATTTATCACTTTTCCAATTTAATGAGAAAAATGGGAATCTTTTCTACCCTACTTGGGTGTAACTCCGTATAGCCCATTAATATTCAGCCCAGGATTTTTTGCACAAGGGCTCAGATGACATATAAAACTAATATAAGCCCAGTTTACAATTGGAAAGTCTTTAAACATTGAAAAAAAAAATCCTGTTCCCCTCTCCCAGGAGATACAGGAAAGAGGGCCTATAAAAGGAGGCAGTCCAGGTGAGAGATCATACCCATAAGGTATGTGCTCTTTAGTGCCTCAAGTTTCCCCAGCACCCAAGGTGGCATATAGAGTAGAAGTTATTTTTTAGTGGCAATTTATGTACATTTTGTGACTCCAGACCAATGGTTATTAAACTTTGAGTTATGGACCCTTTTGAAAATCCAATGAAATCTGAGGACCTTCTCCCCCAAACACAAGAGTATCACTCAAGTTCCAGAAGTTCATGGACCCACTAAAGGACACTCAAAATACCAAATACAAAGAGAAAATGCTATGTTTTCCTCTTATGGTCACTTTTCCTTTTTAAAAATTTTTTTTTTACTAATTGATTTTAGAAAGAGAGAAAGGAAGAGAGAGAGAAAGATCGATTTGTTTTTCCACTTATTTATTCATTTATTGGTTAATTCTTCTATCTGCCCTGACTGGGGACTGAACCCACAACCTTGGTGTATCAGGACAACACTCCAGCTAACTTAGCTATGGGGCCAGGGCGTGGTCACTTTTTCATGTATATTATATTTGTGACATCATGTCTATACCAGACTATACCCACATTTCGTACAGGCCTTGATGCATACTTTTTTATCAGGACTTTAACTCATTAGCCTATCATCCTCTATGTTACCCTAATGTGAGGGTTAAAAAATTTAATTGTTATTAAAATAGATATAACTATGTCAAGGTTTCCACAAAAAGCCCAATTTTCTGGAGTTACTGACGGCCTCCTAAAAATGGCAGGTCGAAAGGAATTATGGGGAAATTATAAAATCATTGCCTGCTCTACCTACTAGTTAATAAGTTATTTGCCAGACCATCTACAGGGCCCGGCACAAATAGTACCACTTTTTTATACAAAATCTGTTATTACAAAATCATAAGCATGTAATTCTATAATATAACAATATCACACTCAAGCATACCATTTTAGGTGAAGTGTTCGAATTAAAACTTTAAATTATTGCACCCATAATATTACCCTATCAACCACAGTTAAGCAGGCCTGACTTCTGCCGGAACCTGCACTTGAGGGAAGAGGGAAAAGGAAAGGAGAATATGGCAGTTCATACAGGTTGTAGTGATCTTTTTTCCCATAACCCATTTGATTTTGCAGACTAGGGTGACTTGCTGAATGAAAGCAAGATGGGAAGAAAGCAATATCAATATGTAACTGCTGCTGTAACTAAAAAGCTAGTCTGAATATACTTAATACGCAACTTTAAGTTTTGTGTCCTTTTCAGGGGTATTAGAGCTAGCATTTGTCAAAGCATGAATAGAAACATGACGGTATCTTTGGGAAAGGACAAGACCTGGAGCCCAGGAAGGCAGGAGGGTAACTCACAGACATTATGGATCCTACAGGAAAAAAGATGAAATTTCCAAACTGAGGAAAGGAATAGAAGGGTTATGCAGATGCACAGAACTTGGCTGGCAAAAAGTTAAGTCCAGGAAGGCAGCTTAGAAAGACACGTCAAGCAAGGACATTGCCCATCTCTTCTCAGGGGTCTCACGCTGGTGGCCTGCAGCTAAGATCTGTGTCATTTCACCCACACAATTGTGCTTTATATTCCTTTTAAAAATTATAATGTGCCCTGACTGGTGTGGCTCAGTGGATTGAGTGCCAGCCTACAAGCCGAAATATCACCAGATCAATTCCTAGCCAGGGCACATGCCTGAGTTGCAGGCCAGGTTCCCAATTGCGAGCATGCAAGAAGCAACCGATTGATGTATCTCTCGCACATCAACGTTCCCCCCTCCTCTCCCTCCTTTCCCTCTCTCTAAAAATAAATCAAAACTTTAAAAGAATATAAAATTTACTTGTTAAAAAAAATCATAATGTGAGCCTGGCCGAGTGGCTCAGTTGGTTGGAGCACCATCCCATACACCAAGAGGCTGTGGGTTCAATTTCCCGTCAGGGCACATACCCAGCTTGCGGGTCCGATCCCCAGCCAGGGCACATACAAGAGTCAAGTGATCAATGTTTTTCTCTCACATAAATGTTTTTCTCTCTCTTCACTGCCCCCCGCTTCTAAAATCGATGGGGTGAGGTGTTTTTTTATTTTATTATAATTTGAATACATTTTCGAGATGTAGAGGCATGTACTCTTGAACTTGTTGATTTCCTCCTTTCCTTATTTTCCTACACCAAGCCTCTTCAGGTCTTTGTGTTTCCAGCCTGGCCCTTCATAGCAGGTGTCTGAGTTTGACGCCTTTGGAACTTTGCTCATACTGACCCTGAGCCCAGGATATCAAAGGACTCCCTAAAGACAACAGCAAATAGTAGGAACCCACAGTTGCCTTCTGATTTTGGACTAGAGGTGATTGACTCTCTGTCCCTTGTTTATATTCCTAAGTGTATATAGGTAGAGAGGAAAGCCTGGGTTTGTATTTGCAGGTATATGGCATGTGGCCATTAAGGAGAAATCAGAGGGAAATTCTTCCACCAAGATAATCTTCACCCAGTGAAACCTCAAGAGGAAATTAGTGTTTCCTTTGGGGTTAGTGTTCAGTTCTAAAATTCACTGGAGAGAAAAACCATCCTCTACCAAACTGTGTAATTTCTATATATGCTAGGAAGTAGAAGTGCTCAAAATAGTTTGTCAAATCAATATTATTTGGGGGTCCCTGAAAATTAACTTATTTAAAAGTAAACATTGATCTACATCTGATCCCTTACTGGGACATCTATTACTATTTGTGGATAGGATTTACGGGATTTCCGTGTAACTTTGTAACTGGAATTCAAATCAGAGTATGCCTGTTTTAGCTGGTCTGTCTGTTCTTCGTGTCTACACTACATATTATATACAGCTAAATTAAAATGCTAATTTGTCTTTCTTTTTTTTTTTTAAAAAAAAAAGTCTTTCTCAGCTGAATTCTCTTCTTCATTCTTTGATCTCTGGTTGATTGGAAACCTGCTTCTCCTGCCTTCATTTCTTCCTCCTCTTCCGGAGTGGGTCTTTCTCTAAAATGTAGTCTGGGCAGGTAATTTCGTTTATATTCCCCTTTGATTTAAAATGCCAGCTTACCACTTGGATGCTAATATTTTTCTAAAATAGACTCTTTAAACTCTTTAAGTGACCTCAAAAGATTCATAGGTAGGATTTAAGGGAACTACAGTCCATTTACTTGTGGAGAACATTCATGTGAAAGAAAAATATTTGTCTTCTATGAGTCAAATAAATAAAGCCATAATAGCCACTTTCCAGAGCTTCCATCAGCATGTGCCTAATTATAGTTTCCAAAATGTTAAAACAGTCTCCCAGACAATTTGGCAGCTTCTCCCTACATTGGCAAATCTAGTGGAATCCTTCAAAAACAATCTGATTTGTTGCTTACCGGTTCCAAGTTAAATAGGTGTAACTCCCTAGCAGAATATCAGGAATTCGTGCCACAGTGGAACTCCAGAAACTCAGTAAGATTGAGGCAAATCTGAAATGCTTCACATGGTACCATTTAACCAGTGCATTTTCAGTGTTGAGATCTCCATACTATCTGTCAAAATATGTCCATGGAGACCGGTGTCCATGGATAAATGCAATTGCTGTTAGCTTTGCCTTCCTAATAAGAAAAGGATGTGCCAAAGTAAACATTACTATTTCAGTTAAAACACATTTATTTTCTACAAACTACCCTTTGCCAAGTACTAATATAAGCACATGCTGAAAGAAAAGTAAATGGAAACAGAAATGTGGCTCCTTATCCAAATCCAATTAATTATGAGGTAGCAAATAAAGAATCAAAGCTATATAACTGTTTTCTTCCCAAGATTTCCACATGTTCTCACATGTCATTAAGTGTCAGTTTCTCTTATGGGTACAATTTGTGGTAAATGTTTACTTGGTGGGGCTAAGTTCTGCTGATGCACTTCTGAATTATCCCCTTGCTCCATAGGAAACACGAAATGATTTTAGCCTGAGGAAAGTGCAATTAGAAAAGTGTCTTGGTTTGGACTGTCCGGAAGCAGATCTTAACATAGTGATTACAATGGAAGTAGTTTGCTTGCGGGGCGAAGAAAGCAGCCAATCAGGAATGTTATTAATGCAATTAAGCAAGTTACCGCAGGGGCTACTAAAGCTTAATCCCACTGGGGAAACCCAGGAAGCCACCATAAAACATAGGCTGCGGAGTTACCCTAAGGCCTGAGCGGTGGAGGACTGCTCCTGGGCACGTTAACTCGGAACTTCCAGCCTGCCCCCTGGGCGGGCAAAGTGGGCGTCTGTAGCCAGAGAAAGTCCTCAAGGAAAGACATGCAGTGTTGGCGGGTGGAAGTCAGGCTGGTAGGCCCTAGAGTGGTAAGGGCTTGGAGACAGAAGGCAGGGCTCCAAAAGTTAATCTGCAAGGGGTGAAATACCTACCCACCCCTACAGGAGTTCTGGGTGACCTTTGAACAACACAGGTTTGAACTGCGTGGGTCCACTTATACGTGGGTTTTTTCAATAAATACTGTCAATGTATTTTGTCTTGCTCATGACTTTCTTAACCACATTTTCTTTTCTCTAACTTACTTCATTGTAAGGATACAGTGTATGATACAAACAACATATAAAATATGTGTTCATTGACTCTTCATGTTATCGGTAAGGATTTCAGTCAACAGCAGGCTATTCGTAGTTAAGTTTAGGGGAGGTCAAAAGTTGGATGCAAATTTTCCACTGCTCAGCGTTATGGGGGAGGAGGCATCAACACCCCTGATCCCCACGTTATTCAAGGGTCAACCGTACTTTTAAGATCAACCTATGCTGTATGTACTTCTAAGAGCATAGAAAGTTAAAAATAGGCTACTTTATTTTTAATATGCTTGTATTCCAGTTTCACTGATCAGTAAGTAGTAAGTCCCTGGCAAAGAACAAGACCTAAATGCTAGATAGTTCTAACCTGTTCTCATATCACAACACAGGTCAAGGTCTATGTAAAAACAAACAATGGCTAATGATCCTTTCAATTCCATCCATTTCTGGTCACTAGGATAAAGGGTATTGAACAAGAAATTGATTCAAACAAACAAACAGCAGATATGATTTAGTTAGACCTGGCCAGAAAATATAAATGGCCATGTATCAGTTTTTTCTGCTTTCTCTTCATTAGGATTTGAGGCCAGGAGACGTATCTGGCAAGCGGAACCTCTGGGAAAAGCAATCCGTGGATAAGGTCACATCTCCCACTAAGGTAATCTACGGGAAGTGTTTGAATTTCCTAGGTCTTTTTCCTTTAGTATGATGTCCTGGGTCAAATGAGAAATATCAATATCACCGACTCCCGGAGACAGGTAACCATCAGTTTCTAAAGACCTGTATATGGTACAATGAAATGCAAAGTTCACAGAGTCGCCAGCATTGTAGGCTTGTCAGCCATACGACATAAATAGTCCAGACCCATGGAATAGTTCCCAGTAAGACATTCTAGAAACACCAGAGTGTAGGAGAGTTGACAGTAGTAGGCCTTATGCTAGACCCATAGTCTACATTTCCTTACACGGCATAGAGCCACAGCCATTTGAAAATCACCTAGGGAAAAAGGCCCACCCCCATGCATTGTTCCAAAGCCACCTCTGGGACCATCCTGTGGGATTACGTAGCCAGCAGCTGAGGACTCAAGGTTGCTGTCGCAAAAAGTTAAAATAATATTCAAAAGTTAGGCAAAACTTGCTATCCTATAAAAACTAATGGCTAAGAGTGCTTGGATCTCTCTCTCTCTCTCTCTCTCTCTCTCTCTCCACCTCTTCCTCCCCTCCCCCCGCCCCCCCGCCCCTTTGGCTCTTCCACTCAAAGGGTATGTCTGGTCTTTACAAAGGGGGCTCTGGACAACATCTAAATGATGCTCAGACTAAAATAGGACCCCTTATTGTACAAGGAGCTAATTCAACTCTTAATTGGAGCCCTCCCCCCTTTCCAGGAACAACCCAGCCTTCTCCTTAAACAAAGGGAAATTGAAGAGAGAGAAATCAAATACCAACAATAAGTAAGATTAGAAGAGTCTGCTTATGGGCCAACTTAGAACTCTATAGACAGAAGCACTTTTTAAGCAAACTCAGGACTGAAGAACACCCCAAGGGCACCCGGAGGATCACCGTAGTTCACTGAAGCGAGCGAATTCCTTCCCCTGTCCGACCTTCTGCCTGCCCTTCACCATCCTGCCTAAGTGTGTTACTCTATTTGCTCTATTAGTTCTTCACTGCGCTTACATTTCAAGAAAATCTACTAGCCCAGCCTCTCTACTTAAAGTGACTTTTAAATAAGTTCAGTTTTCAAAGCCATTACTGAAGTACCTAGTAATGATTTTCACCACTACAAACCACTAACATTTAGTGAGCATCCACTATGTGCAAGGCACTGTTCTACCTCCTTAACCTACATTATCTCGTTTGACCCTCCAACCACCATGTGAAGTATTATTATTACCCCCATTTAGGGCTGAGGAAAATGAGGCCCAGAGAGATTAAGTAACCTTCCCAAAGTCACAGAGCAAATGAGTAGCAAAGCCTGGATTAAAACTCAGGCAATCTGACCTGAGCCTGCATTCTTAACCACTGTACATTCTGCTCTCTTTTGAGGATTGCATGGTTTGTAGAAAATACAGTTTCAAAGTTCCTTGCATCATTTTGTCCTTGTGGAAGGGAATAGGAGAGTTGTTCTTTGGTTTGATTTTTGGTGGGATTTTTTTTTTTAAACAAAGGATGAACTTTTGTTGACCTAAGCCATTATGACCCCCTGGAGCATAGTAGGTCTCTGACCTTTCAGAAATGACAGTCCAAATGTTTGTAGTCTCCTTCCGGAGAAGGGGAAGTCAGCTGTCCACAGTCCATTATCACAGGTATAATGGGGCCCCTCTGGATACCCTGAGTCAGGGTTCTGGGAAGCAGAGTAAAGATATGATCTGGAAGGGTAGCCCTCAGAGGACGCCATTTGCATTCAACGCAATGGTTCTGCTTCCTGGGATTGTGCAACATGGCGGGACAGGTGGGAAGGTGACAGGGTGAGTCTTCACACACACTGCCCCCTCCTCCTTGGTCCATCTCACAAAACTCTTTCTACAATAGTAAGAATAAAAGCACCAGGCTCAGAGCTGAATAGGTAGCTCCTTTGCTCCAAAAGGTCAAACGCACCACATGTCACGCAGTCATTCATTTGAAAGGAAGACACCCAACACGTTTGAAAGTGCGCATTTACAGTGCTACACTCGGCCCTCTGTATCCTCGGGTTCTGCATCTGTGGATTCAAGGAATCATGGATTTAAATTTTAAAGAATTACATTGTTGCTGACATGTTCTGTGTAGTCAGGCCTGCCTGGGTTGCATCTGTATTGAATGTGTACAGGCTTTTTTCCTTATCACGATTCCCTAAACAGTGCAGTATAACAACTATTTCTATAGCGTTTATGTAAGTAATCTAGAGATGATTTAAAGTATACAGCTTATATGTAAATACTGTGTCGTTCTCTATAAGGGACTTGGATGTCCATGGGGGTCCTGGAACCAGTCCCCCTAAGATACTGAGGGATACTTCAATATCTGTGAATACCTCAGCCAGAATTTTTAGCAACTAGCTGGCGAAAGGAAATGGCATACAAATAAGACTATGAGTCAGATCTGTTTTCAGGAGAGGGATGTAAGAACAGGAAGAAGGAGACAAAGAATAGAAAAAAACTAAAGGTAAGCATACTAAACTTCACCATCATGCCTTGGCGTCGCTGAGACTGAGTCATTCCATCACGTGCGCCTGTTTTGAATGGACACTGTAGATTCCTGGCCATTATGTTGGACTTAAAAAACACTGACCCTGAATGCTCTGAGCAAGGTTAAAGATCAAGATAGAGAAAGGGAATATAAAGAAGAAAGCAGAAGGAAGGATGGAAAGAAAGAGGGTGGGAAGGAGGGAAGGAAGAGAGGAAAGGAGGAAAAAAAATTGTAAAAATCAGCAGAAGATGAAGAGGAGCATATTTTACTAGAATGCCCACCAAAACCTTCCCTTTCATAAATATTTATTTCTGCTGTATTATAATTCTTTTTTTTCCTTCTGACACAAAACATCTGGCTAGAACACTGTGACCTGCTGGCTTAACGCTGTCTTCTCTTAGCAGGTTTGAGACCATTCAAGAAAGAAGCCAGAGTCACGCTCCGGATGCTGGACCCACTCAGCTGAAGAGGGCTAACGTGTTCTGTTTTATATTTATGTTGATTTACTAAATTGGGTTAATTTCCTTTTGTTTTATTTTTCATTATCCCAGTAAAGCCATGTATATTATCACTATATTTAATAATCACAGTCTAGAGAAGTTCGTGGTAAAAAGTACTTCCTTTGCACAGGAGCCTGTTTCTAAGGAAACCCATGCTGTGAAATACTTTTCTACTGATCATCATAACTCGGAACAGTGATACCAACCACATTGGAAGTCAAACAAAAGGAGGTGCAAGCTGAAAATTGCCTGAGGAATGTGTGCAGTATCCAGAAAAACAAACCATAGTGTGTTGTGGTGTGGTTTTTTTTTTTAACTTTAAATACAGAAGTCATGTTGTTTCTGCACTTTAGAATAAAGTAAAGCATGGAAGAAGTTATCGTAATAGGCAATTGTGACACTTTCTGAAAGTAACCCATTTCAGATTTGAGATATTGCAATAATGATTGTCCTTTTTAAAAAATGTGCTGTTAAGGTATTACTTTTTTCATGCTGATGAATATCTAAATTGGACAATGATGTTAGAAGACAGTGGTACCAATTTCTTTAGGTTGGTTGCTTTGTGGATTTCTTTGGTAGCGATAGTAAACCACATTTTAGATGGCCTGATCATGTATGTATGTGCATACACATATACAAACACACTAATGGTAGAAAGCTTCTTTATGTGCTAGACTATTATATTTAGCAGCCTGTCCTTTTAACTAGCCAATATCACAGCTTTTCAAAAATTAAAAATCACAATATGATATTAATATTCATATTTGCCTGTAGAGACATGGCAGACTAGGTATCGATGTGTGTTCAAGGCCCTATAGATAACCTGTAAGAAAAAGGAGAGATTCAAAATGTCAAAATGAATGGATATTTTCTATAAAACATAGTATTTAGCTTATAACTAAAAGCAACCTTGAAGTCCAGTGTGAATTTTACTAAATCTACCATCTGGGTCAAACTGAAAGCTTGCTGAGAACTTTATTCTATTAACAATCAAGTTCCCAACAGGTTGGCCCAAATGATATCTGAGGTCCATTCCTTATCTAAAATTTAAAGATGAGAATTTTAGTGACAATACTACAGAATGAAATTCCATGTATGGGTATAAAAGACCAACTTTGTCTAATGTTTGGAAGCAGAGAAGAAAAGTACGCAAAATCCGTATTTGGAAGTCATGACAGTCCTTCTATCTTTAATATACTGAACGATTTTTTAACTTATATGTTTCTACTTTTATTATTAGTCATTGGTACTTGTGATAAGTTGATAATGTGCTGAACTTTCCAAAAATACATAAAACTTTCACTAGTTTTACCATTTTCCCCAAGAGTATTTATCAACTCATCTTTTTTACACATACAATCCAGACATCAGATCTTATTTTAGCTTATAAGTATTCATCCGTTCTTCACAAGTGATGAGAAAGGAGTTCTCCGGTGTCTTGGCAATATGTTCTAGCATAGTGATACCTAGGGTAGTTCTATAAACTTATACCTCATTTGACTTAACCAAAGGTGTCCTACTCTCAATTCCTACCACAACGAGGGAGCCCCCAAATGACTATTTTCTGATCTACAGTATTCCCCTGGAAAGGCTAGCCAGGGTAGACTCTGCCTTGCAAAGTCTATTTTCCTCAAAAGTCAGTACAGAGTAGTTGAATTCTCTAGCTTTTAGCACACCTGGGCCAAAGGAAGGAAAGCCACCAAGACTGCACAAGTCACCCACCCATGACAGAGTAGATGCTAGTCTATGATAAGATAAACTAGAGTCCACATGTAGTGCCTGATTTAGTGTTGACTCCCATCACTGGAGTGAAATGGATCAAAGTTTGAGTTAAGGCCCATGGCGATGTAGCATTGCTTTGTTGTACTTTTGAACAAGAGCTTCTCCTGATCACTATTATATATATTTTTTCTCGAAAGTCTAAAGTTGAGAAGAGAATATATAGATCCTGACTTTTATTCCGATATTTGAATGGAATAAGTTTTAGGGTAGAACTTTGTTCAGTTTGGATTTAATGTTTTGAAAAACTAAATCCCTTGTTTACTTGTTTGATTACAATTCTCTTTGTTATCTTTAAGAGGTAAAACTGCAAAGTGACTAGCATGTTCTGTGAATCTGCCATTCCTAAAAATTTTATCAACACTTGATATTTTTCACTGATAATTGATCGCTGCAATAAATATATATTGTGAAAATGCATCCACAATAAATGGAATTCCTCCAAATGCCATTGCCTCACTTGTTTTTATGTATTAATTAGAAGAGTTATATTTGTTGTAATAAAGATGCCAGCCTAGCAAAGTGTACATTTCCCATTGAGTCCTGGTTTCATTCCTTAAAGATAAAAAGCCATTTCATATTCTCCTAAAACTTTTTATTACAGGCAGTTTTCTAACAAAATATTGAAAATTGCTTTGGTGTGGACGATTGACCAAACATGTATGAAAGAGGTGAAAAAGGAGGATTTTAAAAAATTCTTCTTCCAAAGAAAAAATCATCAACTATTCCTCCATCCTCCTCTTGTTCGCAGCATTGTCATGCTCCACCCTAAGATGGCAGCACTGTTTTAACCAGAGGGAGTTTCTTTCACAATAGAAATACCCGTTTAGTAAATACCATTTGTTTGCAGAATACTTACTCTTGGCAGGGCAGCAGCCATTACATCTAAATCCAAAGGTGCTTCTTCATAATAATTTTGTATAATCGTGTAGCACTACGTGGTCTTAAGTCTGAGGTGCTTCGCATAAAGGTTTTGTAGGTGGCGAGTCCAGAGCCCTGAGCAGCCCCTCCACCTTGCCCTAAGTTACTGTCACTTAAAAAAGAATTAGTTCTTTTCATCTCTATGTCCTAACAAGAAGGTCAATGGCAGTACGTGGAGACAGTAAGATACTTGTCATCAGTCAATTCACAAAACAAAGCAATAAAAAGAATACAATCTGTAGGACCAATACCAAGACAATGGGATTAGAGAGGGATGAAAATTAATTTTACAATGTGCACATTCAGGGTATGAATACGGTAATCTCTGGTGGGATGTAGAAACAGGTGCATTGGAGGTTTTCTCCTCCTTGCTTGCATGTTTGCTCCAAATGGAAAAGTTAATAAGAAAAAAAGATCTCATGATCCAAAACAGGTGTTCTTCCACAAAAGATAAACTAGTGAGGTCTTAAGTCCTGTGTCCCTCTGTCAAGTTTATTATTTGTGTTGTCCAAGCATTATATCCTTCCTGATTTTTTTGTTCCTTTGTTCTATTACTGAAAAAAAATGTAAAAATCTCCCACTATGACTACGGGTTTGTCTATTTCTTCTCATAATTGTGTTAATTTTGTTTTCCCTATTTTAAGGTCATGTTTAGATGTATATGCAAATCTAGAATCATCATATATTCCTAGAGAACTAAATATTTTATCATTATGAAGTGAATATGTGTAGCAAAGATTTTTGCCTTGTTTATTTTTTCTATCTTTTTGGTTAGCACTTGGCACGATACAACTTTTTCCACACACCACACCCTTACTTTCAACCATTGTATACCCTTTAATTGTAGATACATGTCTTTGAAAACCATGTGATTTGAGTTTGGGTTTTAATCCAGTCTGATTATCTTTGAGTTTTAACTGGAGTATTTAATTCTTTTATATTTGGTGTAATTACTGATATTTTTGCATTTCAATAGCATCCTAGTTATGTGCTACCTGTTGCTTTTTCTCTCTCGCCTTTGGGCCAGAATTTCTTATGCTTCCAAGCACATGCAAGAGGCAGCTGAGAGGCCGGGCTAGACTTTTAGCAACCCACTGAGACTAGAGAACAAAAGAATCTTCAACTGTCCAGGAGGAGGTTTTGTTAGACCACTTCCAGATAATGGGTTTCGAAGGAGCTGCTTCCCGAATATAAGGAGGAGCTTGAAGGAACCCGGTCTTCATAAAGATTGCCGCCTCCCTTCACTCTGGGAAAGAATTACAGCATCCTGGGTAAATTATAAATAGTAGGCATAGAAAGATACAACGTATTGAGTAACAATTCAGGAATTTAAGAGAAAAATATCACAAGGTTTTGGTACATAATTGTCAAAGAATTATGTAACACATAATTCAGTGTTTAGAGGGAGAAGAAAATACTTCAATCTGGGGTAATCAGAGAAAGAAAAATTTCTGCCTTATATTCTTTTGTACCCTCAGGAGTACCCAGTACTCTACACATAGTGGTGCTTGGTTAAGTCCTAAAATGATTTCCTAAGCAACCCAGTTTATAAATTGCCAGGTGTACTACTGTCAATTTTTACAGAGTTCGTAGAGATCTGAGAGACTAATTTGTGTTACAACATTTTTATTCCCACGTTTATAATTCCTATACCCACTCAGCCCTGTATCTCAGCTCTGAAAGGAATGTTGGCCCCTTACTTGACTCTAATACAGATTTAACAGCAGTTTTGCCAAAGCATGCTTTTAGTGATATCAGCTTTTGTTCTCTTGGCCTTTTTCCCTCCCAAAAATTTTCATTAAAATGGGTTTTACAAGTCCAAAGTGATCATTTCTACCTAGATTGAAAAAACAACAAATCTTTATTCCATAATCTCTTACTAAAGGTACTACTATAACAGTTACACAAAAGAGCTATAATCGTTCAGAACACAAGATTAGCTCCTTAACTAGTTTTCAGCCTGGGTCAGCGGCGGCAGTAGTCACGCAGGCATCACTGCAGTAAAGCAAGTAGGTGCCCAAGTATCAGAGGGATGTGGTGTCATTGTCACCACCTGGAGGTCAGCTAGCAAAATGATTGACAGCTAACATTTGCTGGGCCCTTACAAAGTCCCGGGCACTTTATGTTATTCACTCGTGTAAGCCTCACAATCACCCTACATGATGGGTACTACTGTGTGATTCCCACTTTACATGTAAATAATTGGCAGCACAGAGAAGCTAAAAAGCTTACTCAAGGTTAGGTGGCTATCAACTGGCAGAATATTTGACCCCAGGCAATTGGCTCCTGAGACCACACCCATACTCGCTAGTCCCCAGAATCTCTCAAAAGTGACTATTATTGTGTAGGAGCAGGCCTTGAAGAGGGTCCCTTATAGAGGGAGGTTGGAGCCAAGACTCTGCCCTTGAAGCCCACAGACAAAGAGCGAGGACAGCCCTTGAGGCCAACATTGTAGACTTCAACTTGGCCCAGTTAAGGAGATGTTTGCCCTTTTCCTTCTCTATCCCTGCTCATCCTAAAACGATAAGGAACTGATACCTACAAAAAAAGAGGGAATGGATGTAAATAGCAAAACACCAGCTCCCTCTCACTTCCCAAGCCACCAGAGCTGGGGACAGAGAAGAAGGAGGGGAGTAGAATTCAGTTTGAAACAAGTTTAAAATGTACTTAATACCAAATCCAAGAATGAAATCTTAGATACCAAAATGAAACTGTTTTAGTAGCTAAAAGTGGCTGAAAAGTGATGGAATCTGGCTGACATGTCCTCTGTGGAAAACGGGATTTCACCATTGCTGTTCAGGAGCTGTTATTGGGGGGTGGGGAGGGCAAAAAAGACCATTTCATGTTTTTTTGTCATGATGCTTCATTCACACTAACCCTGGGAACCAGTCTTTCCTTGAGGTGATTTATCCTATCCATTTTTTTGTAGAGCAAGCAGAGGACATTTTTACCACCTCATTTCCAAGTGTTTAGGAGAATGATGTTTCCCAACGTCCCCAAATTTAGACATATTCTACCAACTAATTCTACCAACTTGAGAGGGATTAGGAAAGACTTCATTGTGGGGATGAGCCTTGAGCTGAGTCTTGGTTAGCTGACTGGCTGAGATACATCTCATGACATGAGCTTGGAAACACTTTGTGAGGTTCAGCCCTATATACTGGGGCATCCTAGACCCACACAGTCTTAGAGAGGCCAAGGTGGGCACTACAGGGATGACCCCAGGGCTCCCAGGATCTACTATGGCTTCCTCAGCCAAACGGGGACAAGACCCCTATAGCCACATAATCACTAACTTCTGTGATGTCATAAATAACTCTGCCCTAGTCACTTCATGTTCTCATTTAAATCCCTGTCAATAAATTCAAAATGATATAATTACACAAAATAAATTATAGTCCTAACACAACTTACATTTGACCATGTTGCCAGAGTGAACTTTTCTTCCTGATTCCCACACTAATAATTGTGCCTTTTGGAGTCTCTTTTGGTTTCTATTTTCCTCTTCTCTTACTCATTATATTCCTGTTATACTGCAGGCTTGGGGTAAATAAATTCACCAAAAATAGGAGGAAAAGTTGTTGTAGGGGTAAAGCTGCCTTCCCAAAGGTAGGAGAAGCTGGCTGTATAAGGAGTAGGACCAGTAGCCTTCTCTGATAAGGTCATGGGGAAAGGAACAAAAGTTCAGACTGACAGTCCTTGATAGAAACTGACTCGAGCCCTCACCTCCACTGTAACCTAAATGCAAAGAATTTCATCTGCACTACATACTACTATCTGTAATTGGAGAGTAAACTGAAGAAGAGGAAGAAGCGGCAGCAGCAGCTTAAGAAAACGATGTTTAATTTATTTGGGGAAGGAAAAAAAGTCCTAAAGAAATCTCTTTCCTTAAAATGATGTTCACTTCAGCCAAGCTTTGGCTGAACAGCATTGCCTAGTACAGTTCATGACCCTGGTCTTCTCTTGGAACCTTTGTTATACATTGGCTGCTTCACCTGCCTGGCTAGTCACATGGCTCTTCCCTTTACTTGCTTCAGGTGTCTGCTCCAATGCCTCCTGGTCCGAGAAGCTTCCCTGCACACCCCATCAAAAGAGCTACCTCTACCAGGTGGATCCAACCTTTTGGCGTCTCTGGGCCACACTGGAAGAAGAGTTGTCTTGGGCCACACATTAAATATATTGTGACACATAATCACACACACACACAAAATCTCATAGTCTTAAGTAAATTTACGGTTTTGTGCCAGGCTTCATTCATAGCCATCCTGGGCCACATGCAGCCCATGGGCCGTGGGTGGGACCCCCCTGCCAAGGCCCCCCTACCCAGGTCATTCTCTGTGCTCTATTTTTCCCTGCTCTATTTCTCTCCATAGCAGTTATCATCACCTGGGGGTCTGTCTGTTTTCAATTGGTTTGTCTGTCTTCTCTCAATAATATATAACGATGCAATTGCCTATACCAGGAACAGTCCCTGACAAGTAGTAGGCATTTGATGTTTTGTTGAATTAATGAAAGAATTATGAATTTCAAAGTTTTTTAATTTCTAAGTTTTTTTAGGCAATATGATCATGTAAATATTTGGACTAAAAATCATGGGACTTAAATCCCAGCTCTACTATTAATTTCTTTTGTAACCTGGTTAGATCATTTCTTGGAGCTTCACATTGTACATCTAACATCCTATGGCTCACAACCATGACTCTAAAGTCCAACAGGAAAATAGATTCCATATATAAAAATTCTCTGTGCATGTCACCTTCAGAAACACATGTAGGACATAAGACAAAGTACAATTATTATAAAGGGTAGTTATTTTTCAAGGGAGCTTTATAGAACATATGCTTGCTCTGTTTCTTTTTCTGGAAGGTCCAAACTTCGACATTGCTAACCTCAAAATAAAAAAACCAGCCTGTTATTCTTCAGAAACGTACAAAATCTAAAGATACTGAGTCACTTCCATGCTTAAGCTAAAGTGCTTTGCCCTTTATTCTGCTTTCAAACTTGCTATAATTCATTATCTCCATGTCTACAGTATTAGAAACCTCATGACATATAATGCCCACGTAGGAACCAAACATATAAAGACTTTTCTCCCCCAAGCAATACTACTTTGAAAACTGTTCCAAATATATTCAAATATCCACTAGAGCTAAAGATCAGGAGAAAATCAAGATGGGATGTACAGGAATAATGTCTAAATCTGCCATGGGAAGATCATAATTAGATGAGGCAATACATGTGAAGCGAGTGATATAGTGCCCCGCCAGATAACGTGTTCAATGTTACCTAACGATTAGTACATTTAAAGGATCTCTGAACTGATAAGAACCTTGAGAGGTCACTCCAGCATATCTAGGACTCCCTTATCAAGTGTTTAAAAAGAAAAATTTTCACTTCTGAATCAAATAAAGATCATTAGGCACCCCCCTGTCCAGAACTCAACTCTGTGTGGGGCAGTCTTAACCAGTATGCTCTACAGCCCCGCCGGTCGGAGAACGGACGTGGCAAACAATCGTGCAGAACATAGAAACACATCAGCGCCCGCCTTCCCCGCTCCTAAATTTCCTGCTAGCCACACTCCACCCTGGGGGTCCGCTTGCAACCCGCTCGGGATTCTCCCTGCCCCTAGTTCCCGACATCCTTCGGGGCCCCCCTTCCTCCGGCTGAAATCCCGCGAAGGCTCTTTTCTCATTTCTCACGTCGAAGATGATTCCCAAGGTCTGTCTGAAGTCTCGCGATGGTGGTCCCGTTGCCCTGGTAACAAGTGGCCTTGCCTCTCGGCAAGGGCGTGGCTCTGCAGTTGCTAAATGGGCCTTAATTATGTGGGAAGGGAAGGCGGGCCGGCCGGAGAAACCGGGGGCCGGCCGAGTCGGGGCAGTGACGCGTGCAGTTGCGAGGCGCTCGCAGGCGGGGCGCCCCGTGCGGGAAACGAGCGTACGTGGACAGGGCCGCCGGGGAAAATGAGCTCCTCCCCACACTACAGTGTCCAGACGTGAGCGTGCGGGGAACACTTTGACAACACGAACTGTGGCTTCATCGTCCTTCCCACCAAGAAAGTCATCGCGCCTACGCGCAGACCTCCCCGGCGCGGCTGGGCCCCGAGGCGCTTGCTTTCGCCTCTTCCGCTCCAGCCGTGGAAGATAACGCGCGGGGTGCCCATTAGATAATCAGTGCGTGGCTCACCTGAAGATCAGGTCAGCACAGTTGGTGTTACCCTGCTCAAGGGGTTGGCTGCTTAGGGTGTTCTACTCAAGCAAGAGGTGTGGTTGTCGCTAGGTTTATTATTTACAGCTAGTAAAGGGGATTCACATCCAAAGCTCTGTCTCCCCAAAGGGAGGCTTAGCGGTTCCTTATATGCACTATTTGGTTAATTACGTGTTGATTTCTTCTTTGCCATTGGCTCCCCTTATCTGGTTGGGTTCCCATCAGGCTCATCAGGTTACAGCTGTGTCTGCAAAATACTGTGCCTACATTTTAACATTTAGCAAGACTGGCATTTAGTGAGAACCACCCAGACAATAAGACCCTTGTCCTGTCTTCACATTCGTGTACCTCATATGCCCATGTACCAAGGGAAACAGAATCAAGATTTATGCCAATCCAGTTTCCCAAATTTGGAATTGTGGCGACCCCCAGGCTGAAACTTCAGCCTCTTAGTGCTGAAGGTCCGAAAAAGACAGACCTCTCTGTTGCATTTGTAGTTATTTCCTATGGAGCTTGGACTTTTTTCTATGTAGTCATGTTCCAAAAGGTGCTTTTTGTAAGGAGGAGCTTGAACAAATAGACTGGGAACTGGTTAATTCCTTTGGTCTGAAAAAAGAATAGGATCCTTCTATAATTTTATTATCTTAGTAATACACACTTGGGAGGATACTCTCGTAAGAGGGAAATAATCATCACCAATAAAACCCTGTGAGAGCTATTGAGAGAGACTTCAAAAGGACAAATAATTATAATTGAATATTAGAACACTGTAGAGACAGAATTGAATACTGTAGAGACAGTATCTGCAGAATGTTAATCAAAATATTAAAAGTCTGTACTGGCATTTGAACTGTTGGTCAATTGAAAATTCAGCAGAAAATAAATTTTTTCTATTGCAACATTTAACTGCCTGAATAAATAGCTATAATTTTTTAATTTTTTTTATTCATGATCATTTTAATGCTTAGGATTATTCTGAACTTGCTATTGCTCTCTGGTATTTAATTGTAAATATAGGGTGTAAATGATTTGGCTGTGTATCCTATAAATTCTTTTTCAGTTATTTACTTGATTTGTCTTTTATTGTGATTTGGTCTCTCATAGAAATGAAAATTTTTTTCAAATCTTTGATATTGAAGGTTTCTTTAGCTGTCTCCTAATAACTTAATTTTTTAAAGAAAGCTGTTGTCGACTAAATGCAATCGAATATGTTTTTGGTACTTGTTTAATGTAATAAACACTTTAAAAAGAAAATTGTCAATAAATTCCTTAGAAATTGTTTTACAGCCTGCCCACATAATAAAAGAAATTTTGAGCCAAATATTAAAGCGATGCCAGAAGATTCAGAAGAGGAAGACTATTCAGACAGAACTACCAGTGAAGATGAATCAGTATGTTTTCCCCAATTTTACTTAGTTTGAGATAAACTTGTGTTAGATTCCCAGTAAAAGTATTATAAAGTCAATTGAATGCAAGAATCAATCAGATGTTTAAATCACTTGTCACTGAAGTTGGGAAATAGTCTGACTAAAAGTCAAGATATTACTGTGTGCAGTATGCCCTATATTGATAGTATTTTTATGAGAAAAAAAATTGAGTAATACTCTTCTGAGTTTTATTAAAATGTGTGTATTAAATCATTATTAGGGTGTTGTTTTTTTTTATAATTCCTGTCCACTTTCTCATATGTATTGATTCTACTGTGTTCATCATAGTATGATACTGGAACCTCCCTATGTTTTAAACCTGTGTTGCTCCTTAGTAGGTTTAATGGGGCTCTGATGTAACAAAGTAAATGACATGGAGGAAGGAAAGTTGGGGGGTGACAAAAGGCAGTATTTAAAAATATTTTGTCTGGTTCTAATAATAGTTGTAAGATATTTTCTTCACATTTTAGTATAGTATCAATTATCATGTGTGTAAGTTAAGGTCCCAAAATAAGCTCCCACAATAATGTATAACCTTTTTCTGTTTCTTTTCTTTCTTGTTCTTTTTATTGTTGTTAATTTTTATTAATTTAAATTGTTTTGCCAAGTTTGCCAAAACTCTTTAAACTTTATTTCTTCCCTACAGTCAGTAATATGATCTTCCCATGTGGAAGAAAAGGAATGAAAGGTGAAAACTTCACAGTTTCAGGATATTTGAAATGTTGGGTGCTTTGAGACCAGTAGCCTATAATAATTTTCCAGTTTTTTTCATTAAATAGTAAACACATGCACTCAATTCTGAGTGCAAACTAGATGTAAAAACAATTCTGGGTTTGGAAATTGTTGGTTTTTAAAAGAGAAATACTTGAAAACTCTCTTGTTGTAGGATGAGGACACTTTCCTGAAATTCACAGGTGAAGATCTCCAGCAGTGTGCACTTCTAACAGGTTTGAATTTACCCACGGTTCCATATCCATGTATCTGTATGATATCACCTGGAGTGGATGAAAAAGAACAAGAAGAGGAAACTAGAAAAAAGTCAGATTGCATAACTTAGGAAATGATTCTGTTACTGGATAAGGAGAGAGGACTGTATTTACTTTTATAAAAATCTTTTGGAGTTAAAACTTTTAAGGTTTATTTTAGGTAAACCTGATTCTTAATGAAACTAAATGAAAATGGTATTAATACTCCATAAAGGACTTAATATAAGAATTTACCTTGACAGTTCTTTAAATAAGTAACTCTTTAAATGCATTTACAGCATGATTGGAGTTATCATGGATACAATGTTTTGGAACTGCATCTTTATTTAAATGAAGCACGCCCGTATAAAGACTTTTCTTAAAGCCATTCAATTGCAAATTTATGTGTATATGTGTGCATCTTGATGTAGACTTGATTTTTTAAAATTTATACATTTAGAGTTGGACTTTCAAATACACACTAAAATATTCTAAATATTCATATATCTATCACAGACATTTTTAAATTGAAAATAAAACCTTTAATTATTTTTTATTGTTTTGTCTTTTTTATCACCATCCTAAAGCAAATCTTCACTTTTGAGATAACCACTATTCTCAGTTTGGTGTTTAACCTTTTAGAATTTTTTCCTTTGTGTTTGTACACATATCTACACCCATATTCATAGAAAATTCGTAGTACTATTTTGTGGACTTCCTATAGCCCCCTTTTTTGTTTTTAAAACTTTTTCAGTCTGTTGGAAAAAAGGAGGTAACTCAAGTTTTAACCAATGACATTTTCTTGATTACTAAGGAACTTGTTTCATATGCTTGTCTATTTATATTCTCTTGTGTTATGGCTCTTTCATAGTAATCCTTTGTTAACTTTGTTTACATTTCTTTCATTGTTTGGAATTATTTTGATGTTGTTTATCATTATTCATTTGCGGCTCTTTATTTTTATATCTGTTTAAGCTGCAAAAGCCCCTACTCCAAAATCATCAACATAATTATCAAAATTTTCTTTAAATACTTTTATGTACCTGTTTGAATTCTGGTATTTAATTTCTCTATAATTTATATTTACAAGTAGTATGTGATATGGATCTAATTTTATTTCCTAAATCATAAATTGTTGCCTTGCCATTTTTGAGTCATACTATAAATTAGACCAAGTACGGTCTATTCACATAATGGAATACTAGATGCTTAATGACTGTTGAATAAATGGATCTAGGTAACAATCTTGAGAAGTAGCCATGGAAGGTAAAATTCCTTGTTTACAAGTAGTAAGATTGATGTTCAAAGAGGCTGCATTGGCCAACCATAATCATGGAGAAATAAAGTGGTAGAATAGAACTCAGTTCGTCTGACCCCTAGTCCAATTGCTATGTCTGCTATTATACAAAAATAGCCCGGAATGAAATCTAGGCAAAAAGCCACACTTCAGAGGCAGAAGAGCAAGAGGAGGCAGCGAGACAAATGGAACCAAGAATGTGAAAGGTAGAAAACCAGGAAGTGTAACATCATAAAAAAAACAAGGGAAATGAACTTAAGGAAGGGTGATGATCAAACATCAAATTGATGCCCCAGTTATCTGTTGCGAGAGAGAACACCTCTGCACTGCCTACCTGGGACAACCCCACTGTATTCTGTGTCAATTATGTTACTAGGGTTGTGTCGCGCAGAAGTCCTAGAATGAGAACTGAAAGTTGTGACTGGGAGTTCACGGACAACCTTTGAGCATATAGTTCCAGTAGGTGGTGAGGAAATATGATCAGTGGGTATATTTAACCTATTAGGCACAGAGTTGCCTTGGTGTGATTACGTTTTGGTTAAGTTTTAGAGAGAGACTGATTGATTTGTTGTTCCACTCTATTTATTCACTCATTGGTTGATTCCTGTATGTGCCCTGATTGGGGATCAAACCCTCAACTGAAGTACATTGGAATGATGCTCTAACCAACTAAGCTACCAGGCCAGAGCTCAATATGACTAAGCTTAAGAGGACTCAACGGTAAACAGTTTGCTAGAAAAGCTGCAAGAAACAAATACAATCCCTATCAAAATCCAAAATGTTTTTGGAGTAGCAGTGATAGTGTAGCATAAATTAATAGTATTTGAGATCCAGAACTATGTTTTAGCTATTGTGAAAGTCAGTTGTTATAAAATTTCCTTATCACTTTTATTTTTAAATGCCATGAATTATGAACTAATTACACTCATAGATATTTATAAATTAATGATGCTGGAGGAAGAAAAGGAATATACAAAAAATTATAGGAATTGGAGTTTTGCTTAATTACACTCATAGATATTTATAAATTAATGATGCTGGAGGAAGAAAAGGAATATACAAAAAATTATAGGAATTGGAGTTTTGCTTCTTAACACTCATGATTGTGTTTGAATCTCTTTCTAGCTGATTCCATTAGTGACTCATTTTTCCCCCGGACCACACAGATCATATTGGAATATCACCTAGGGAAATGGGTGCGACGCCTTCGTGAGCCACGAGATTTATATGGTGTCTCTTCCTCTGGTCCACTGAGCCCAACACGGTGGCCGTACCACTGTGAGGTCATTGATGAAAAGGTCCAGCATATTGGTATGTTCTTAGCAGTTATGGGGATTCAAATATATTAGTAAAGTTACTTTGCCAACCCTGATTTTAATGAGAAGACTCCTGGTGTTAGAATAGTCATTCGAACAGAAATATAACATGAGCCATACAGGGTTGGGCAAAAGTAGGTTTACAGTTAATTGTATGGAAAATAATACAATGATTAATAAATAATAACAGAAGGATAAACTCTGTTTCACATACTCATAATTGTAAGCCTACTTTTGCCAACCCCATACATATAATTAAAATTTTTCTAGTAGCCACATTTAAAAAGATAAAAAGGAACAAGTGAAATTGATTTCAAAAATACTTTTTACTTCACCCATATATGTTCAAAATATTTTACATTCTTTTTTTATACAAAGTCTTTGAAAACTGGTGTGCATTCATACTTACATTTCAATTCAATTCCAGTTTGTTCACATCCTTGCTAATGTTTTTTCTTTTTCTTTTTTTTTTTAATAATAGCTATCCTAACAGGTCTGAGGTGATATCTCACTGTGGTGTTGATTTACATTTCACTGAAGATCAGTGATGTTGACAATGTAATCCCTATCAAAACATTTTTTACAGAAATAGAAAAACAGCTATAAAATTCAGATGGAACCACAAAAGGCTACAAATGAGTCTTGAGAAAGAGGAACAAAACTGGATGCATCACACTTCCTGATTTCAAAATATAAAACAAAGCTACAGTAGTCAAAATAGTATAGTACTGGCATAAAGACAGACATACCTACCAATCAATGGAACAGAGAGTTCAGAAACAAATCCACATATATATGTTCAACTGATCTTTGATAAGAGTGCAAAGAACATGCAATGAGGAAAGGACAGTCTCTTCAACAAATGTTGAGAAAATTGATTATTCACATGCAAAAGAATGAAACTGGACCCTTGTCTTACACCACACAAAAACATTAACTCAAAATGGATTAAGGACTTAAAAACAGAAAACCCAAAACCGTAAAATTCCTAAGAGAAAACATAGGAGAAAAGCTTCATGACATTTTTCTTGGCAATGATATGGATATGACACCAAAAACACAGATAACAAAAGCAAAATAAACGAGTGGGACAACATCAAACTAAAAAGCTTCTGCACGGCAAAGAAAATAGTAACAGTGAAAGGCAAACTGTGGAATGGGAAAAATATTTGCAAACCACATTTCTGAAAAGGAGTTAATCTAAAAATGTGAGGAATTTCTACAACTCAATAGCAATCAAACTAGTAACCAGATTAAAAAATGGGCTAAGGACTTGAATAGACATCATCCCAAAAAAAGACATACAAATGACCAACAGATATATTTACTGGCTTTTTTTTTTAACTATCAAAAATTATATATATATATTTTTTTTTTTGCTCAAATACATTTGTCTCCACCTTCCTGCCACCACTTTCCCCTGCCCCACTCCCCCGTATTTATTGGCTTTTTATGTAAACTGATACAATTTTTTTGTCATTTTACTGTTGGTTGTACTTTTGGTTTTCTTCTTGATTGGTGCTCTCTATATATTTATAAGATTGGCTTAATATGTCATGTATGTTGCATACTTTTTTCTCAGTTTGTCATTTACCTTTTTCTCATGTAGAAAAATTTAATTTTTATGTAATCACTTCGTCATTTTTCTATGGCTTCTAGGTTTTGAAATTCTCATGTTTCTCTTAGCACTTTTCAAGTTGTATTTTTTGTGATTAAAGTTTTTTTCTATAAGTAATCCATTCTGAAGCAAGAAGTGAACTCCCAGTCCACTTCTGTTAACTGTCTAGCCATTTGTCCCAACAAAGTTATGAAATAATTTGTCATTTACTGATTGGAATTGGAAATGCCACAATTATTATATACTAAATTTGAAGGTCTAATTTCTAATTCTGTTCTATTACATTAACTTCTCTACTCATAATGGTAGCTCAAAAACTTTTTTTTTTAATTTTTATTTATTTTTATTTTTTTTACCCCTCACCCAAGGATATGTTTATTGATTTTTTTGGAGAGAGATGAAGGGAGAGGGAGAAAGAAACACTGATGTGTGAGAGAAACATTAATTGGTTGCCTCCTGTATGCATCCCAACCAGGGATCAAACCACAACATTTTGGTGTATGGGATGATGCTCCAGCCAACCAAGCCACCTGTCCAGGCCTCAAAATCCTTTAAAGCTGTAGTTTTTAAAACTATAAATTTTGATATGTGATAAGCTTGGTTTGCCAACATTCCCTTTTTTCTTTTAAAATATTTTCCAATTTCTTGGCTTATCGTATTGGCTTATTTTACCTTATTGGGCATATTTCTATATGAAATTTAAAATGAGCTTTACTAGTCGTCCCAGAATTAATACTGGTAACTTTATTGTGATCACATTACATTTATAGATTAAGCAAGAGTGACATCTTTACAATATTGCGTCTTCCTAGCCAAGAACAAGGTATGTCTCACTATTCTAGTTTTCCTTTACCTTCCTTAGTATAATTTTACAGTTTTTTTCCTGCACCTTTTCTAAGTTTTATTGTCAGGTATTTTATTTTGTTGCTATTTTTTTAAGATTTTATCTATTTATTTTTAAAGAGAGGAGAAGGAAGGGAGAAAAACAGCAGTGTGTGGTTGCATCTTGCTTGGCTCCTACTGGGGACCTGGCCCGCAACCCAGGCATGTGCCCTGACTGGGAATCAAACCACTGACCTTTTGGGTCACAGGCCAGTGCTCAACCCACTGACACACTGGCCAGGGCATATTTTGTTGCTATTTTAAATATACTCTTTACTGCATATTATTTTCTAAGTTGTAGAGGGAAGTTAAGTTTTGTGTATTAATTTTGAAATTACCCACTTCTTATTTCTAGTTTTTAAGTTGTTGTATATGTGCTTTTATACAATTATATCATCTAGAAGTAATATAATTAAATCTCCTTATTTCCAGTTTGTATACCTTATATTTGTCTTTCTTGACTGAATGCAATGACAGGTACTTTAAAAAATATGAAATAGTTTTATATTCATCTTGTTTCTCATTTTAATGGGAATGCTTATAGTGCTTCTTTTCTAAGCAAAATGTTGGCTTATGGTTTGAAATAAATTTGCTTTTGATTTTATTAAGGAAGTGTCTATTCTTTATTATTAAGAAATTTTATCAGAAATAATTACTAATTTTATTAAAAACCTTTCAACATTTACAGAAAGAAAGCATCATAAAGTTTTTGTTTGATGTATTACTTTGGTAAATTATACCATTTGGTTCTTTAATACTGAACTAGCTTTATATTATTGGAATGGACTGCAGTTAGTCACTGTGTATTATTTTGTGTGTTGCTAAATTCTGTTTGCTAATGTCTTATACAGGATTTTTGTTTTAATATGTATAAGATAATTTATAATTTTCTAGCTTTTGCAGTTTTTTAGGTTTTAGTATAAATATTATTCAGAATTCTTCCTTATGTTCTAGAACAGTTATAGAATAATACTGTAATTAATAGTTCTTTTAAAGTTTGATAGAATTCACCTAAAACAGTCTGGACAAATCTGTTATTGTTGTTTTAGATATACAGAGGATATTTTTAGTGTAAAACTTCTTTCTTCTTTGTTAGTCCTGTTTAGATTTTTTTTTTACTATTCCAGGGACAGTTTTGATTATTTGTGTTTTTCTAGAAAAATAGTGCTTTCATGCAGAATTTGTAATTCTTTTACATAGATTTAGTCAAAGTATTCTCTTGTGATAGTTATAATTTCCTTTGATTATATGGAATTTTTCCCCTGTTCTTATAGTTTATATTAAGTATTTGTGCATTCTTATTTTCTTCTCCCTAATTATATTAGTGGGATTATCCTGCTAGTTTTTCCAAAGAATCAATATTTGAATATATTTATTAGTTCTGTTGTGCTCTTTTCTTATTGATTAATTTATGGTTTTTTGTACATCAGATTCATTTACATTTCTTTAAAATTTAATCTCGTTCTGTATTTCACTTCTTGTTTCCCAATATTTTATTACGATAAATGTCAAATGTAGAGAGAATTTGAAAGGGTTGTACACGAACATCCACAACTCACCAGCTAGATTCTTATTATTAATTAATTGCCCTATTTCTTTTTCACATATGGAGCCAACTATCTATCCCTCAGTCTATCCATTAAACCATGTTAATTTTTATTTAATTCAAAGTAAGTTGCAGACATCCTTACCTTTCAACTCCAAACATTCTAGCATGCATGTTTTTAGCTAGAGTTTAATCTTGGTTTATTATTCTTTTTAGTATTTTTGAGGTAAATTTTACAGTCAGTGAAATGAATGAATCTAAGTGTATCAGTCAATGAATCTTAGCAAATGCATCCACCTATGTCATCCAAACGCCTACCACAGTATAGATTACCTTTTTAAGTAAGATTATAATCACTTAAAAATTTAAGTAACAAACATGTACAAGTCTTGTATGCTTAAATCTATAAAATGCTAGTGAAGGAAATCAAAGAATGTCAAAATATATCAAGAAATACACCACGGCCATGGATTGGAAAACTCAATCCAGTAAAGGTGTTAGTCCTCCCCAAGTGAATAGGTTTTAGGCAATTCCTAGCAAGACTTTTTTTGTAGATAGAGGCAAGATTGTTCTAAAATTTATATGCAAAAGCGAAGGAACTGAGAATAGCTAAAACAACTTTGAAAAGAAGCATAAAGTGGGGGAATCAGCCTATGTGATTTCCAGACCTTTTATATAGCTACGGTAGTCAAGGCCCTGCGGTGTTAGTGGAGGGATATGCCTAGATCAGTAGAGCAAGAGAACCCAGAAATAGAACCACACAAATATGCCCAACTGATTTTTGACAATGGTGCAAAAGCAATTCAATGGAGGAAAGTTAGCATTTTCATCAAATGTTGGACATCCATAGATTTTTTTTTAAAAATGAACTTCAATCTAAGTCAAGTGCTTATATATGGAAAATTAATTCAAACTGGATCACAGACATAGATGTAATGCATAAAGTTATCAAACCTTAAAATTGGAGAAAATCTTTACTATTTAGAGCTAAGCAATGTCCTAGAATGGGCACCAAAAACATGGTAAATAGAATGAAAAATCAATAAATTGGATTTTATCAAAATTAAAAACGTTTGCTTTATCAGAGATCTTCTTAAGAGGAAGAAAAAAAACAAAGAGTAACATGTACACCAACTGATTCTGTCCCTTTTTATGAGGAAAACAGCTTTTCCCCAAATTGCACAAGTAGTCCTTACATCTCCTTGGTCAGCTTTATATTATGTGGCTACTCCTAAGCCAGAGGGAAGCTGGGAAAATTGAGGTTTTTGGTGGAGCTCATGCCACCCCAATACAGGTTTTTGGTCATAAAAACAAGAAAGTTAAAATGGACATTGAGGAGGCATCTGGAAGTGTACACAGTATCTGCAAGTTTTCAGGCCTTTCTGCTCCTAAATGTTCCTTTGTTCGTGTAGCAGTGAACTAACTTGTCCTAGTCATCGATGCTGCGTGTGGAAATGGCTTATCCTGGCAAGTGCTTGACAGAGCCACATAGTCTGCTTTGCGGCAAATAGTCGTCTTTGATGTCAACCACTGAAGACAAAATTAAGTGGCTCCTTAGTCCTACTGCACTTTTCAATGTTGTGGGATGCCTTTTGGAGGAATATCTACATTTTGGATACCCTTGTTAAGGAGGAGTACGTAAAGAAACAAGTTCATTTATTATACAACAGCATCAAAAGAATAATATAGGAATATACTTCAGAAGTGTAAAATATACTCTGAAAACTATAAAACATTGTTGAAAGGAAATTTTAAAAATTTAAATAACAAAAAGGCACCCATGTCTGTGGATCAGAAAACTTTTATAGTTGTGATGGCAATCCTCCCCAAATTAATCTGCCAGTTCAATACAGTCTCTATCAGAACACTGACTGCCTGCTTTGTAGGAATTGAAAAACTGATCCTAAAATTCACATGAAAACTCAAAGGAACCTAGAAGAGCCAAAAAAAAAAAAAAAAAAATCTTGAACAATTTGAGACTGACAATTACCAATTTCAAAACTACAAACCAGCAATAACCAGGACAGTGCTATACTGCCATGAAAATAGGAATATAGATCAATGAATCAAATTGAAAATCCAGAAATAAACCATGTAGTTGACTACAAAGTCAACTGATTTTCAACCAGAGTGGCAAGTCTCTTCAACAAGGACAAAATAGTCTTTTCAACAAATGGTGCTGAAACAATCAGGTAAATAATCACACGAAATGTAGATAAAGTTTGACCTTTACTTCACACCATATAAAAAATTAACTAAAATGTGTCAAGCTCTTAGAAGTAAACGTTCATGACCTTGAGTTGAGCCATGGATTCTTACCTATAACACCAAAAACACAAGCAACAACAACAAAAATGGGTCAATTGGATTTCATCAAAATTAAAAACTTTTGTGTTTTAAAGAGAGTTCCCTGACTGGTGTGGCTCAGTGGATTGGGCGCTGGACTGCAAAGCAAAGGGTCGCTGGTTCAATTCCCAGTCAGGGCACATGCCTGGGTTACGGACCATGTCCCCAGTAGGAGGTGCTTGAGAGGCAACCACACATTGATGTTTCCCTTTCTCCCTCCCTTAAAAATAAATAAATAAAATCTTCTTTTAAAAATAGCAAGCCATTTTTTTAAAGAAAACTATCAAGAAAATGAAAATACAACCCACAGAATGGGAGAAAAATACTTGCAAACTATCTGGTGGATTTACATGGAACTCTTAAAACAACAAAAAGGAGATATGTCTATAATACGTAGAATTCTTACAGTTTACAATTTTAAAACACAAATAACTTGCCCTGACTGGTGTGGCTTAGTTGGTTGGGTGTCGTTCTGCAAAACAAAAGGTTGCTGGTTCAGGGCATATGCATAAGTTGTGAGTTTGGTCCTGGGTTGGGGCGCGTACCAGAGGCAACCGGATTGATGTTCCTCTCCCTTTATTTCTCCCTCCCTTCCCCTCTCTCTGAAAGTTAATTAATTAGACGTGGCTGGTGTGGCTCAGTGGGCTGAATGCCAGGCTGTGAACCAAAGGGTCACCAGTTTGATTCCTGGTCCGGGCACAGGCCTGGGTTGCATGCCAGGTCCCCAGTATGGGTTGCACATTGATGTTTCTCTCCCTGTCTTTATCCCTCCTTTCACCGCTCTCTAAAAATAAATAAAATATTTATTAAAAGTTAATTAAATTTTTAAAAAGACAACTCAATTTAAAAAGTGCAAATCATCTGAATGAGCATTTCTCTGAAGAAGACAAACATGGCCAATAGACACATGAAAAGACAGTCAGCATCTTTAGTTACCAGGGCAATGATGTAAATTAATAACACAATGAGATAACCACTTCACACCCACTATGATAACTAGAATCAAAATCAGGTAAACAAATGTTGATGAAAACGTAAAAAAATCAGAATCCGCATACTCTGATGGTGGGAATATAAAATCATGCAGCCTCCTTGGAAAAGTTTGGCTCTTCTTCAGAATACTAAACAGTTACCATAAGAGTACTCTGATAAGCTGCGAACTTGACCTTATTGTATAGATTCTTTCTCCAGTTGTAATACTAGCGTCTCACATTTCTTCTTATAAGGACTAGTCACTGTTAAATACTTAAAGAAGAACATAAACAGATTAATGAAGTCTCTTATTCCTTTAACTGGGATGTCTGGGCGTCACACAACTTTTGCTGACATGCATACACCAAGGCAAATAGCTGAAATTCCCCAAATTTCAGAATCAGTGCTACGTTATCAGTTCCTGATTAATTTTGGTTTGAGTTGATTAAGGTTTTTAACTAAATAAGAGATCACTCTTTCGTTGTAACTTCCTTTATTGCTTTATTATCAATTTATTTGGTTGTGTGTTGTTCAGTTACCTGGCAAAAGATGCCTATTGACATCAATATTTTACTCTATGCTTTTTCTGTAGCTAGGGTTGGCCCCTATTAACTGTGTCAAGTATACTTATGTTGCTAAAGTAATTGTATACATAACCTCCAAAATGTTTTTCCACTAATACTTGTTTATTACCACCAATTTTTTTTTTATTTTTTTTACTGTTCTGACAACTGTATCCGGGATCACAGAAACTGGCTCCCTATGTAGGAATATATTCATTACCAGAGCCAAGCGTAGTCTGACACACATAAGCCAGCAACAAAAAGAAGCAGGATAATGAGTCACCATCAGATTCTTTTTCCACTAAAAAGTGGGAACGACTACGGTAGTTGGGCTGTGAAGTCATTTTTTCCAATCAAATAGATGAGGTCCAAAATAGATCATGCATTTGGGTGTGGTTCAAACAATTTAAGAAACTTGGTCCTGCCCTGGCTGGTGTGGCTCAGTGGATTGAGTGCTGGCCTGCAAACGGAAGGGTCGCTGGTTTGATTCCTAGTGAGGGCACATGTCTGGGTGGTAGACTGGGTCCCCAGGTGGAGACATTCAAGAGGCAACCAATGGTTTCTCTTGCACATCGATGGTTTAAAAAAAAAAAGTGATATAAATGTGACCAGCATAGCCTATCCTTTTTTAAAAAGAAAGAAACTTGGTCCTAAAAATAATGAAGAAAAGGAAAGCTGCGATAGCTAAAGATGAAGGTGAGGGTCCAAGGATAGTCTTTCTGAGGGGAGACAGTAGATGCTTGAGTATATTTATAAGTTTAGAAAACCATTATGAGGCAAGATGCTGAAGATGCCGGAAAGGAAGAATAAAAGGTGGAGCAAGATTTCCTGAAAGATACCAAATATCCAGGAGAAATAGAAACTTCAGTATAAAATCTATAATGACACAAAATAATCATGAACTACTCACCATAATAATGTAGACCAAGGTGCAAGTGACATGTTATAGATTTTGTTACAGTGTGACGATGTTCATTATTGCTGCCAATGAATCCTTGGTAAAACCCAGCCCCACAGAAAACTCTAAATTTTAGCCTGGATCTACCAATGAACAATTTTAAAATGTCCAATAAAATTTTCCTGTTTTGTTTTTGTCATATTCAAGTAATATTTCTCTCTCTCTCTCTCTCTCCCCCCCCCCGCCCCCTTTACAGATTGGACTCCTTCTTATTCTGAGCCGATGTACATCCCAACAGGCCTAGAGAAGGAACCCCTTTATCCAAACTCTAATGAAGATACAGTGGTTTATCTAGCTGAAGATGGTGGGTACCTATGAAACATGTTGCTATAAATGTAATTTGGTACCTGGTTTAATCTCTTAATTATATGAGTATTTGTTTTGCTGTTAACAGTGGAAATTGCAGATTACCAGGAAATCCCTGTCCCCAAAAAGATGTTTGGTTACATATTCATCCAAATGTTGATTTAGTGCTATTTATGTTCTTGAAGGGGTACTTCAGTTTTTGCAAAATTACTTTAAAATAAAGCATGAGCCTTGGTTAAAATAAAGCAGTGGCTCAGTTGGTTGGAGCATCATCTCAAACACCAAAAGGTTGCAGGTTTGATCCCTGGTCAGGGCACATGCCTGGGTTGTGGGTTCAGTCCCCAGTCAGGGCACGTCCAGGAGGCAACTGATGGATGTTTCTCTCTCACATCGATATTTCTCACCTTCCCTTTCTCCTTCCCTTCCTCTCTATTTAAAAATAAATAAATGAAATCTCTAAAAAAAATTGAAGTAGTTGAGATAAGTCAGTCAGGGTCTTGTCAGGAATTGGATGGCATACTTGGAGGAATTTTAAAAGTTCAATGAAAATATAAAAGAGTGGACAGAGTTAAGAGAAACTAGCAAGGGATAGCAAAGCAACATAAGACTGTCAACAGATCAGACCATTATGTTCCTTAGGCCTGAAAGGGTAAAATAACTGCTCGTTTTTAGACCTGTAGCTATAGGAGAGGGAAGTCCCCAAACAACTGCATATATAGAATTCTGGTTGACATTTTTTTTAAAGATTCATTTTTTTAAAGATATTATTCCAATATCTTGTGACATCTCTTGTCTTTAATAAAAAGTCAGTCATACATAATTTGTATCACTGTTCCCTATACTGTATATGATGTGTCTTTTTCTCTCTGGCTGTTTTAAACAAATCTAGCTCAGCCTAGATTTGGTTATCTTTACATTTATTTTTCTTGGAGTTTGCTGATCTTGTTGGATCCATAGATTAATAGATTGTTTTTCCCCCAAATTTGAGAAATTTTTTTTTGACCATTATTTTTTTCACACATTTTCCCATCCTATTCTTTCTCTCTGTCCTTTGAAATTCCAGTTACACATATGTTGGATTTCTAGTTACATCCCACATGTCCTTGAATTTTTGTTATTTTTTTGTCCTCCTCTGTCCTTGATTTTTTGTTTTTAAGTTCATGCAGTCTTTCTTCTGCAATTTTCAATATTTCTTTTAAGCCCATCTAGTAAATCTTTCATTTCAGTTATTGCACTTTTTATTTCTAGAATTTTCAGTTGTTTCTTTTTTATAGTTTCCATTTCTTTTCTTTTGTTTAATCTGTTTGTTTATTATCTCTATCTTCTCCTTTAAGTCTTTTAACATATATTCAAAATTTTCTGAGTTATCTTGGGGTCTGTTGATTGTGTGTGTATTTCATCACAGACCACATTTTCCTGATCCATGCTTCTCTTCATTGCTTCATAATTTTGTAATCATATGCAGAATATTGTGAAAGACATAGGAATCTGTATCATATTCTTTTTAAAACTTCAGTTGAATTTTGTTTTGATAGGCAGCTAAATAGCTGGTAGATAATTTTGTTTCCTTCAGGCTTGATTTTATTTTTCGTGTAGAGCAGATTTATCTTCATTTTGTCCTTAGTACTATAGCGATCATGGCCCTTACTCTTAGATGTGATTCTTATGCCTAATGTGCAGTCATGATTAAATGTCTGAGGTGCTTAATGAAATATTCTCACTCTGCATATGTTGAAATTCCAGTATAGTCTAGAAGCGTATATCCCCGATTATCTCATCCCCACAGTAACACTCTTTCCTATCTTATTTATTCTTAACCTGTGCTTGTACAGCCAAGTCTTCAACAAGTAACTGGGGAAACAGCATGAAGACTGTTGTTATTTTGAACTATAGTCAAGAGAAAGAGACCCTTTCTCTGTGTAGCTTTCTTCTCTCTGGTGCTTTGCCTCACAAATTTCAGCAGCCCCAAGAAACATTCTTGCCTCTTCAGCCCAGCAAGAATGTTATACTATTCTTTTTTTTTTTTTTCCTTTTAATCCTCACCCAAGGATATGTTTATTGATTTTAGAGGGAGAAGAAGGGAGAGAGAGAAACGTCAATTGGTGGCTTCTTGTATGAACCCTGACCAGGGTCAAACCCGCAACCTAGGTATGTGTCCTGACCAGAATCGAGCCTGCAACTTTTTGGTGTAAGGTATGATGCTCCAACCAACTGAGCCTCCCTGCCAGGGCCTGTTATACTATTCTTAAGTGCCACCTTCCAGAGATGTAATCAGAAAGTACTCACAGGAAGAAAGCCAGGATTAAAAACAGGGCTTACTTCATGTATTTATCTTCTTTCAAGAATCCGACATCGTTCTGGTCTGTGTTGTCAAAACGTAAGAAAAAAGTTAGCTCATGTTTTTTGTCCAGTTTTATAGTCATTTATAGTGAAAGGTCAAGCTCAGAACCAATTATTTCATAATAACCAGAAGCAGAATGAGTATTTTTAATGCGAAGAATATATGATTTTATTTTAGGCATTGCTTTTCTAGTCTAAGCACTCTTAGATTTTCTTACTTCAACATAAAATCTATATGTTAGTATCAAATTACTTTACAAATCAAAATTCTTAGCGACACTTCACTTGTTACTGTAGCTCCAAACTCTGCAGAACAGCCTATTCTTTAGACATGGCTTGATTTCTTTATGGCCTATTTCTCTCATCAGCTTACAAAGAACCCTGTTTTGTATATTCCCGAGTTGGGGGCAACCGAACAACCTTGAAGCAGCCTGTGGATAATTGTGACAACACTTTGATGTTTGAAGCAAGGTTTGAGAGTGGTAATCTACAGAAGGTAGTCAAAGTGTAGGTTTTAATTATGTTTATTTGAGGAGCTCGGCCATCAACTATATATTATTTTTCTGTATTTGGTACATTAAAGTTTTAGTATCCAACACTGAACTGTACATAACTCCTTGAAGTACACGCTGCTTCTCAAACTTCTTAATAGAATAGTTCTTGGGATGAGTGTTCCATAAAAGATGCTTAGGAGCCTGTATGCTAACCAAGGGCATTTTTAAAAACAATTCTACTATGGCCCTGACAGTGTGGCTCAGTTGATTGGGTGTCGCTCCACAAAGTGAAACGCCATAAGCTTGGTTCCTGGTTAGAGCGCACGCCCGGTTGCGGTTTCGGTCCCCAGTCGGGAACGAACAAGAGGCAACCACCGATGTTTCTCTCTCGCATTGATGTTTCTTTCCCTCTCTTTCTCCCTCCCTTCTTCTCTCTCTAAAAATAAATAAATAGATTTTTTAAAATTCTATTATGAAAATGTTTAAACATGTATTATCCTTAGGTACAGAGGATAATGCGATTCTACATTAACTATCATATGCCCATCACCTAGATTCAGTAGCTGTCAAGGTTTTGCACATTCAGTCCACCCATCCCTAGGTCAGTTTATAACTATACAACACACACACACACACACACACACACACACACACACACACAGCGTATGATGCTGATGAATAGAAAGTTACTTAGCAAAGAAAAAAAGTCACAACTAACCAGGTAAGTTTGATATATATATATATAATAAGTAATATACAGTAAAATTATTTTTGCCTTTAAAAATTTGCAATGACTAAACATGAGAGATACAAATAGGGATTGAATAGTCCTCAGTGTTTGAAATTTTGTAATATGTGTGGTCATATTAATTTATATGTTTTTAATTGTTCTCAGTGATAGTTATTTCAGATCCCTAGAATTAGAATCTAATAGAGAACAGAAATATATATATAGATATAGATACATATCTATATATATATATATCTCTCTGAAGTAAAAAAAAAGAAACATTGGACTATAGTTCAATTTCAGAAACTCTTTTATAGGACACATAATTAGAGTGAAAATATAGTTTTTTTAATCAAATGCCCATCTCTTATGTGTTCTCTTCAGTAGTAACAAAAAGGCTTTAGAATTAGCATAGCAGAAGTCTCACATCCAATAAAAGAGAAAATTTCAGAACTCTTAACCTTTTGCAATCACTCCTGATTTAGGGTACTGCCTAAAGAAACATTGTGTCTGTCCCTCCCTGCTTATTTATTTAAACCTGAATGTTCTTTCACATTTTTATGTGCTTTCTTTTTCCTTCCTTCACTGTGTATTAGGGCCGACTATGAATACCAGCTGACTGTGCGCCCCGACCTCTTCACAAATAAACACACCCAGTGGTACTATTTCCAGGTCACTAACACCCAAGCGGGAATAGTCTACAGATTCACCATTATCAATTTCACCAAGCCAGCTAGCCTTTACAGCCGCGGTATGCGCCCCCTGTTTTACTCTGAAAAGGAAGCTGAGACTCATCACGTGGGCTGGCAGAGAAGAGGAGACCAAATCAAGTATTACAGGAACAACCCCGGGCAAGAGGGGCGCCATTATTTCTCTCTCACGTGGACATTTCAATTTCCACACAGCAAAGACACCTGCTACTTTGCTCACTGCTATCCGTACACTTACACCAACCTGCAAGAATACCTTTCTAGCATCCATAATGACCCAGTGAGGTCCAAGTTTTGTAAAATACGCGTCTTGTGCCACACGATCGCTAGGAATATGGTGTACGTCTTAACGATCACTACCCCCTCGAAGAACGCTGACTCAAGAGAGCGCAAGGCCGTGATTTTGACTGCGAGGGTACATCCAGGAGAGACCAACAGCTCTTGGATCATGAAAGGCTTCCTAGATTTTATTTTAGGGGGCTCACGTGATGCGCAGTTGCTTCGGGACACTTTCATCTTCAAGGTGGTACCCATGCTGAATCCGGATGGTGTGATTGTAGGAAATTACCGGTGCTCCTTAGCTGGACAGGATTTAAACCGTAACTATACTTCTCTCCTAAAGGAATTATTCCCTTCTGTTTGGTATACCCGGAACATGATCCGTAGGTAAAATAAGCCTCAAATTACCTCTCTGCTTATTTAGTAAACTTGGTAGTAAGAATTTTGGTCCCACAATCCCACTGATGTTACTCTAGATTTTCTTTAGATGCTACAGCTGCTTAATCCGTGCCCCACCCCGCCACCATGCTTCTGTACCTTTCTGGCATTGTGTCACTGGATTCATTAGCTTTTTATTAAATCACAATATCAACTCTGGAACATTTTAGTGGCTTTGTGAAACTAATAGTTATGTTTGCATATCCCCAGTTTGACTTCCCGCTAAAGCTAATGGTTAACACGGTGTTTACCTTGGGATCCTTGAATTCCTTCTATGTGAAAATTAATTACACCTCACAGAGGCTTCTGGCACTGTGTTGATCATAGAGAGCTCTATTGTGAGTCTTTTGATTACCAGGTTACACAGTTATTTAAAACTTTCATGAATAATAGCCTTGTTTGTCCCTATAATAATGGGACAGCTTTCAAATTTCCAAAGAGTCCAGGACAATCAAATGCACATAATACTTAAAATTTTTGTTGAATGACTAGGTTAAGTGGTTGGAGCTTGAGTTAAACATATCAGATTGGAACCCTGCTATATCATTTGCTAACTATGTGAATTGAGCAATTTAAAAACAAATCTAAGCCTCGGTTTGATCATCTATAAAATGTGAATAATAATATCTCATGGATGGGAGGATTAAATGAGATTATTGTTAGTGAAGGACCCAAAATAAAATCTGGAATATTGAAAGCTTTAAAATGTATTCAGTGTTTCCTCAAATATAAAAAAGAAAGAGTTGTTAAAGAATATGAGAAATAGAGAGTAGATTTTTGTATAGGAAATTAGAATATTTTATCTGTAAGAAAAATGTCCAAACTCTTTCTAAAGTGATTTAAATTAAAGTAAGATGAGAAACCCTTAGATCCTATTTTACTTCAGAAATAGTAACATTTCTTTCAGAATTAATTAAAAAAGTAGAGGTTTCTTTTGACTCAAAAGAAACCAAAAGACCATTAAAATTTAGGAACTGTTGATTTAAAAATGTACAGCATATTTCATATTTAAGGAACTAATGTGATATTCTTGCTTCATAATCTAGTTTTCTAAAAATTTGAGATGGTCATTCAGTGGCTTTATGTCAATCTGGAGTTATTATTTAGAATTTATTAGGCACCAATTGAAAAAAGGACAATAAATTAATACATGCAACAGACTTTAATATGAAATTTTACTCTAGTTTAAAGGAGCATTATTTCTAATAGAAGCAATGCTTTGAAAGTTTTGATTTTAGGCTTTAATATTTTTGTTATAAAAGTACAGCAGTCCACCAGCCCCAGTTTCACTTTCCAGAGTCAACCAAGGTCTGAAAGTACTTGATGGAAAATTCCAGAAATAAACAATTCACAAGTTTTAAATAGCACACCATCCTGAGTAGCATGATAAAATCTTGCCTTGTACCATCTGGGACATGAATTGCCCCTCTGTTCCGCGCATCCACGCGGTGTATGTTACCTCCTGTTAGTCACTTAGTAGCCGTCTCGTTGTCACGTTGATTGTCCCTGTGCTTGCAGTGCTTGTGTCTGAGTCACCCTTATTTTACTTAAGAATGCCTCCAAAGCGCAGGAGTAGTGACGCTGGCAATTCCCATATGCCAAAGAGAAGCCATGAAGGGTATGTATGTCTAGGAACAAACACAGTATATGCAGGGCTTGTACGATCCGAGGTTGCAGGCATCCACTGGGGTCTCAGAACACACCCCCTGTGATAAGGGGGGAGACCACTGGAACACACTTTGTGTTACTAAGAAACGTTGCTAACACTTTGGTATCTGTCCTTCCAGGTATAAGATCATATATGAAATTTTGGTTATTTAAGTAATATAATAATGTTATATAAAGTTTAGAAATATTTAAAAAGGCAAAAATGCCCATAATTGTCCTACCTTAACATCACTACGTTTTACCTTTTGAAAGCTGTCATCAATTAGTTTGGGGATCTTATTTTTATTACTTTAACATTTATTGAATGCCTAAATTATGTAAGTTAAGGAATATGCTCGTAAGAATATGTAATAATTTCCTTAAATTATTTATAATAAATTTACCAGGAAAAAAAAGTCGATTCAAACTTTGGTACCATTTTTCTCAAAATGATATTTACTCACCACATTAATAAACAGTTAAATATTCATTGGCTTCAGCACCAAGTCATAAAGCACTCAACTTTTAACAAATATTTTGGGTACCTATATGCATAGCACTGTTCAGATTTGAAGAGAATTGGAACTGCTCCTTCTCCGTAACAAGACTAAATCTCAGAAGTATGAAAACTTTACTATGCAAGTGCCGAGTAAATGGTGCCAATATTAAGTGCTTCAGGAGTTCAAAAAAAGAAAAAGATCTCCACTCTCAACAGGTTAGAGTGGAAACGAGACGTGAGGTCAGCCTTGAGGGATGAGGGGTAGTATTTGATAAGATGAAGAAAGAAGGCATTCCAGGCAGAAAGAATCCAAGTGAGAACCACTGAAGAAAGAAGTGAGCTGCTTCTGTATACAACAGAAGACCAGAATAATAAACCAGATCCTACTGGAAAAAGTGTGGGGAGTAAGGTAGATTTTGTCCTTTAAATGGAAGGCATTTGTACTTTAGATATGGTTAACAGGAAATCATAGCAAGCATCTTTTAAAGTCTATATTAGTAATAATATCCAGTATAGATAAGAGAAATTGAAAGCTAATATGTAAGAAATTCTACTTATTTGGATATTAGACTTGTAAATCCATAGTCACACCCATAAAAGGAAAATGCAAAAGTCAAACTTAGTAACTTACTCTTTTTCTTCTTGGTAGATTGATGGAGAAGCGAGAGGTTATTCTATATTGCGACATTCACGGCCACAGCAGGAAAGAGAACATCTTCATGTACGGCTGCGGCGGTGGTGATAGATGTAAAGCATTATACCTGCAGCAACGGATCTTTCCACTTATGCTGAGCAAAAATTGTCCAGATAAAGTAAGCACATTATAAGATTTTAACTTTTCCTTTACTTAATGTTGCCCACATGAGACAGAATGGATAATCTTATTCAGTATACTGATTTTTTATTTAGTTATTTTGCCTGATTTTACAGTTGACCCTAAGAAAGAAACTACATGGAATGTTTAGTGACCAATAACTTGAAAAATGAAGAAAAAAGTGGCCATTATCCTGCCATCACACTTAATGATTAAAAAAAATTGTTTCCCCCTAAGGTCAAGAACAAGGCAAAGTACCCACTCTTACCCCTTCAAGTGCAATAAGGCAAGAAAAAGAAATAAAAGGCAGACAGATTAGTAGAGAGTGTGATTATAAAGATAATATGATGGTCTTCATAGAAAATCCAAAGCAATCCACAAAAAACCCTCCTAAAACTCCTGAGTTTAGCAATGTCATAGGATTCAAGGTCAGCCCACAAAAACCAATTTAATTTCTGTAAACTCACAATGAACAATTGGAAACTAAAATTCAAAATGATCCCATTTCCTGTTGCTCCAAAATAAATGAAATACTCGTGACTGCAAAGGGGGAGCATAAGGGAGTTTTTTTTAGAAGTGATGGAATTGTTCTCTATCCTGATTAGGGTACTGGTTACACAAATCTACACATGTGTTAAAATTCATAGAATGGGACACAAAAAATGTCAAATGTATTATATGTTAATTTAAAAATAAAATGACAAAAACTCTGTAGATACTGATGTCTTAACAATCTCTCAGGCAGCTTTCAAATGCTCTTTCATATGAAAATACAGCACCTTTATTTTGTTCTGAAAATCTATAACACTAATTTTCATTCCTAAACATGTTTAAGCTTTTTTGACATTTAAGATCTCAACCCAACAGTATTAAGAATTATTCAACTGGTTTTGAATGTGTGTTATTTATAGATAAGAAGTAAAATTTATTGCTAGATTTTAAATCTGCCATTCTCAGAAATGTAAATATATCATTTTTAAGATGAGTTATTTCCATTGGTCAGAAAATTAATGCCACTGCTGAAGTTTTAGGGAAGAATTACTGATTTTGCATAACTACTTTTCCATTTTCAACCTGACTTCCTAAGAAACATATTGTTATCCTAAAAACAATGGGCCTCGTTCATTTGCTTCTTTCCAGTTTTCATTCTCGGCTTGCAAGTTTAATGTCCAGAAGAGCAAAGAAGGAACAGGAAGGGTGGTAATGTGGAAAATGGGGATCAGGAACAGCTTTACCATGGAGGCCACGTTTTGTGGGTCCACTCTGGGTAAGACCTAGTGTTCTCAGTCATGGCTCTCAGAGCTTTAAACCATTTTTAAGGTAAGATAGTAGTGCAGATAGTTTAATAGTGAGCACTTTCTTCCCACTTCAATACATACCGATGTCTAATCAATTTTATTAATAGGATGAATAAACAAACTCCAGCTATATATACCCCTATCTCTTCATTTCCCTTTTTTAGTATTAGGAAATTTTGGCATGTAGATAAAATACCTAATTGGTTATTTCATGAATTAGTTCTTAATTGCTTGGGTTTGTTTGGGGTTTTTTTTAGTAGGGGTTCCTACGGATGACTCTAATGATTTCAAGAAAAGCAGTGCTCATACTTAAAATATCAGGATAGGAATGTTTTTAGTGGATTTACTATTTGCAATGCAAATAGACTGGTGTTTTGTTTTTGTTTTTGGTCAATTTATATTTTAATGGAAGCACTTGGTTCCTTGAACTAAAAATAAAAATGTTCTGTGATTCCAGTTAAGCCATCTTTTACTCACATCTGGCATATCCTTAGAATACTCCAAATTAAGATAATTGTCAATTATCAGAAAATATATCAACTTAAAAGAAAGTGGGAAATCCACATGTAACTTCTAGCTAGTTTTTAAAGCACCTTGAAACTGATATTATTAATGATGATGGAAACATTAAAATCATTATCCAGGTTTTCCTTTAAGTGATTATTAGGGTGTTTATAATTGGTAATCAAGTATCCTGTAACTTTTGTACTGAATTTCCTTCTACCTTACAGCACAGTCTGATCTTTGATCCAGGTGGTGGACGGGGAATGAAGGAAATCAGTGAGCTGTTAAATGACTGACCCCAGCGAAGAAAATCCAAAGGGCAGGATATGGAATCATATCCGATGTTTTGTTTATATTCTATTTTACAGCTAAGGCCTATCTATTAAGGAAAAATTAAGTCATCCTCAAGAGGGGATTAATTTATTGATGTTTCAGGTCATAAACGAGGCACTCATTTCAACACAAAAGACTTGGAGTCAATGGGATATCATTTTTGTGATTCTCTCTTGGACTATTGTGATCCAGACCGAACTAAGGTAAGCAAAGTCCATTTGGAAACACATCTGACTTGAGTCTACCAGGGAACATAACCCACCTACGGCAGTTTACTCCTTTTAAGATCTTAACAGCATTCAGGGGTTTTTTGGTAGTTGATGTCCCAGTACCTATTGTTCCAGGTGTCTATAATTAGAAAATAAAGTTATTTTAATAATTATCTCTTGTATCATTTCCCCTAGTATTATCAGTGCTTAAAAGAATTAGAAGAAATGCAAAAACACGTGAACTTAGAAAAAGTCCTTGATGAGTCAGATACTTCTCTGGAAGACGTTATATTGGATCTAGTGTCTAGGTAAGTCAGGATGGTGAGAGCAATGTAATTTGGTGTGCTGTTTCACTGTCTTTCATATTACTCTTCTTCATATTACTAGAATGTAACGGTCAGTCTCAGCTGAAAATCCTAACTATAGGTGGGGGAAATTTTTTCCCCTGCACGCTACTTTGTCCAGACCTCATCAAGACTTTGTTAATTCACTTAGTCAAGTAATATTAAATTAGCACCTACTATGTACTATATGTGAAAGACAGACTCAAATTGTTTTTAATGTTGTCATTACCCACAAAGAACTGACACATTTATAAAGATGCCACATAAATACTCTAAGTTAGTGAATAATAAGTGCCACATTCAGTGCTAAAGGAATGTTATTGGAAGAAAAAAGATACTAATTTTAGTATAGTTTCTAAAGGAAAGGCAGAATAAATATTTGATTTCTCCCCTTTATTTATAAATTTTCAGACTTTGAGTTAGTGCCCCTGTAACCTCCAGGGGTGACTTGCAAATTTACTTGCAGACAGAGGTGATCATTTTGAATTCATGGATTTGTTTATATTTGTTATGTTCCAGTCAATTTCAGTCATTGTTCTTCTAGTAGCCTAAGATGCCTTGAACTCCCAGACATCTATCTATATCACCTTTGTAAACATTCTTCTCATAACTAGAACTATTTCTACCGTTCCAAGAAGGCAATAAAGCAAAAGTAACAGTTGAAATTTTAAAATGACGCCAAAACATTCTGTAAACTAAAATCATATTTTATTATTTTTTGTAGTAGCCAAGGCTCTGACTGTTCAGAATCGAATGACTCTCAGACTTCTTTTCCCAAGGTAATTCCTCAGGTATGATTGAAATTTTCTGCCTATGGTATGGATATGCCAAATAGGTACTCTTTTTATTTGACTAATGATCTGGCAAAAAAAAGTTCACAGTTGTATAATTATTGCATAGCAATAATTGTGATTTTCTGATTATGTACCATATCTTTAAATCATAGCACTTTTTAACCTTATGGTTTCTTAATGCTCTTACTTTATAGATGAAAACAGTTAATAGCCAGAGAGATTAAATTATTTCTCAAGAACCACACAACTTACAATGGGAGTTGGTAGTATAACATATATCGCCTGACCGCTAGTCCAATATTTATTCATTCATTTATCAGCTATATATTGAGCTCCAGCTATACACTCTAGGGATAGAGCCATAAAAAATATAAGGCAAAATGCCTCCCCTTTCATAGCTTATATTCTAGTTGGGTATATAAAAAATAAAGATAAGTAAGTAAAGTATGTGATGCGTTAGGTAATAATACGTGCAGGGGGGAAGAGCAGGGACTTCCGGTGGTGCTATGTCCTGAATGCCTGTGCCCTCCGCCAAATACGAATATTGAAGCCCTAAGCCCAGTGTGAGGCTAGTAGTAAGTGACTGAGACAGGGACAAGACAGAGAGCAGGGCGCTGCTGTAGGGAACACCTAAAAAGGAGGGTGTGGCTTTGGACCTGGGTCATGGGGAGAGGTTGGACGAGTTTTGAAGTGCAGGTTAGAAAAAGGTGATACTGCCCTGAAAGGATTTCAAAGGCGATTCTGGCGAGAATTTAGGAAAAAAAGAGGAGATCTGTAGTGAATACATAGAGGCTCATGTACAGAATGTTGGTAGAAATATGACTGTTCTGGGTGGTTCTGATGGGGTCTCAGACGGAAATGAGGAACGTGGTATTGGACAGTGGAAAAAATGCCATCCTTGAGATCAGATGGCAGAGAATTTGGCTGAACTCTGCTTGTGTTCTAGTGTTCTGTGGGAAGTAGAACCTGTGAGTGAAAGAGCTGGGTATTCAGCTGCAGAGATCTCTAGGCGAAGCGTTGGAGGGGCAGCGCGGTACCTCCTGGCTGCTTATAATAAAACGCAAGAAGGAAAAAAAAATGGAAGAAGGAATTGTTAAGCAAAAAGCAACCAGAACATAAAGATTTAGAAAATTCTCAACCTGTCCATATTACCAAAAAATTTAAAAAAGGGTGTTCGGAAGAGAACAGGAGGGTGTGGGGGACTAACTGTTTTGTGGGTATGAACCACAGAGCTAATCAGTCACCCCCCGCAGGAAACTTGCCCATTTGAACTGACAGGGACAGAGACATGACAGAATGAAGGAAGGCTGTCAGACTTCGTGAGTTTTGCAGTACGGCACCACAGAGCTATTCCGTGTGAATGTGCGCTGTTCTTTATAACAAGGTTTTCTCAAAGGCCCGAAGGTCACTAGGAGGTTAGCGGAGCCACTACCGCATATGTTTAACAGGCAGACAGCCTCCAACAGAGGCCGTGGAGGTTCGCCGCCTGGAGCCAGGAGCTCGGTGTGGGCAGGGCCCCACAGAGAGCCAGGCGGGAGCAGCACCCTGCCAAGCAGCAGGAGGGATGTTGCCACCCCAGCGGGTCACCAGCGCCCGAACATGAAGCCAGAGAGGAGCATTCTGGAGCTTTAAGATCTCATTGAGTTTTTCCTCACTAGGTTTTGAGCTTCCTTGGGGCCTGCCACCTCATTCCTTCTTTCCCATTTCTTCCTTTCGGAACGGGAATGCCTGTCTTGTGCCTATCCCACCACTGAGTTTGGAAGCACAGAACTTGTTTGGTTCGTAGGTTCACAGCTGGAGAGGAGCTTTACCTCCAGGTGAATGGTGCTTTGAGCCTCACCCACATCTGACGCAGGTGATACTGAGATGAGACTTCGGGCTTTAGGAGTCGCTGCTGGCATGAGTTAATACTTGTGGGGTTGCTGAGGCAGAATGAATGCATTTTGCGTGTAAGAAGGACAGGAATTTCAGGGAACAGGGACAGGACACTGTGGTCTGAATATTTCCTTCCCCCCCCATTCATATGTTGAAATTATAATGCCCAATATGACGGTACGAGAAGGTGGGGCCCATGGGAAGGGATTAGGTCTAAAGGCAGAGCCTTTGTGAATGGGAACAGTGCCTTGTAAAACAGGCCCCGGAGCTCGCTAGCCCCTTCTTGAGGGTGCAACAAACAGCCTGCGACCCAATAGAGTCCTCTCACCTGACCATGCTGGCCCCGAGCTCTCAACCTTTCAGCCCCAGAACTGTGAGAAATACATTTCTGTTACTTATAAGCAACCTAGTCAGTGGTGTTTTATTATAGCAGCCAAATGCACTTAGGTGTTGTATTAATGTTCTATTGCCGAGTAAAAAATTACCTAAAACATTAGCACTTGAAACAACAAACTTATTTTCGCACACTTTATGTGGGTCAGAAATCCAGGAGTGGCTTAGCTGGGTGCTTCGAAGGTCTTTCAAAGGCTGCAGTGAGATGCTGGCCAGGCTGTGACCTCACATGAAGGCTTGACCGAGAAAGGATCCCTTGTCAGGTTCACTCACATAGTTGTTGGCAAGATTCAGCTCCTCCCAGGAAGTGGGTTGAGGGCTCCAGCTCCTTGCTGGCTGTTGGCTGAAAGTGTCCCTCAGTTCTTTGCCACGTGGGCCTCTCTGAGGGCACACCTGCCTGGCTTCCATCTGAGTAAGCACGCAAGAGACCAAGAGAGGGCACACAAGACAGAAGCTACGGCCTCGCAGCAACCTGATCTCAGAAGCAGAATCCCATCCCTTTTGCCATAGTCCATGTGTTAGGAGTGAGTCACTAGACTGAGCCGACCCTCAAAGGGAGAGGATCACAGGAGGGCGTGACTGCTGGGAGAGGCGGATCAATTCAACCATCCTAGCTATTGTCTACCACGACTGTAAAAGCCATAATTTTGATCTGACCTTTGCCTTAAGGCTGCGTCGAAGCCAGCCTTCAAATTCTAAAATTGCAGGCTCTCTGTTTTCCCTCTCAATTCAATTCTTTTGTCCAAATATTTTTTGAGCTGACTTCTTTCTTGTAACAACTTGTTGAAGGAAGCAAGCAACAACCAATTCATGCACTAAACATTCTGCCTCGAAATCTCTATGGCCAGTGGCCCAGGTCTGTTAGGCACATTTTCTGTCCTTCGCACTGTCCCAGGAGACAGTTTTAGCAAGTGTATCACCTCTTCATAACTTGTGTCACTGTTTTCCTAGCTTCCTATAACAGTTCCTGCACCACCTGTTGGTAGCTAGTCATAAAGCCAATGATTGTCACATAGTTCAGGTTTTTACTAGGACAGCATCATACTTGTAGGTATCAATTTCTATATTATTCATATTCATTATGTATCTTCTGTCTGTCTGCTCTATCCATCATCGTGAGTGGGGTATAGAAGTCTCCAACCATTTTTGTAGAACTATCTATTTCTCTCTCCAATTCTGTCCATTTTTGCTTCATATATTTTAATGGTCTGTCATTGATATGTAAATGTGTGTAACTGCTGTATCTTCTTGCTATATTGAATCTTTTATTAATACATGTCCTTCTTTCTCTATTATAACATTTTTAAATTTAAGGTTTATTTTGTCTGATATTAATATAACCATCCCTGCTCTTTTTTGGTTACTATTTGTATAAAATATATTTCCCATCCTTTCACTTTCAACCTGTTTGTGTTTTTGGATCTTTCGAGTCTCTTAAAGACAGCATATACTTGGGTCATGTGTTTTTTACCCATTCGGCAAATATTTATCTTTTGACAGCAAGTTTAATCCATAGACAATGAAAATAATTACTGATACAAATAGACTCACTTCGTGCATTCTGCTTCTTGTTTTCTCTATGCCTTACAGTATTTTTGTCATTCATATCCTGCATTCCCATCGTCATTTTTTAGTTGATTTTTTGTAGTGGAATATTTCAATTCCTTTCTCATTTACTTTTGTGTATATTCTAAAGCTATTTTCTTTATTTTCATTGCGGGGATTACATTTCACACCCTAAAGTTATAACACTCTAATTTTCATTTATTCCAGTTTACCTTCCACAGCATAGAAAAACTCTGCTCCTATACAGCGGCAAGCCTACTCCTTTCAGTTGATGTCCAAAAATTACATCTTTATACACCATGTGCCCAAACACTTACACTAATAATTTTTTACATGTGTTCGTCTCTTACATTATGTAGAAAACAAGATTTGGACTTACAAGTCAAAATTACAGTGATACTAGCTTTTACACTAATAACAGTGTTTTTTTTCCTTTAAATATGTCAGTCACGTATCATGTAGAAAACAAAAAGTACAGTTTGAACCATGGTTACAATAACACCAGCTTTTATAATTGCCCATGTATTTACCTGTACTGAGGTCTTTATTTCTCCCTATGCCTTCATGTTACTGTTGTTACTGGATTAAAGGGGTCCATTTCCCTGCAAAGCCTAATAAGACATGAACATGAGCTTGCAGCAAAGGAAGTAAGGGTTTATTTCAGGAAGGGGCTCACACCTGGGACAGGTGAGCAAACGCTCAAAGACCTGGCTCCCCCGTGGCTTCCAGGCGTTGGGGTATACAGGGGAAACATTGTTACCAGGGTGACCAGGGGGGTTAGGGTCGTGTTCCCTACTGATCGGCCGGTGCCAGGCGAGAGGGTAGCCGATCAGGGGGTCAGGTCCTGACGCCAGCCATCGCATTGCTTTTTCTGGTTTCACTGATTTTTATGGGCCTGGAGCTGAAACTCAACTGTGGCCTGGATGCTATCTCTAGTTTGATGGAAACTGTGTCTCCAGGGTCAACAGACGTGAGACTTTGTTCCTGAGATTATTTGATGCCAAGCAGAACCTCATTGTCCTCAGGGCTTAATGATTAAGGGAGTGGACAGGCAAGGGAGAAGGGGGCAGGCGAGTCAGGGTGCTGGGTGAGACCACTGTAAATCAAAAAGACAGACAGTAAAGGTCATATTAAAGATATAGTTTCTATCAGTGCATAGTTACACTGTCTAATGTCCTTTCATTTCACCTTGCAGAGCTTCCTTGAGCATTTCTTGCAAGGCAGGTCAAGAGGCCGCGAACGCCCTCAGCTTTTGTGTGCCTGGGAATATCCACTTCTCCCTAAGTTTTGAAGGGCAGTTCTGCTGGGGGGAGGGGTTTTCTTTAGGCACTGAATATACTGGCCCACTGTCTTCTGGCCTCCAAAGTTTGTGGTGAGAAATCTGCTAATCATCTTATTGAGGATCCTTTGCATGTAATAATTTGCTTCCCTCTTGCTGATTTCAAGATTTTCTTTTTATCTTTGACTTCATGGGTTTGACTTAATGTGTCTTGCTGTGGGTTTTTTATCGCGAATATGTTTTTAAATTTTTTTATATTTAAGCATAGTTGGTATACAGTGTATTAGTTTCAGGTGTACAACATCGTGATTTGACATTTTTATTTAGGTACTTACAGTGTCACCATGAAACCCATCACAATATTATTGACTGTATTCCCCTTCACCTTTTCACCCGTCTTTCCGACCCCTTCCCTCTGGCAACCAGCAGTTTGATCTCAGTTTCAATGAGTCTGGTTTGGTTTTGTTTGCTCATTTGTTTGGTTCTTTTAGATCCTGCATATAAGTTAAGCCATGTGGTATTTGTCTTCCTCTGTCTGATTATCATTAAAATAATCATACTATGCTACAAATTCAATGCATTTCATATTAGAATACCAATGGCATTCTTCTCAGAACTAGCACAAATAGTCCTAAAATTTATATGGAATTCGTTGTGGAGTTTTTAATTTAATCCCACTTGGAGTTCATTGAGTTTCTTGGATGTTTATAGTCATGTCTTTTATCAAATTTGGGGAGTTTTCAGCCATTATTATTATTATTATTATTTGCTTGAACAGAAATTTATTTTCTTACAGCTCTGAAGGCTTAGAAGTCTGAGAGCAAGATGTCACCGAGTAGTTTTCTTTCGGGGCTCCTCTCTTTGGCCTGAAGAGGCTGTCCTTGTGTCTTCACGTGATCTCCTCTGTGTGTGTATCTGTGTCCTAACTTCCTCTTCTTATAAGGACACCAGGAATATTGAATTAGAGCCCACCCTAAGGACCTCCTTTTAACTTAATTATCGCCATAATGGTTCTATCTCCAAATGCAGTCACATTCTGAGATACTAGAGGTTTGGGCCTCAACCTGTGAACTTTGAGGGAACATAATTCAGCCCATTACAGTTCATTTCTGTCCATTAAAACATTGTTACTGAAAATGTACGCATGATAAGGCAAACTTCGAGAATGGGGGGGGGGGCATTTAGTTCTGTCCTCCTCAATCTTGGCTTTATAAAAATGGTCCACCGCACTTACATAGTCTTCCTTTCTTTGCTCTCAAAAACATCTTCACATCTATTACGTGACTTCGCTCTTTCACCCCCGATGGCCCTGTATTAGGTTTCGTGAACAGAACTGACCAGAGATCCTGAAGCAGAAGATAAACCAGAACTAGTCAGCAGGGGGCACTGTGAACAAGCCCTGGAAAATCCAAGGAGAAAACCGCTGTGGTTCGGAACCCAGACTTGGAGCAGGCACAGGGCCCCATCAGTTACTTGACTGAGACAACCTCTGGCCATGGGTGCCTACCTGTTGGTTGGGCTCAGGCTGAATCATAGTTGCCTCTCAGGGCATCACACCACAAATCAGGGCCTAGCCCAGGAATCTGGCACAACGTAAGCACTCACCAAGTACAGGAGCGGAGTGAACACCACAGGGGGTCAGTGGGAGCCCAGCCAGACTTTCAACCTGCCTGGGTCCCAGAGAGGAAGTCCTGATATTTGACAAAGCCTACGCACACTGGAGTGGCAGTGGGCCCAGCGGTGGACTCACCGTGGACAGCAGGCCGCTGAATTGGCTTCATACCCTGATGCCGGCACTGGAGAAGACCTGAATGTCTCAGATAGAGTCTCTCACCGAAGCCCCAGTGTCCTATCTTCTTATGCTTCCCCTTGCTTTGATTGTCAGGATTGTTTGCTTGTATTCTACTGATTTGATTATATCTGAAGTCCTGTGGTGGGTATCTTTGGTCCTCAGAGCATCTTCATTCTTTCTGGAAACTACATTCTCCTTTTGGAGGAAGTCAAAGTTATTCCATGGGATTTGGGTGGGGCTGCCAATCATGACCCTCCCACAAATCCACCCTGACCCCAGCCCAGGGCCCAGCTTCAACAGGCGGAAAGAGCCAGGGCTGGTAGGAAGGTGACATGGAAGAAGAGGGAAGTCAAAAATCTGCTCAGATCTAGGCTCAGACATCTTCAAAACCTTGGAGGGATATCACCCACCAAACATTGCTGTCATCGAGCACTCATTTGGACAGATGTGCAAACTGAAGACCGCCTATGCCCCATTCACTTGTGGAGGCCAGAACATTAGAAAATAAATTTCTTTAAAGTTGGGTATTATTCTTTTTAAAAAACTTTTTTGTGTGTGGCTTAACACAGTTGACTTATTTTTTTTTTACATTTTCTATTTTTTTACTGCTGACATATAAAAATGCATTGCAATCCCTACTTTAATCTTATATTTAGCCAATACTGCAAATTCTTATTATTTCTTTTTCTCCCCTTTATTCCCCTCCATGCTGCACCACCCTACCCCCCAGCATTCCTCCCTCCTTAGTTCATGTCCATGGGTTTTACATATAAGTTTTTTGGCTTCTCCATTTCCTGTACTATTCTTAACCTCCCCCTGCCTATTTTGTATCTACTATTTATACTGCTTATTCCCTGTACCTTTTCCCCCATTCTTATCTCTCCCTTCTGTTTTACTGTTCATAGTTTTTTTTATCTTCTTTTTCTTAGATAAGTCCCTTTAAAATTTCATATAATAATGGCTTGGTGATGATGAACTTCTTTAACTTGACCTTATCCAGGAAGCACTTCTTCTGCCCTTCTATTCTAAATGATAGCTTTGTTGAGTAATCTTGGATGTAGGTCCTTGCTTTTCATAACTTTATTGAAAACTTCTTGCCAGCCCCTTCTTGCCTGCAAGGTTTATTTGGAGAAATCAGTTGATAGTCTTATGGGAACTCTTTTGTAGGTAACTGTCTCCTTTTCTCTTGCTGCTTTTAACATTCACTCCCTATCTTTAATCTTGGGTAACTTGGTGTGTGTTGCCTTGGGTCCAACTTCTTTGGGACTCTCTGATCTTCCTGGATCTCCTAGAAGTCTGTTTCCTTGGCCAGACTGGGGAAGTTCTCCTTCATTATTTTTTCAAATAAGTTTTCAATTTCTTGCTCTTCTCCTTCTCCTTCTGGTACCCCTATGATTCAGATGTTAGAACATTTAAAGTTGTCCCAGAGGTTCCTAAGCCTCTCCTCGTTTTTTTGAATTCTTGTTTCTTCATTCTGTTTTTGTTGAATGTTTATCTCTTCCATTATTAGCCATTATTTCTTAACTCATTGGCATTTCTGGGTTGCTGGCTCCTCCAGCACTAAGGCTGGGTGCATGAGGCAAAAACAAACAAGCAAACAAACAAACAAACAGGCAGCCCAGGAAATCGCTCAAGGTCATGTTGCTCCTCTGCTCCCCAGATCCCTCAGCAGTTTGCCTCCTCCCACCACCTTTTAATGCCTCATTATTTTGTATATAACACCCAGTGTTTTTAGTTGTATTTAGTAGGAAAAACAGGAAAAATACTTCATCTTCTTACACGTGAAAGTCTCAAGATAGTTTTATGTCTCTATATATACCATCCTTGATGACTTTACCAAATGTTGATTTTAAATATGATTCTTTTACCTAGATAAAAAGGAAGAAAAAACATCTGAAAACAAGGAAGGAAAGAAATTCTACCATAGCAAGCTGTCAACATGCCAGAGAAGCTCAAGAGGTAAATATTCATTTATCTGGCTGTTAGCAGCTTCTGAAAAAAGGATTGCAAGGGAATGGCAAGTTATTTTCTCTTAAACTTCTTATACCTTAATATTTTCCTCAGGATTAAAATTTTGCTCATATTATTTATTGCTTATAAAAGCACAAAAGGACCTTGACAGATGAGGGGTGGGTCTTATTAAGGTGCAAAAGTTCACTTAATACAGACCTTACTCAGATTTGAGAAAGACTTGAGAAAGATTTGAGGCACCTTACAAAGATGCATCCAGGACAGCAAGAAGAAATAAATTAAAACTAAGAAAAGTTAAATGGGAGCACGCGAGCACACACTAGCCGGTGCAGGAGATCTGCTCCTACCGCGGCAGGGTGGGGGTCCTGCACCTGCAGGTCCTTTCGCTAGCAAGAGCTGGTGAAAATGATTTTAAAAAAATAAAATACTATTTGAAGGCTTTCAGCAAAAACAATTATAGATTACTGTGGTTAAAATTTGTAGATCATGTTCATAAGGACATTGGCCTGGTAATTTCTGTGGAATAAATGTAATAGTTTACTATGGTTCACAGCATCTTTTCAATCAAGGAGGCTAAAAAGGACAGATATTAAGAGTTCATCAAATCAAGTTCTATCAGCCATTTTCTTCAGCCTAATTTTTACCCCCATCTCTCCAAATCCTATTGATTATATAATATTGCTACTTTTAACTTCGCATAATATTTTTCTAGAATATTTCCCCTTCCCCCTTTAATAATCGAAACTTATTTCATAAAAAAATTTTTTTTTGCTGCCAACCGATTTTATTTACAAAGGGATTTTTATGTTAGCTTTTAACTCTATTTCGTACTCCACCTTTTATCGTAAGTTAATATGCAGTACATCTTGGCAAAAATGTTTCAATTCTATTTTTCTTTCTTAGGCCCTCTTGGAAATTTTTTTTATAATATCCACATACCAGAGATGTAGAAGCAAAAGTCTGAACACATTTAAGATGCGCTCAGAGTCACAATGATCTGTAGATCACTCAGTATTAGCAGTCACAATTCTACAGTGTTGTGTGTCTCTTTAAGTCCATCTGGGTCATAGTGGCAACTTTGTTCAAGATGGAGAGCAATGTCATATGTTCTTCCTTAATGGAATCTTTGCAAGCTATAAGAAAATATTTTTCATCTTTTCTGTATAAGCATAGTTTTGTAATTGCTTATACATTTTCATACAATTTTATATATTATTACCCACTGCACACTCTTATCTTCCTATATCTTTTCTCATTTTAATAAATGAGATTATAAGCTACATTTTCGTGTGTCTCATCATAAATAGGTTCTATATGCAGTGAAAAATTTTAAAACTCCCTTCAATGCCAAAATACAATATCAATATTTTCTTCTACTCATTGCTATAGAAGAAAAGTGGTGTTGTAAAAGATATTAGGAAGTTCTGAGTTAAGAGATTATTTTATCCACTCTAAATCTGTGAGGATAAGACAAGAAATGTTGAAAATAACTCTTCTGTTTATCAAATAGGGAATATACATTTTCATGCTTATAACATAGAACTGTTTTCCTTCTGGTTCTGTGTTCCATTAGGTTTGTGATAAAGGACATTTAGTGCAAAGACACAAAGAATCAAATTCCAACGTGGAAGGTAATGTTCTGTTTGTACCTCCTCATAAATAATTAATTCATTTACTCAAGAAACACTTTTCTTCATGCCACAGTTTTGAGGTTGCCACTGTGCTTGGTGCTTAGGGATACTAAGAAGTATGCTATACCATTTCTTTCCCTTGGGGGCTCATTTTTTAATAGAGGGAGACAGACAAGTTAGGTTCAAGTTGTTTTGCAACTTGCATTTTCATTTAAAATTACAGTATCTTGCCCTGGCTGGTGTGGCTCAGTGGATTGAGTGCCGGACTGCGAAGCAAAGGGTCACCGGTTCAATTCCCAGTCAGGGCACATGCCTGTGTTGTGGGCCAAGTCCCTGGTAGGGGATGCAGGAAGGCAACCACATGTTGATGTTTCTCTCCTTCTCTTTCTCCCTCCCTTCCCCTCTCTCTAAAAATAATAAATAAGTAAAATCTTTAAAAAAATAATAAAATTACAGCATATTATTAACTTCTTTCCATGTTAATAAATGGTAGCAAAGAACTCTGTTACCTTAGTAAACCTTAATTTATTTAGCCATCCCCATTGGTAAACATTGTTTATATTTTTCTCTCATGAACAACAATGAAGACCAATGAAGTTATAACTCCTCATTTGTGTATATTCTTATTTAGTTATAATAGATTCTTAGAAAGAAAATTGCTGATTCAAAGGGTATGAACATTTTTTAGTTTTGCTCTAAATAACAAAAATGCAACAAAAATTCATAAGATTTGACAGCTGTTTGTATTGATTTAATTGAGCGAAACTAAATATATAAATTGTTTACATATTTATCTGCTGGCATTTTTTTAATTTAGAAAAAGATAAAAATATGAAATGTAAAAGAGTCATTGAATTGTTTCCACGCTACTAATGCTCATTTACCATCTTTTTTAGATATAAGGCCAAACGTATCAGATGGTTGTGTATTTGATTATCTGAGGAGACAGCTTCCTAATCAAGGTTTGGGACAGTAAAATGGGAATATATGTAGTAATGAGTGGTGACTTATCGTTTGTATGTGAACTATTTAATAACATGTGTATGATCAAGATCTGCATATAAGAAACTACATTAACTTTAAAATGGGTAGACAAGGATCAATTCACCTTTCCAGAAAGTTTAAATCTCAAATATTTTTCATTATAGCTCTAGAAATATATAGAGGAAGCCAGTAGATACCATTATGTGTCAGTTTGCTCTCTTGTCATTTTACCCAGTCGAAAAGAAAAAAAAGAAAGAAAGAAAGAAAGAAAGAAAGAAAGAAAGAAAGAAAGAAAGAAAGAAAGAAAGAAAGAAAGAAAATATTCCCCTTATTGTCTAATTTTTTCATTCCCATCTCACTGAGTCTTAAAGCAGAGAGAAGCCTTGGGAGTCCTCTCTTCTTACCTCTTACGCGTTGCAGGACCCAGGCACATCCAGCCTTTGATTGACTACACTTGGTAACAAGCAACTTACCAAATTACAAGACAGTTCATTTCGTTGCTAGAAAGCTATAGCATTGAGAAAAAGTTCTCTCCGTGTTAAGTTAAAATCACGTGTTTCTGTACATTTCACCCATCTGTCTAATAACACAAAATATAGAGTAAAGGAACCTTAAAGGTAAACATTTCTGACTGACTCATTTTCCGTAATTTTCTTTGAAATAATGAGAACAAACGTAATGCCTCTTGCACAGGATAGATCCTAAGTATTTTTTGAAGCTATGATTTATTTCCCTGAAACTTTCCCTCCAGTTTTTTCCAACCATCCATAATACGGTGTGATTCAACTCTCTCTACCATCTTATTTTATTCTTTTCCATCACTATTCAAGCTTGAATGACGCTGAACACAGTATTGCAAATGTCACCTACTGAGTACTCAATAAATCATCATTCTCATTTGCTTCTACCCTAGATACTAGATTTCCATTAATGCAGTCGAAGATTGCATTTGTTTTTTTAAAACTATCCTAAACTATTGACATAATGGAATATATTCAAACCTATAAAACATTGTTTTCATAGGTGGTAGCTAAGTTACATCTCCTCTATTCTCTACTTCTTCAATTTTGGTTTGATATTTTGGTTCAATGTGCTGGTTCTTAAATTCATTTCTGCTAAATTAAATCTTTTTAGATTCAGCATCTCATGAGCTCTTCATCTTGATTATGTCATACTGCTGTACTATATACATATGTGTATATATACATATATATTTGTGTGTACATATAAATATGTATACATGCCTCTCTATACATACATTTGACCTCTTTCAAAGCTTCAGACTCATATCTCACTATCTGCTTGCTATACATCTTCACATAGATGCCTCACATATTCAAATTCAAATTCACCTAATTCTGCACTAAATGCTGTTCCTCCTGTATTTTTTATAACTTTGGCAGCAGCACTGTCTCCACGGCCGCCCAAGCTAAAACCTGACAGTTAACCTTTTTCTCCTCTCATGCCCACAGCCCCCATCCAGTCAGCCACCGAATCAGGCAGAACTTACCTCAAAATCCTCTCTTTCCATCTTAACTACCACCATTCTCTTCCGACTCTTATGTCCCACCCCCAGCAGCACCACAGACCTCTGATTGGCCCCCTAGCCACCGGTATTGTCACCCGAGTTGCACCTTTCATTCTACCCTACCAGCCACCCACCACTAACGCCAATCTGCCTCCGTGAGCTGCCCGCTCAAAGCCTTTCAGCGACTCCCTGTTTTCTAACAGTGGTTGAAGTTGGCACAGCCCCAAAACTTACGTATTTTTTAGGCTACCTCTTTTAATTTTTTTAAACTTTCACTCTTTAAATCATTTAATACAAAGAACTTTATCTACCTAGCCATCTATATTTCACCCAATTTTTTATAGACATCATGCTTTTTATCCCTAAACAACTTCAGCATATTTTCCAAGAATGTTCTCTTACATTAAAATCAGGAAGTTCAACTTTGATACAATACCATTTTCTGTCATACCACATTTAACTTTTGCCAAATGTATCAACAATGCCCTTTAGAGCAAAACTTCTCCCCGATTCAAGATCATAGATTACATTTAATTGCCATATCCCTTTATTCTCTTTTAATTTGAAACAGCTGTTTGGCCTTTCTTTGTAATTCACAGCACTAGCATTTTTGAAGATTATGGGCCAATTTTCTTGTAGAATACATGGTTTTAAAATTTTAGTGTACCCGACAATTACCTGAGGAGCTTATGAAAGCATCAGCTCCGGATTCTGAGTAGGCCTTTGCTGTCTCTGAACTCGCTGCAGGTTACCTCACAGAAGGCTGGCGCTGGCCGCCTGCAGGCCACACTTGGCAGCTCCCCACTTTGGGAGCTATAGTGGGAGTTGGCGGGGCCTAACCCATCCAACCCCTTTTCATCCTGAGCAGTTTTCTTTCAGTAATGGCCTGTTACTTAAACTGAAACAAACAAACAAAAATTTCTTTTGATGACCATTAGCTGCAGCATAGAAACCAAGTTTTCTAACATGACTTCCAGTGAACTGGCCCCTGACTACCTCTCCAGTTTTCTCTTGCGATTCTCTGCCTTGAACTTAACTCCTTCGTAAAGATGATCTTCCTGTAACCTCAAAATATATGCCTTCTCCGCTCCTTGCCTTATCCTCTCTTCTTTGCCTGAAACATAACTCTCCCTCTCTTCAACTAGTTTAGCTACCCATTTAAAGAGCGGGTATTAAATTTAATAAGACTCATATACAGTTCATTACAGTAAGCGTGAGATACATGGAGTGATAATGATATGCTCAAATTGCGCCCGTTGCTCGGAGGGAGGTCTGATCCAGCCTGCAAATCTCAGGGAATGATTTCTTGAAGGAATTAATCCCTAAATTATGATAGAGTCTTAACTGAGAAGTTAGGCATTTAGCAGGAAAAGGAGAGTCATGTCCTTGAATTCTTAAAAGGTTGTTATCAATGGTTTTGTGATCTGAGATGCAAATTCTTTTCTTACTTGACATGCAATATGCCTGAGACTAGGGATAACGCATTCGGAGCCTTTGACTTCTGTCGTCTCTTGCCAATATTTATTCTACCCTTCCTCTTCTTTCTAGTTGGAAGACAACTTTTTGCTAGGAAAGACAGAAACAATTTAAAAGCTGAGGGATTCTGCTCTTTGTCATCCATCAGTATTTTAAAATAACCCCAGCAGAACAAGTCTAAGCATTCTTTGGTATAGTTTCATTCTGAATATAGCTAAGCAAAATTTACTTCTTGTTTTCAATATTTCCTTATGTCTTCGTTCATTTGATATTTTAACCTTACTGATACTATTCTTCTATGGCTCTGCCATTCTTTTATATTTAGTCTTTGTTATATAATCTCCTTTCCATCTTTGTTCATGTTCTTTTAAAAATCTGATGTTTATCTGCTTTCCAAAGGTCTCAAGTTATACTGTGCAAAGATTGTGCTATGTACTGAGATAAAATGGGAAATAAAATATTATCTGTTCTCAAAAAAACAGAATGACAAATAAGTGAGCAGACAATAGAAATATAACTGGATAAATGCAACTTACTGTGCCATGGGACTGCGTAGGCATTGTTTGAGGACAGAGGAGAAGCGAGAGGATTTCTCAAAAAGGTGATTGTTCGAATTTAGAGGGGCCTAATAAATAGCATGTTTCTTTACCAAGTTCTGAATCAATAAGAATTAAGAAGGACAAGCAAAATACTAGCAAACTAAATCTAGCAACATAGAAAAAGGATTATACACAATGAACAAGTAGGATTTGCCCCAGAAGTGAAAGGCGGGTTTAACATATGAAAGTCACACAATGTCATGCAATAGTCCCCCCTCAGCCACAGTTTTGCTTTCCGTGGTTCCCATCGCTGAGGTTAACCTCGGTCCTGAAATACTAAATAGGAAATTCCAGAAATAAACACTTCCTAAGTTTTAAATCTCATGCTATTCTGAATAGCATGATGGACTCTCATGCCATCTCGTGCCTTCTCACGTGGGATGTGAGTCACCCCTCTGTCCGGCATCTCCACGCTGCAGACGCTCCCCACCCGCCAGTCACTTAGCGGCCATCTCAGTTATCAAACAGACTGCCTTGGTATCGCAGTGCTTATATTCAAGTAATCATTGTTTTAATTAATAGTGGCTCCCAAAGCACAAGAGTGGTGATGCTGGCAATTTGAATATGACAAAATAAGCCATAAAAGTGCTTTCTTTAGTGAAAAGGTGAGTGCAGTACAGTAAGATATTTTGAGAGAGAGAACGAGACGACGTTCACATAACTTTAATAGAGTACATTGTTATAATTGTTCTATTTTATTATTAGTTGTTAATGTCTTATGGCTAACTTATAAATGAAATTGTATATAGGTTTATAGGTATAGAAAAAAACATAGCATACAGAGGGTTCAGTACTATCTGAGGTTTCAGGCATCCACTGGGGGTCCTGGAACACATCCCCCTGGATGAGGGGGGCTGCTCCATGCTGTTTCTCTAAAACTGTTTTATATCTTTGAAGAGCCCATAAGGCGTATAGAAAAGGATGAATTAACTGCACCTGAGTTGTTTGATATTATGTGTAGATTATGACCAAAACTCATACAGTGAAAAAAAAAACATTACATTTGGGGGTAAATAAACCTGACCTCAGAATTCAAAAACATGTCACCAGAAAAGGGCAAGCAAATTAAGCAACACTAAAAACTGTAATTTATTTGAACTCCACCTTCAGTTTATGTTCGAATTACCTGTATGCTTTAAAAACATTTCGCTGAGAAAGAAGTTTAACTTGTGGTGACAGCCAATGTGCTTTGGGCTGTTTAAAAACAAGGGACATTTAGACACGGAGACCTTACATCATGGGGTTAAAGATGCACAGAGCCTGAATGTCAGAAAGCTAGTCTACTAACACACGTCTGTAGATACAAAATGGATGGGCATTTTTGCAAAACTGGAAACTAATTCCTACAAGTCTAGAAACCTGCTATTGCTAATAACTAAAGTCATATCCCAGATCACACTCCTTTGTTGACAGGGCATCTAACTCGATGTCATTGTATGGGACTGCCACCCGCAATTGGTGTGATGTGGGCTTGGTAAGAGGAGACTGCACGTCAAAGAGAGCTTCATTCTGAATGTGTCCAGTTTTACCACTACATAAAAGAAAAGAGGGGTATCCTAAAGGCTGCAGGCAGTTTAGAGAGTAGTATTGGGAAAGGAACACAGCAAAAACATCCTACTGTATCATGGGACATGAAGAAACCTGTCATTGTTAAATCATAATATGGGTAATATCTATTTAGTTAGCCCCATTGTATTTACATTCAACTTTTAAAAGGTCTTATTATGTGTCTTAAAATAACACATAATAGGAGTTATAAAATTTAAATATCCAATAGAGAGTTAAAATCTATCTCAGAGGAGAACCATAAAGATATTGTTATACTGTTCTCTCTCACACTATTTGTTTAATTTGTTCTGTTACTACTAATTACCACTGTTAACTAGTCCTGTTGTTTTGGCCTTAAAATATTTATGTAGCATAAAAGCAAATAATGTATAATTATTTTGTATTTTATGTTGAAATCATAATACATGTGCGTATAATGATTTATTACATTATAATAATACTATTTTTTTGTCTGGTATGGCTGTATTGTGGGGTGGCTCTCTGAAAAGTTAATCACCCCAAAATACATGTAGACATCCTTCATAGATGCTAACAAATATTCGGTTCTCAATTTTTCAGTTATTGGATAGGTATTTCTACTGTTTGCTATTCTGCTTAAACAGTTCAATTAAAAGGCCTCTGAGGGAAATACATACTAACCTGTTTCTTATGTCTGAACGAGACAGTAGCCAATTAATTGAAAATAAGCTCAATTAAGTTAGCCATTAAATATATGAATAATGGTCAAGAAAGTAAAGCATTAAGTTTTGTTAATCTTAAAAATCTAAGTTCAGAAATTTTATGGTATATTTTCTTTTTTAGTAAAAATACCTGGACGAGCCCCTTCCTGGCTTCTAACAAGACATTTGAGGTAGGGGAACTACTACCTTACTCCTTTTCCTCTGTTTTATAACATTTTGATTTTGAATTAAAGCAACAGGTAAAAGTCACTTTTTGATAACAATTGCTCATTGGATGTCCCCTTATATTCTACAGAGTATCTGTGACTAGGTCAGTTTGACATATAGGAGTGCCTATATGATGTGTTGTAAAGGGTTCTTGAGATTTCAATATACTCAGACTATCCCCAATGGATACCTTAAAATCTACAGCAGACATTGAGTTCTATGCATTTCCCATCGCATTATCTGAGTTTGTCTTTTTTAAAAGAAATGGTTCTGGCATAAGAAAATTATTTAACATTTTAGAATTAATATCAACTGTTTCACCATCTATAATAGTAATTGGAGCACTAGTCATGGAGGAATAATACTACTACCTAAAAACCGAAAAGGAATAATAGAGAAGTCAGGGATAACAGGGAGAAACTTTGTAGTTGTGTCTAAACCAGTAATTAATAAATCACTAGCTCCCTTATCGCGTTTCCCTGTTGTTAGGAATAACGTGACTAATCCATGAATAACATGGATTAGGTACGTATTTGAGAATAGACTGAAATTGCACAGCAGAGGAAGCATGGAATGCCCTTCCTTCCTTGGCATCTCTTCTAAGAACTTGGTCACTGTTCAATAAAAATGGGTTCTGTTGAAATATGCAGAATCTCCTACCCCCAAAACTTAAAAAGTTAAATAAGAAACCATCTTGGGCATACTTCACTTGGATCTAGAATTGATTGATTTAAACTAAGACTTAAATTTTTAAAATATTTTATTTATCATATCTTTGGAAAGAAATCAAATGATATATCAAGATAAAGGAAAATAATAGAAAAAGTACTGAAGGCAGGAGATATGAATCCTAGAGCTTCCCTTCCCTTGTATTAGCTCTGAGAGCTTGGCAACACATAGCTTAATCCCTCTAATTCCCTAACATTCCCTCTCTGATGTAACAGGGGGGATAGCAGTGGCCATCCTACCTCCATCCCAGGACCGGTGAGAGCCCCCAGTAAGACACTATCTGTAAGAGTACTTTGCATACTCTGTAAGTTGTGATATATGAATAAAATGTGATATTACACTACTCTTAATTAGAGAGTTCACTGTTGACATTGAAATTAGAGTACCCAATTTCTTTCAGCTCCCAAAGCCTAATTCAGAGGCTTAGCAAAGACCAACGAGGACATCTTTCAGAAGCTGGTAAGAGACCAATGCAGGAAATAATTCAGCCCAAGTACATGGATTTGTATGGAAACTGCTTCCAAGTGACATCCTTGAAATGTGCTACGAGCAACCAAACCTTCAATTGGACCAAGAAGACAAGGACACCGACAGAAGGTTTTTTCTTTTAATTTTTTAGGATTTTAATAAATACAAAGATGGCTTTCACTGTATCATCATTAATAAATCCTATGAAATCAGGATTTTGGGGAACTGCTTTTGTAAACAGGGTTGATTAATACCCATTTTATTTCAACTCCGAAAAAATACTTGCCTTATTTAATCTCTATATGAGTTGAATAGAGAAGAAAATTATATAAGTTTACTATAGCCTTGAAAAAATCTATTTAATTGCCTTATTCCCAATATCTCCTTGTTAATGCTGCCTTCCAGTACCATACAATAAAAAAATCAATGAACTGCTGCGACAGCATGATGAATCTCAGACTCACTGTGCTAAATAAAAGAAGCCAGACACAGAAAAGGAAACGTTACACGAAATCTCATTTTTATGAAATGCAAGCTGATCTACAGAGACAGAAACAGATGAGGGTTTCCTGGAGTAGGAAGGGTTAGAGTAGGGGATGAAGGAAGAATGGACCGGGAAGGAGCACAAAGAATCTTTCTGAGGGATGATTGTTTCACAGGTGTGTGCACTGTTAAAACTCCAGGGTTTGCGGCCGCAGCAGCGAGCTGGCCTGAACCGTCCATCTGCTGAGATGGCAAAGACTGACGGGAGAGCAGCTGCCAGGCTGAAGAAAAGCGAGACTTGAGGCAGGGGGACAAGTGAGAAGGCTAACAAGTCAGAAATTCAAGGGAGGCAGAAAGAGATTCTGAACAAAAGGAGCAGCAGGATAATGAACAGAAGCAGATTCAAGAGAATCTTTGGAAGTAGAATGGACAGAGCTTCCCGGGATCGGATCCCAAAAACAGAGACGCAGAGGATTAGGCCGGCTTGGGTCGTTACTCAGATAGCCGGGCGCCGGCCGTATCACTGACCGGGACGTGGACTGCAGGAGGTGGGAGGTCGGCGGTGGGCAGGTTGAATTAGAAGTGTCTGTGGGGAAAAACAAATGGAGCTGCCCAGTGGTCAGATGAGTAAGAACTCAGAGACACGCCTAGACTGAAGATTAAAAAATGCTAGGGTCGTCCTTGGCTTCATAAAGCTACAGGTATAGCTGTGAGCGCTCAGAATAAAGCCTGTGGTGAGACAAGGAGACCCCATGGGTTGGGATCCCGGGGAACAGCCCACTTACTGGTTAGGCAGCAGAAGAGAAGCCCCAGTAGGGCACCAAACAAATGGGCGGAGAAACGGGGAAAGTGGGCCAAGAGCAGCGCCCCAGGCACATTGGTTGAATTCCTCCGTGAATCAAGAGGAAGAGCGGTTCAAGGCTCTGGGAGTGAAGAGCAGCAGAGAAATCAAGTACGACAGGACTGGTGGCTGGGGAATAACAATTTCACTGGTGTGGTGAGAGTAGAAGCCAGATTGCAGTAGGTGAGAAGTGTCCAGGTAAGGATACGATGGCAATGAATATTGACTGTATTTTGATAAATGTGAGAAAGAGGGTAGTAATTAGAACTACCGTATTTTGCCATGCATAGTGCACGCTTTTATGCCCACTTTTTTGAGGGGAAAATAAGGATGCGCATTATACGTGGTACTAATTCTGTATCTGTATAAATGTTTTTAATTCTTTTATTTATGCTTATGCGTTAAAAGTGTAACTCTAGAACGCAATAACAATATCCATATATCGCTGTGCAAAATAATAACCTGGAATATGATCATTGGTTTTGTTTATAAATACAAATAAGTAAAAAAAAAAAATTGATTAAAAAATTAAAACAACAGATTTTTTTTTTTTCCTGAAAGTTTGGGCCAAAATCATGGGTGTGCATTGTACATGGGAGCACATAATACTCAGCAAAATACGGTATGTCACTGAGGAAATCGATGGGCTTGGGATCTAGAGTACCCGTGGTGGCTGAGAGAATATACTTTTGAACTTTGTTTTAAAAGTTTCAAGGTGACAGTAGTCTAGGAAACTCCCTCTTAAACCCATCACTCAGCTTCAATAATTTGATTTATTTTTGCTGCTGTGGTTGCTCAATATTTGGAATCCATCAGTTGCGCCAGGAGACACAGTTTTAGGTAGCTCCTGTAAACACCCCATGCGGGTGAAGCATGTTCCAAAGAAGGAGAAGTGAGGCCTGGAATGGTGGGCCTGGCGAAGCAGAAGACAGACCGTAAGAGTGGTGTTTGTTTCTTACCAAATTCAAAGAGGAAATGACGTAGACATTAAACAATCCGGCCCTGGCGACCACCTGGTCCAAGCTGTCATCCTGCCTCCTGGATTATCTCACTGACCTTCCCAGTGATAAGGGTATTATTCCGCCAGCCTTCCTGCTCGTCCAACCTGGCCCCTGTTTGGTCTGTTCTTAACTCAGCAACCAGCATGATCCTGTTAGAACAGACCTGGGGTGGGGTGCTCCTCTGCTCAGAGCCCTGTGGTTACTCCTCATTTCACATGCAGTGAAAATCAAAGTCCTCGCCACGGCCTGTGAGCCCCCATGTAAACGGAGCCCTCGTTATACCCATCAGAGCTCTTGTCTCTTTCCCTCTAGTTCATTCCGCTGTAGCCATTGCACCGTCTCGGTATTCCCTGAACACATCCCCATGCTCCTGGCGCAGGGCCTTTGCACTTACTGTTCCCCTTGCCAAGAAGACTCTTTCCTCTGGCGGCTGCCTGACTCCCTCCCTAATTCCTTTGACGTGTCCGCATCACGAGGGCCTTCTCTGAACACCTTTTTAAAAACAGAAATCAACCTTTGCCCAAGAATTGTCTATCCCCTTCCCCACCTTTATTTTATCCCATAAACTTTATCATTATCTAACGTATATTTCACTTGATTATTTGCTTATTTTCTGCCCCTGTAATTAAAAAATAAGCTTCAAATGGGTAGGAATTTTTAGATAGAGTCCTTAGCACATAAAACTCAATAATTGTTGAATCAATTCTCTCTATATGTATTTTTGCAGTTGCCCCCCCAGATCTGCGTCACAACCTAAAAAGCAAAATGAAAAAACCTGCATCGTTCCAAAGCAAGAGGACTGGTGTAAATTGGACAGATGATGAAAAAAGAATCTACAGGGATAAAAGAATAACTCAAACTAAAGAAATATTGCAGTATTTGATCCCTATCATAAGAGGCACTAAAAACGTGCAAAACACTCAGATAAAACAGATATTCAGTTCAAGAGCCGGCTTCCAAATCCAACATCAGTAAGTCAATACAATTTTGTCATTCTTAACTATTTAATACATTCTTTTTTAAGGAAGCATGGCTAATGAATTCTTTATCCGAAGAAACAAATATAAGCTCTTAAAAATGGTGGCAGCTACATCACATTGGACAAAGGGACAAAGGCCCAAAGCCATAAGAAAACACTGGATATGTGAAGGAGTAAGTTATCAGGTCTTATTTGAATGTTTATTTGCATGAAACCATTCATTAATTTGAATCTATCAATAAAGTATGCATTAATAAAGTATGAGTATAGCCTGACTTGAAATTTGTCAGGTGTGCTTAAATGTTATAATTCTAGGGGGCATCCAGAATTAGAAATAATTAACTTGAGTTACTTCAGTTTATTGATACTCAGAGGAAAACAGAAAGGATGGGACCAGGTTTCTTTTAAAGATAAAAAAGAAGATAGAACCAACACTAAGCCAAAAGGAAATCTATATAAACAAAAGTAACACAATCACAAGCAGAAAATAATAAATACAATACTAATATTATTAACAAATTTTGAAAACTACTTTTTAGGTACTAGACACTGTTCTTTGTTTACACACATACACCTATTTTACATTCTACACATAAGGAAGTTGAGGTACAAAGACGTTAAGTCATTGTCCAAGGTCAGACAGCCAGTAGGTAGCAGAATTGGATTCAACCCCAACTAGACATTCTGGCTCCAGAGTCTTTCATTGCTAGGCTTTGATGTTTCTCTTTATAATATAAATGAAAAACAGGACCAATATACTTACTATATTTTGCCATGTATAATGTGCATTTTTTTGCCCAATTTTTGCGGGAAAAATAAGGATGCGCACTGTATACAGGTTGTGCCTGAAATATGTTGTATCTGTTCTTGTGTTTTATAAGCATTTGTTACATACAATTTCTTGTACCATATATTCAAAAATAAATGCTAAGATTCTTTTGTAATACAAAAACCAAGTATCTAAATATAATTAAATAAATAACTGAATTAAAAAATTAAAACAAAAGTTTTTTTCCCTGAAAGTTTGGGCCAAAAACGTGGGGACGCATTATACCTGGGAGTGCATTGTCCGCAGCAAAATACGGGGTAATATTGAAAGATAGATAGCCTATAAATCAATGACAAAATTATGAATATGTCAGTAGGAAAATGGGCAAGGCTGAACCAGAAAAATTCACAAAGGGTTAAAAAAAACCATGGCCAATGAGCATTTTAAAATGTTCAATCTCATTTAAGTCCAAAGAGTGCAAATCAAAACAATAATGAAATACTATTCATTTTTGCTTCTCAATGGAAGCATTCGTTCACTAATTATTAGAATGTCAACTGGTACAGAGTTTCTGGAAGACAGCCAAACAATATAAATGAAAAATCCTTAATATCTTCATTCATTTTGATAAGAAATTCTACCTTTAGAAATCGATTCTAAGGGGAAAAACTAAGGTAAAGGCTAAAAGGTCTCTGTCCTGATGTTCATTACAGTATTATTTATAAGAACCAAAGGAAAAAAGAAACAATTTGAAAAAGAGGAATAAAATAGAATCAGTCTCTCTGATTCTTTTTTAAAGTTACTTTTACACCTTTTATATAGCTACTGTAATCAAGAGAGTGTAGTGTCATAGGGGAATAAACATCTATATCAATGAAACCACATAGAGAACCCAGAAATAGACCCATCCAAATATGCTTCACTAATTTTGACAAAAGTAATTCAATGAAGGAGAGATAGAATTTTCAACCAATGTTGCTGGAATGATTAGACATTCACAGTCCAAAAAAATAAAACAACTTAAACTCATTTCTCACACAAAAAAATAATAATAATTAAAAATGGATCATGGATTTAACCACATAACATAAGTCTATAAAACTTCCAGAAAAATAGGAACTCTTCATAATCTAGAGTTGGGCAAAAAGTTATACTTTACATCAAAAGCATAATCCATAAAGAAAAATTAATAAATTAAACTGCATCAAAATAATAGTGTTGCCCTTCGAATGGCCAGGTTAAGATGATAAAAAGACAAGCTATAAAGTAGGAGGAAATATTTGCAAACCACATAAACAAGAGACTAGCATCTAGATTAGAGAAGTCTCAAAATGTAACAGTAAGAAAACAAACATTTCATTTGGAAAATGAGCAAAAGATATAAATACATTTCATCAAACACAACATACAGATGGCATATAACCACAAAAAAAGATGTTCCACATCCCTGGCCATTAGGGAAATGCAAATTAAAACCACAATGAGATAGCTACAAGCTATCAGAAGGACCAAAATAAAAAACAGTGCTGGCACTGAATGCTGATGAGGACGCAAAGAAACTGGGTCTCTCATACACTGCTGGTGGGGACATAAAATGATGCAGTCGCTCTGGATAACAGCTTTACAGTTTCCTTAGAAACCACACATATAACTACCCTGTGACCCAGAAGTTGCTCTCCTGGACGTTAATCCCAGAAAAAAGAAAAACTTACGTTCACACAGAAACCTGTACACAAATGTTTATAGCAGGTTTATTTGTAATAGCCATGAATTGGAGTAAAAAAAAACAAACCAACAACACAGGTCCTCCAATGGATGAATCATTAAACACACTGTAGTACATCAAGTCATGGACTGCATACTGCTCAGCAATAGCCAGGAATCAACTACTGATCCACAGAACAACCTGGATCCATCTCCAGAGAACCGTACTGGGTGAAAACAGCCAGTCCCAAGTGTTACATACAGCATGAGTCTGTGTCTATGACATTCTTGAGATAACAAAATTACATAATTCAGACAACAGATTAATGATTGCCAGTCGTTAAGGAGGGGACGGGCAAGGAAGGAAGTAGGTATGTCTATAAAAAGAAAGCATGAGGGAACTGTTTGTACCTTGACAGTTAATGGCAATGCCCTGAATATATTATTGTACTACTCTTTTGCAAGATATTATATCTGGGGGGAAAAGGGCACCTCTCTGTATTGTTTCTTCCGCTGGTAGGTAAGTCTACAATTATTTCAAAATTAAAATTTTAGTGAAAAATCTAGTTGAGATTTTTGTGGGGAAAAACAGAATTCTAAAGAAAAGAGACACTTTAAGTGGCTGCAATTCGTAGTTTACAAAACCTTCCTCTCTTGAGGAAAATTTCCGTTTTGGGACTTACATGATCTTTTTACTGACTATGGAAAGAAAACTCACAGTATGCATACTGAGTTCATTTTAATAGAATAAGTTAGGTTTGTGAAATTTTAGAGAACATTTATTTCCACTAGGTGTATATGTAAGCAACTGAGGCCCAGAGTGACTGTTATTATATCAGGAAGCCTGGGCTCAAGGCAGGTATCCAAATAAACATATATCCTTTAGGCATTTAGAAATACAGAACTGGAATCATGCTGAAATGCCATGACCAGAGATGAAGACTTAGAGCATTCTCATAGAGATAGTGGTAAAAAGTCTTAAGGGAGGGTGAACTCACCCAAGGAGAAAGAAAACAGACTTATACTATCACCGATAACTGGGGCACATACTGGGCAAAAACTCATGCATTTTTGTTTTTTCCTAGAAACCCAACTACTTGTGTAAACATAAAGAGATACCGCGCATCTTGGGTACCACCCAGGCACCCCCCTTTTATAAGCCAAAGGAACCTTATGGGGAGCTCTTCAGAATGGCTCCAGCCTGTGTCCCAGAGGTCACTTGCAAGTTTGTCACCTCTCAAAGGGCACACGAAAGAGAAAAATTGTTCTCACGTCAGAGCCTTAAGGACTAAAAACATGAAACCTGTCAACAGCAAATGGGAGACTGCTTCCCTGAGTTTTGAAAAGGATGTGAATATTATCAAGGGCAAGAGTCTTCGAGCTGAAGAATCCAACCAGCAGAGCTCTGTGCAGATGGCTCCCCAATCCCACTCAAAATAAGGATGAGCAGCCAAATAAGAGTGGTGGACAACCCGCCTCCCGTTTGGATGGAGTTCCAAAGGCCGAAAGAATCTCGCTCTACGCTGCTCGGAAAACTTCGTGTGAAAGATAACCTGTGCTTACACATTAAAAAGAAAAGACAGAGAAAGAAGAGCCCTCCACATCCCTCGACCACTGTTTCTCCCTCTGCACACGCACATGCACATACTAGACCGCAAGTTCTAGATATCCCATCTTCTTTAGTGGGGAGATCTTTCAGAGACAGAAAAAGAAATCCAGAGAAAACCTAGAAGATTAAAATCTTCTCGAGTATTTATATTTAATTGTTGTCAAGATGGAAACAAATTCTCTGAACTTTCGACTTCACCCAGAATGATTTCTGTACACAACACCAAGAAGCCCAAGAACTCAGGAGGGAATGACCTGTACTATCTATCACTGACTTTAATGTCCCTACTAGGCACTTGAATAAATTGGTCAACAAACAATTCCTGAATTTCTGTTATATCTGTAGTGGGATAGAAAACATTGGTGACTTAAAAAAATAAATAAAAAAGACATTTCTCCCCACTAGAAGATTACCATATGATTGTACATACAAGACATACATGACTAAAATAGTTATAGAATAAGATAATGCGCAGTAAAGTGCTAAGATTCGAACAATTTGAAAAATACTATATATTGAAAGATGCTAATTTATACAGAGCAAAAGTGTGGCACAAATTGGCACTGAACTGTGTTTGCAATACTTATGTTACTTCTCAACATTTAGCAGAAGTTCAAAAGATGAGATGGGCAGTCTCTTTCAGAGCCAAGGAAAGAAAGGGAAATTAAAAGTAGACTGAAGTAAAACTATATTTGTTCACAGGGAACAAGATTGTCTATGTAGAAAATCCCAAACAACAACAACAAACCCTGCTGGAGGTAATAAGCAATTATAGCAAGGTTGCCAGACATAAAGTTAATATTCAAAAGTGATTCACTGTCTTAGATACCAGCAATGGATATTGGAATTTGACATTAAAAACACAGTATCATTTACTTTAGCACCAAAAAACTGAAATACTTAGATATAAACCTAATATGTTCAAGATCTATTTGAGGAATCCCACAAAACTCTAATAAAAGAAATCAAAAATCTAAATGGAAAGATATTCATGTGTATGCATTGGAAGGTTCAATATTGTCAAGAGGTTAGTTCTTCCCAATCTGATCTATAGAGGCAGTGAAATCCCAATCAAAATCTTAGCAAATTATTATTGACAAACTTCACTCTAAAATTTGTATAGAAAGACAAAAGATTCAGAATATCCAATATAATATTAAAGGGAAGAGCAAAGTCAGAGTACTGATGTTATCTGACTAGACGACTTCGAAGACTTATTATAAAGCTATAATAATCAAGATGGTATAATATTGGCAACCTTGACTTACTTCTATGTCCAGCAAAACAGAAAAACAGCCCTAGCCGGTGTGGCTCAGTTGGTTGGAGTGTCATCCCATAATCGAAGGGTTGTGGTTTTGATTCCCAGTCAGGGCACATGCCTAGGTTATGGGTTCGATCTCCGGTCCATGCACGTACAGGAGGCAACCAATCGATGCTTCTCTCTCGCATCTATGTTTCTCTCCCTTCCTCTCCCTCCAGAATCAATGGAAAAAATGGCCTCTGGTGAGGATAAAAAAATTTTTTTTGAAAAAAGGAAGAAAAGGACAAAGAATTGAAGCTACTGTGAAAGGAGGACTAAGTACCTGCTAGGGCCCATCCTCTGCGCAGGCACGACCCAGATTCTGCCTCGTCTTTGGCTCCCAGCACAGGGCTGCGCGATGCCTGGCAGAGCCTGGCTGCCGATGGCACCGGCGCCGATGCTGCTGAGCGAGGCAGAGGGCTGTCCTGAGATGAAACAAAAGACAGACACTGACTCTGGGGCTTTGATCCTGGAATCATTAAATTGTTCCCTTAGGCTTTAAGATAAGAATGACCTGCCCACCACCACCAAAAAATATTATACTTCATTTTTACCCCAGAAGGGGGAGCACCCTTCGTGCATATAAAAGAGATTTGCTTTTTAAGTCATTTTTTTTTTCCAAAACAAAAATATTCTTTACCATGGGTGAATACTTTCAGAAACATGTTGTCAACTGTTAATTGGTGATTTCAGTTTGAAACAAATTACAAGCAAACAATGGTCACTTTATTAAGAGTTTGGCCATCTTCACCCCTCACCACCGAGTCTGGTGAGAGCCTCCAGTCTCCACGTTCATAGGCCGACCATTGACCCAAACACACCGTGGCACCCTCCTGGATTCCCAGGTCAGCCTTGACAGACTATTTTATCCTTTCTCCTAAAGTCCGTGTGGAGAGAATTGTTCATGGCAAGTCCTGTGTAATAATTACAGAGACCGCAGGCCTGGGCCTAGGTCTCCTAGAGAGGTCCTAGGAGAGTGAGGTTTTGTTTAAAGAAAAAACATAGCAAATCTACCTGGTGGAATAATATTGTCCCTTTGCAGAGATAACCACCGCTCTGAAAATGACTGTGTGCTGAGGGTGGCAAGGCCGCTTCCTGGCCCCGGGTGCCTGGGTCGCTGAGTCACGCCACCTGGGAACACTTGGAATAACTAATGAACCCTGACAAGGCTCACAGCATTTTGCACTCCTGCTCAATGAGGTAACTAAAACCTTCGGCAACACCCTTCATTTCCCAGGCTCTGCTAGTTTGCTCTGACCTCGTGAGCAAGGCCGCGGGGAAGGGCGTTCCCTGCAACCTTTGTGATCAGGGTCAGGCTTCAATGCTACAGAGGGAAACCTGAGAAGGGGCCTCACCCAGCAACGTGGGCGTGGGAGTCCTCTAGAGTGTCACGTCTCACCACGGTTGCCCTCACACACTCACCTGCAGTGAATGTTTTATGTCGTGTCAGGCGGGGCCTGAGGTAGCCAGAGCTGGCGGGCTAGTCTCCCCTGGCTACAGTCAGCCTTTCATGTCACCCCAGGGCACAAACAATATCACTTAGATCACTTTCTATGTGTGCAAGCCGTGAACAGACCAAAGGGCGGAATGTCTTATTCAGCCAGGCCCTGCTTGCCCTGTCCCAGGAGTGGTCTGGCCTGGTCGCCAGGCACGAGTGTATTTTAGAAGTACAGCAGTGTGTGGGGTTCCAAGCAGGGAGCTGTGGTCTGGTCCCCCAGAAACTAACAACCAGGGTCCGAGCTTCAGTGCCCTTGAAGCTGCGGAGGGCCTTCAGCTGCCACAGAAATGTCTGTCCAGCCAGTTCTCCAGCCGCGCTCTCGCGATGTTATCTGACTCCTGGAGACAAAGCCTTTTGGGTTTCCCTTCTGTTTCTGTTGCTGTGATCTTTTTTTAAGAAACCAACATGCTGTAAGGAGGAATAAAGAGCGAGGCAAAGGCTTTTCTGCTCTGGTTGAAGAATATTGTTATTTCAGGGACGCCCTCAAGTCACCGGTCATAGAGGCCATAATGGCTCATTTCAAGGACAGACATCAAAGGTGGATCAAAATCCTTCTGATCCCAACTAGAGCCAAAGGCATCTCAGAAAAAAAAGAAATCTGGAACAACTTTAGTGAGGAATAATAAACAATGGATGGTTTGGATGAAAACACTCATCTACCTGCTTCCCCAAGGAGATGGGGGATAGAGCGTGGGAACTGAAGGACCAGGGGGAAAGATGCTTGAAAAGTAACACACAGGGATGAAACAGGCTGTCGATGGTGGAGGAGGCCCCTCAAAGCTCGGGCTGAAACCCTGCTGCAGGCCGTAAATGTACCTGCCCCCCTTAGCCACAGCCAGGAGGGGCGTTCCCAGGGCAGGTTCAGCTGGGATTTCCAGTGGAAAACCCTGGATACATAGGACATCTGTTTCTTCTCCCTTTAAAAGTAATTTAGATTTACCTCTATTTCGTTTAACTGCTATTACTTAATTGTATTCTTTGTCTGCTCTTATTAATTTCTGATAGAATTTTAATCCCTAAGAGTGTTTTTCAATATAGAGGGTTTTCATCTAATTGTGATACATTATTTCCATTTCATCGGGCAGCCTAGAATTAGACAACATGGGTACGGTGTCGTTGCGATTACTTTAAACCACCATTGCCATTCTACAAAACCAGGTGGAGATATCTGAGACAAAGTCTCTTTCAATGTATTTATTATTAGGACTCCATAAAAGTAACTTAATATTTACCTCAATAAACGTTTACTGGTTTTATTAGTTTTAAGAAAACAAAAAACCTAAACAACAACAACGAAGACATCCCCAGTTGAACCTATCAGTAAATTAAAAATTCATAGATTAATTTAAGAGACAAAATTTACAACCACTTGTTCTCATTTTATATTTGTATATGATACTGCTTGCCATGTAAAGACCTGTTTGTTCAGTAAAACTTTCCCTGTAAAAAACAGGCAAGGCACAGAGATCCCGCTCCCGGCCAGCAGCCGGGTGCTCCTTGCACTACTCTCAGCACTGGTTAAAAAAAGGGAAAGAGAAGAAAAAAGACAAAAAAAAAAATAAAATAAAATAAAACTCTGGAAATTGTCCTAAGGACATACAATGAATGAAGAGACATTTATTGAAGAAAGCCTACTAAACCTCAGTAAGAGCAGTGCGTCCATAGCATGTGGCCAAGAACACAGGGTCACACTGCGCTTCCCCTGTCAAGGGCTAAGGGCTACGGTATCTCCCCTGGAGGGACAGGCTGCTAGCATTCCTCAGGTCCCTACCTCCATTCCGGGCGAGTACAGCCCAGAAGTCAGAGCCTCCCTCCCTCCACCCACCCAGGAGACAAAGACTCTTCCCAGAATCATTACTTTAAACCACCAAGAAAACTAGAGCCCTGGACTTTGCCTGAGCTTATTCAGAGGGTGGAGGTTCCACAGAGAGAGAGGCAAGCTGAAGAGACCCGAGGCGGCCACCCCACTCACCTCCATGCTCAGAAAGCAGAGGTGTTATTCACTCTAGAAGAAGGGAGTCACCTTCTCCACCCTCAGCTCCACAGCAGGGGAGGGGCTCGGAGGGGTTGAGCAGGAGGAGAGGCTGCCTTAGAAACAGGGAGCCCTGAAGATCTCCCCCGAGGGAAGCAGATTTGTTTGGAATGCAGTGTGGGAAAGTTTCAAGCTAAGGGTGTGGTCAGAAGCAATGGAGACTTTGGTGGTAAGCAATTAAGAGGAGGCTAATCCGTTTGGTAAGAGCAACCAGCCTAACCATAGGCCTGACTTGTTGCCAGGGGGAGCCAGTAAAAGAGACAGAAATAGCCCACCTAGGGTTAAAAAAAATTTTTTTTTTAAATTTCCAGTTAAAATGGCAAGCTGATCACACATTTAATTTGGTTCCTTCTCTAAAGCCCACTGAAATGACAATTATTTTTGTTTTTTAAGACAAAGGTGCAAGGATGAAAATAGGCAAGGAAACCATTTTGGAAGCTATAAAGCAAAATGGCTTTCGACGTCTCAACAATAACATGAAAGCTAGGTGGGATGGAACAAGGCTTTCAAAATTACAAAGGTAAATTATTTTTAAACTAAAATTCTATACTCTGTCTACCTTTGATACATTATGTTTAAAGGTAGGGGGAAAAAAGAATAAATAAAAGCCCTTGATGCTGGAAATAGGAGGTCCCACACAGGACAGAAACAAAGGGCACCCTAGGACGGCAGCGATGAAACGAGATTCCAGGATGACAGTTGTGTGTCAGGTGGCAAGGCCCTGGGCCCAGGCTGGAGCGGCCTCTCTCAGGAAGAGGTCAGAAACTACACATACAAATTTCTCGGGGGGGTCGACGAAGAATTGAGGGTGGGACTAGTGTTAAGTACATTGAAAAAGCAAACAAACAAACAAAAAAAAATTAAGGCAATTATCTCCAAAGCAGACAAAATGTTATACAAGAAAGAAAAAAAGGAATCGTAAATTTTTTTACATGGCTCAGCTCCTGTGTTTACATGGTTACAATATTGTAGACACTGAGTATTGATTTACAAAAAATTATAACCAGTTTGGAAGGAGGGGGGAGATAGAACCTACTCTCATGGAACATGGAGTGAAGAAAAAGAAAGCTAAATCTTCATCTTCTGTAGCTGAGAGTCAATAGATTATACCTGAAACTTTTGAAAAATCAAGTACTAATAGAAGCATGCTATTTAGAGAACTGAGGTAAATACCTAAAGAATCAGTTAAAACTGGCAAAGTGCTTGCATCAGGGGAAGAAGGAAGGCAGAGTGTGAGATGGCTGTTTTTCATAATTTTGAAAAATACTTGACTCTTGCCTTATAACTTTGAATACATTTTTAAGATATATATTTCTATCTCTTCAGCATTGCGTCTCTTCATTCACCAGTATTCTGTTCTCAGAGTAACTAGTTTATATTAGTACCCAAATGTTCATTTTGTCTCTGCCTTGAAGACATTATTAAGGAGGCTAAACTAGATATTTAAGAATTTTGCTTTTAACTGTAACGGCTGCCTTTACTATGTGTCTAGTACTACAGTCTGCCTGCTCATCATCTCCTGTTTCCACAACAGCCATGCAGGGTAGTTTTACTTTCACTTTGCAGACCAAGAAACGAATGCTCGCAGAGGTTAAATAATTTGCTAATCTCTAGCAGAGCCTCCTGACGCTAAGGCCTCTATTCTTTTGTATTTGGTCACCTCACCTATTTCTAGGGTTTGAGTTTAAAAGACCTGCAAATGGGGCAAAATATGTAGCAGATCCAAAAACTCATTTGGAGGGGTAGAGAAAACCGGAAGGATTGAGCAATTACTCTGTGGCTGTCTAGAAACTTAACAAGCTTAACCCCAGTTCGGAATTCCCAACTGGTCATGTGAGCAAAATAAGCAATTTTAAACTCTGGCTAGGAGCCCCCTGATTACAAAAATAAAAGCCGTGTTATGCTCTTATTTTGAAGTTAGAGATGTTCCAGCTACACCAGTATGAGCTTAAACACCTCCCTGAGAATGCTGTGTCCAGAGAAGCTGAGCCACCCTCCAAAGCTGATTCCTGAAAAGTAGGGGACAACATGGGTGGGTCCTGGAGCCTGGACCAAGTAAACTTGAAGATCCCTACTGAATGTGATTCCGGGTTGAGTGTATCTTAGAGTTTAAATCACTGGGAGGTTTGAGAGCCTCTTGGCCAGAGTCTTTCCTGGACTTGTTTTGTCCTATGTCCAATATACTTGCCCAGTCTTTCAATTGGTTGGCTGGCTCCTCTTGAGGTAGAAGTGTATGACGGCGTTGTTTATTAGCCCTCTTTCTGAGAAGTCACGCCAAATATGAAAGTTAAGAAACAAAAGTGAAATCAGCTGATCGTGACCTCAGCAAGTGTTGCTTGTTAAAGAGCTGTTTACTTGGTAGGTAGTGTACATGCAGAAGTCCACCGACGTGTTTCTGGAGCCTGACAGCAGCAAGAAAGAACAACCAGCCGAACCTGAGCTCCTGCTCCTCCTTTTTATGAGTGTTTCTGTGGGTTCTGCGTCTTCTTTTGGTAAGTAGCCTGCATGCCCTCTCACCCAGACGCCAGCTACTCTCTGAGAGCAGTGTGTTTTCTTTAGAGTCCTTTCACATTCCAGCAGCGGGCATGGGACAATTATTGGTGGTCAGCGTCTGTGACCTTCCTCCTACTGTTTGATCTACCCCACTCTCTGCTCTCTTCCCCTCCCTCCGGCATCAACCTGGCAACAGGCTTGCAAAAAGCCTGCAAAAACCCCCACGGCTTGTGAGGTGGATTGTTCATCAGAACTAGGCAAACAGGCAAAGAATTCTTCCCAGCTTATTCCCTGCTTGATCTCATTACTAAGGTTGTTTGTGTTTATTTTATCACTTCACTTTTTCAGAAATATAACACATAATTGTGGGAATATTTTTAATGCAAAAAGAGAACAATTGCTCATAATGCCATGATCCAGAGAGACCAAGGTTAGCATTAACATTTCTGACTTTCCTTAGACCTGGGTTTTCTAAAGGCTACATCGAGTTTCATCATCTTGATATGTCTTAATGTAATTCTGATGGTGGGCATTCCGGGTGCTTTGCATTTTTTGTCAAAGTAATACTGCAATGAACATTCCTGTATAGGAATCACTGATTGCATTTCTGATTGCTGCCTTAAGATAAAAAGACTTGGCCAAAAGATGTGACTGTTTTTAGGATCTTTACTGCAGATTGCCAAATTGCTTTTCAGAGAGTTTGTAAGAATTTTCACATCCATTATCTGCCGTTTTGATGAGGCTCATAGGTTATTTTCTCTGGCATATCTTTGGTTACATTGCCTAAGGTATAGACTTTTTAATGTTAGTTAATGGGGTACAGTGATTTCTAATAAATACATATTTGTTCTTTGTCCCCATTTCTGGTACAGAGTTCCTAAAAATCTCTGGAATTTCCCAAGTGATAATGCAGATAAAGTTGTCTAACTTATTTATAGCAAGCCCTTTTAGATCACAAAGTGGCTTCTGGAAAGTCCCTAAGGTTGACGGGGAAAACAAGCTTGGGAGCAGAGGGTTGGAACTTTCAGCCCCACCTCCGACCTCCAGGCAGGTGAGCAGCTGGAGATTGAGCCAATCACTAATGGTCAATGATCTAATCAAACTTGCCTACATAATGAAACCTTCATTAAAATCCCTGAAGTACAGCCTTCGAGAGCTTCTGGGCTGGTGAACGCAGGGAGGTGCTGGGAAGGTGGGATGCGGGGTAGGGCGTGGCTGTATTCCCTTTTCGCCCCGTACTTTGCCCTATGCTGTCTTCCACGGGCTGCTCCTGAGTTGTATCCTTTTCTAATAAACCAGTGATCTAGTAAGCAAGCTCTTTTATGGAGTTCTGTGAGCCGCTCAGCAAACAAATGACACCCAAGGAGGGAGTGATGGGAACCTTCAAATTACAGCTGGTCAGTCAGAAATACAGGTGACAATCTGGACTTGGGTGTAGCATCTGAGGTAGAGGACGGTCCTTGTGGAACTGAGCCCTTCACTTGTGGGGTCTGATGCTATCTCCAGGTGGGTAGCATCAGAATTAGCTTAATTTATGGGACATCCAGAAAATTGCCTGGTGAGGGGAAACCCCCCACATTTGGCGGAGACGAGAGAGAAGGAAAAACAATTTTTCACAGTTAACTGCTATTTTGCATTCTTCCTTTTGTGAAATAGCTCTTCATATTCCTTGTCTGCTTTGATGGGGGCAAATGTCTCTTTTATCTGTTTGCATGAACATTTTATATAATAGGTATATTCATCATTTCATATTTGTTGTAGATATTTTTCATGCTCATTGACTTTTAATTTTATTTATGTAGTTTTGTTGTATAGAAATGTATATTTTAAGTTGTTAAATCCATACAATTTTTTTTTTTTTTTGTGGTTTCAATTTGCTTTTAATCTCAGAGTGTTCTTTCTCACTCATAAATCAAATATTTACCCGGTGGTAGATTTTTTTTTTTGGGGGGGTCTGCTCATTACATTTTACTCTTGGATCCATGTGCAATTTATTTTGGTACATGGAGTGAGTGAGATGAGATGAGGACCTAGAATAGTTTTGTTTTCAGGTGACTAATTGCTCCAGTGATAATAAAAAATATTTAAATTTAAATTTAAACAGAAACCTGTTCTTCCACTAAATTATAATGTCATCTTTGTCATGTGTTAACTTCATATGTGTGGCTTTTTGAGACATTTGCTCTCTCTAGCGGTCTGTCCAGTACCCCTAACATTCTGTTTTATTTGGCCCAATTTCCCCTCCAGTTTTTTTAGAAATCTACCTGGGAGCTGAAGTCTGCAATCTCTTCAGTGACTCTAGCCTGCCCTTGGCCTCCAAATGATACATCTTAAAGTGAATTAATAAATAGAACAAATGTTTTGGGGAGCTTAGTCTCCAGATACATGGATAGTATGTTCTCATTAGCAACTGGGCTTTGGCAGAGCTTGTCCCCCTGGGCTCCCGCTGCCTCAGCTTTCCTCAGCCCTGTCACATGATGAAACTACAGCAGTTTAGGAACCAGTTTGGTCATCCCTTTATTCCAGGGGAAACAATCCATGAACTCGGGGAGGCCAGCGCCTCACAAACAGTGGAGCCTCTTCCGGAGGGACTGCGGGCAAGAGCGAGTTTTATGGAAGAGGCAGCAGGGACACAGGCAGGAATGGCTGAGAGGCAGGGGATGTGCTCATAAGGCCAGAGGACCTGCTTCCAGGGTCAGGTCTGCGAACTAAAGCTGAGCAGGAGGACTGTGGTTTGGGTGCCTGTCAGGTTTCCGTGACAGGTTCCCTGTGCGTGCAGGCTGGCGTAGGTGTAGGTTTGTGACGTGGCCAGGCCACTGGGGCAGTCTCTGTTTTGTGGGTCCCCATAGATGGATTAACTTTATCAGTCCAAACCCAGACCTCAGAGGACTTTGGGAGGTGACCCCCAGGGTCCCAGTGCTTCTGTGAGGACAGATACCTTTTGGCCCCTTGATGGAGGCAGGGTGCTGACAAGCGAAGTCCTGGCACCGCAGAAAATGAGAAGGAACAGCCGTCCTGCCCGCCGGAAAGCCAGTCCGAGGTGTGACCGGGGAAAGTTAATTTCTGAGGTTCCCAAATGCTGGTGTGAAGGAGTGGAGGGGGACGCTTAGTACCTGCTACTGATTTGTCTGTGATTTGCTCTCTTTGAGTCATTTTGCATTTGTTTAGAAGCCATTTCACATGCATCAGAAGCTCACAAGAACCACATCCTCTTGTGTGGGGATGGAGGTGACGTTCATGGAACTCTTAGCTTCTCTTCCAGCCAATTGTCCAAATACCTTTTGCAAAACTTAAGGTCGAGGTCTCAGGGAGGAAAGAAGAAGCAAGCTCACAGCCAGGGGCAGTCCCCAGTTTCCAGGGCTGTTTGTCAACCCTGAGCCCTGTGACTCTTAGCCGCCCCGAAACCTGACTGTGGAGTCCCACCAATAAAAACAAGCAGGATGGCTTCCATGGTACAGGCACTGTCTCATTTTTTAAGGATTTTTTTCCTCCTCTAAAATTTTTTTTGACCTTTGTTCCTAGCTGGATCATCTGCCAGCCAACAGCTAATAAATAGCAAACAAGTGAACAAAGAGCAAGTCTACTATTAATGAAATCATTGGAGCAGCCTATTCCAGCAGCTTGTTGGATGTGGTGATAGGGGGCTCCTGCTGCTGGCTCTATACTGCAGTCTCATGGTGCTGTATTGCTGCTGGTCAAGCAGTTTTATTTCCATGGAAGAACTAAGTCAGTCCAAACGTCACAGCGTTTCATAAAGAACTGATGGAAGGCCTGGCCATGCAGTCACGCCGCTGTCACCCCGACACATTTGGGAAACTCCGCTGTGCCTCAGTTTTGAGAAAAGGGAAACTGGGCTCATGTTTCTACCAAAGGAAATAGCACACATTTGTCTTTCTTCTTCCCTTTTTATTTTGGTCAGAGCCACAAGCAAACCATGAACACACTGCTCCTGAATGTGTTCAGCCAGAGAGGTCTGAGTCAGGGCTGGTGGCCCCCTCTGACAAGCCAGCCTTCCCCCTGGCACTCCATCCTGGCAGGTTCTATTTTTCTGGCTTATTCTGTTCCTATTCTCTGCCTGGGCTTTGCTTTCCTCTCTGCTCGTGTGACACTCCCTGACCCTCACCCCTCCATCAGTCCCCTTTCCTCCCCTGGAACCACAGCACAGCCTCCTCGGCATCATTGGAGCAGCTCCAGGTGCCGGTCTGTTTACGTGGCTAAAATGGACCGTCTTCTGTCACACAATGGCATTACAAGAGAGGATCCAGGGACGGGACACTACGTGACATGGCCAAGGTCACATGACTAGGGAGGAACAGAACAGCCATGGGAACCCAGGTGGTCAAACTCTTAAGATTCATGCTCTTTTTTCCGTTTTTATTTTTTTTAATTGACTTTAGAGAGAGAGGAAGGGTGCGGGCAAGAGAGAGAGAGAAACATCAATGTGAGATAGAAACATCAACTGGTTGCCTCCCAACGGGGATCAAACCCACAACCTCGGTGTGTGCTTTGCCCGAGAGTCAAACCCAAAACCTTTCAGTGTAAGGGTGATGCTTCGACCAACTGAGCCACACTGGCCAGGGCTAAGGTTCATGCTCTTAACCACCATATCCCTATGTGACAGGGTCCTGGTCACCAGACATTGGTGAGATCAGATTCCAGGGCTTCAGGTCCTCCAGTGAAGCTCTGTTGAAGAACTCCAGCACCAGTTTGCCCTGCTGACGTTTCATCACCAACCAGCTGTGTGACCCTGGGCTTCGCTTGTCTGAGCTTCACTTTCCTCTCCATGAGAATAATTCAAATAGCCCTTACTAGGTAATGTGCAACGTGCTGTATTTAAATTACCTCATTTAATTTAATTATGGTAGAACATCTACCCAAATAAGTTGTATTATTATACCCATTTTACATATGAGAACACCAAACACAGGGATGTTATGTAACTAAGGTCACACAGCTTGTAAGTGGTAGAGTTGGGATTTGAACCCAGGACACACAGCTG